TATTCAGCCTTGTATCTTGCCTGCAGCTTGCCTTGCCCAATGGTTATGGGTTGAACACGTGGCAAATGGAGGCGTTCTGTGCCCACCCAGCAGAACCAGGAGACCGCCGATCGCTGTGCTGGTGCTCTACGGCCACTGTGTCTAAAAGAGCTCATGTGTGGGCCCCGGATGCCGGTTCTGTGCTTGACTCAGCTCCGCTGTACCCGATTTGCATGCAGTGTGTGGATTATTTCTGTCTATGGTATGTGTAGATCTGCATTTTTTTTCTCTCTCTTGTCTGTTCCTCCCACCGGCCTTGGCCTTTCTTCCTCTAAGATCTCTCTTGTCCCTTGTTTAGCATTCCAGGAAGGAATTTCTCAGTTGGCTTTTCCTTTTCTGTCCTCTCATCCTGGTTGGTTTTGCTCTTTATTCTCCTTTTCTTCATTATACCTATGCTGCAAAAGAGGGATGGCGACAACAGTCTCATCAATGAATTAAATCTTTGGGATTTGTGATAAGCTGGTGACACATCTGACATCCCACTTGCTCAAATGGCACAACCTTTTTCCTGTACACAGTATTTCCAGACTATATAAGTACTTAAAATCTAAGTACTTTAGGTTGAACTTAAGGTTTATTAAAATTTTGCACTATTAGATCTGCACAGAGACTCTCTCTCTATATATATATATATGTACACACACATGAATTATAAAGCATAAGTATGAAAAGAAAATCCATGAATCCACATCCTATCTTTTTTTTTTTTTTTGACAGGCAGAGTGGACAGTGAGAGAGAGAGACAGACAGAGAGAAAGGTCTTCCTTTTTCCGTTGGTTCATCCCCTAATGGCCGCTGCAGCTGGCGTGCTGTGGCCAGCGTACTGCACTGATCCGAAGCCAGGAGCCAGGTGCTTCTCCTGGTCTCCCATGCCAGTGCAGGGCCCAAGGACCTGGGCCATCCTCCACTGCACTCCCAGACCACAGCAGAGAGCTAGGCTGGAAGAGGAGCGACCAGGACAGAATCCGGTGCCCCAACCGGGACTAGAATCCAGGGTGCCGGCACCGCAGGTGGAGGATTAGCCTATTGAGCCGCAGCGCCGGCCAACACATCGTATCTTAAGAACTGGAACACTGGGGCTGGTGCTGTGGCATAGCGCTGTGGTGCAGTAGGCTAAGCCTCTGCCTATAGCACTGGCATCCCATTTGGGCACCAGTTTGTGTCCCAGCTACTCTTCTTCCAATGCAGCTCTCTGCTATGGCCTGGGAAAGCAGTGGAAGATGGCCCAACTTCTTGGGCCCCTGCACCCTCTGGGAGACCTAGAAGAAGCTCCAGGCTCCTGGCTTTGGATTGGCCCAGCTCTGGCCATTGCAGCCATTTGGGTAGTGAACCAGCATATGGAAGACCTCTCTCTCTCTCTGTCTCTGCCTCTCTGTGACTCTGCCTTTCAAATAAATAAAATAAATCTTTTTTAAAAAAAGAACTAGAACATCAAAAATGCTGTTGAATCTCCTATATTTTACTCAGTATTTCTTTACTGCCTGTCACTCCTGCCTTGGGATCATCATGATGAGCCTCAATTCTGAGTGTGCAATGCTATGGGTTCACAAAGGTAATGCTTTTTTCAGAATATAAAACAAGCATCTCAGTGATTTGTCGCATCTGCCACCTCTTCTCCCTCCCAGAAGCCACTGTGTGCCTAAGACCCTGGGGAGCTCATCCAGACTGTGACAAGAGCCCCCTCATTCGTCTTTCTGGCTCCAGACACTGGATGCAGGGGCAGGTCAGATGGGCAGCTATGGGAAGGGGAGGGAGAAATCAGTCTGTAGAGACAAGATAATATTTGAATCGATTACAAATACGGTGCCAATTAGGTCGTTTTCATACAACTCCAAATAACTGGCCAAATGTTAATTCCGTTAAAGTGGTATATTAGTTTCCAGTTAACCTGGAACAGATTACTACAAATTTTAAGCAGCTTAAGACAGTGCACATTCATTATCTCATAGATGCTGTGGGGCAGGAGTTCAGGCATAACTTGGCTGGGCCCTCTGCTCAGCATCCCGAATGGTTGAAATGAAGGTGTTGGCCTGGCTTACGTTCCCTGGAGTCGCTACTGGGGGAGACTCCACTTCCATGCTCTTTCAGATTGCTATGGATATGTCACTCAGGGTGTCCAGCTGTTTGCCGGCTGTTGGATGGAGGCTGCTCCTAGTCCTAGGGTTTGCATGCAGTTTTCCTTCCCACGTGGCCACCTCCTTTAGAGCACAGGGAGATTTCTCTAGATCCAGTCTACTAAAATGAGGTCTTGTGTAATGTAACCTAATCCGAAGAGTGACATCCCCTCACCTCGGCCAAATTTGTGGGTTAGAATCAAGTCACAGGTCGCGTTTACACTAAAGGGGAGGGCCTTACACAAAGGTCTGAAGACCAGGAGGGGACTCGTGCGTCATCTTAGCAGCCTGTCTATACTGCAAGTGCCAAAGTACATAGTGCCTTGGAACTGAGACAGAAATTCTAATTGGGCAGATGTATTTGGTTGAGGTTTCCTTACAAAGATTTTGTGATTATAACCAACTGAAAGCTGAGGAGGCAGTGTTTGGTCTAGTGATTAGATGCTGAAGTTTCCTATCAGATTGACTGGGTTCAACTGCAGCTGTGTTCCTGACTGCACTTTCCTGTTCTGTATCCCCTGGGAGGCAGGGGTGATGACTTTGCATCCATGTAGGAGACCGGCATGGAGTGCCTGCTCCTGGCTCTGGCCTGCCCCAGGCCCAGTTGTTACAGGCATTTGGGAGGTGAACCAGTCCTCTCTGTCTTTGCCTCTCAAATAACACAAAAATACAATAATAAAAAATAAGTGATACTGGTATTCTACTGAAATTTTACAAACAAATGATGTGTTATATAGTAATGATTATTTGGAAGGAGTGACATTTTATTATCTAAGTTTTAAACCCTTACATATACTTCTACAAAGTGCTTTAGTTTAGAAAATCATAATATATAGCTGATGAGAGAAAAAAACATATAAAAGAAGAAACTATTAAACCAATGTTTTTAAAACTTTCTTTTTATAAAAATGATTTAATTACTTATTTGAAAGACAGAGTTACTGTCGCTCCCCCTCTTCGTGGAGGAACGACACTAAACCCTGCCTAGGTTTCCTATCCGAGTCACGGCACCATTATGTCGCTCCCCCTCTTCACGGAGGAACGACACAGGACCCTGCGCTGTTCTTTCGTCTGCTCAGCCCTTCCCGGGTTTGCTGCTGGTTCTTCCTGGGTTGGCTACCGACCCTTCCACCTCCGTGGAAGGGCGGTTCCCCCTGCCACTTTCCCCAAATCCGCGGGGGAGCGGCACACCGCCGGCTGGCTCTCTCGGGGGCTGCTCAGATGTTCCTCAGGTGTTCCTGGTGCATGTTGTCTCTCTCCTCCTTTATAGTCCTCTTCTACCAATCCCAACTCTGCTACCCACACGCTGAGTACGCTGCTCTCCTCCAATCAGGAGCAGGATCAGCTCCTGCAGGTCATCACTCAAGTTGGCGAGAGGCAGCTGCGTAGAAGCTGTTTACTCCTCTCCCAGCGCCATATTGTGGGAGAGCAGATGCATAGAATAAGTCTTAATTCCAGTAACAGTCTAGTCCGAGTTGCTCCCCACAGTTACAGAGGTAGAAGGGAAGAGAGAGAGATGTCTTCTATCCACTGGTTCACTCCCCAAATGGCCACAATGGCTGGAGCTGGGCAAATCTGAAGCCATGAGCCTGGAGCTTCTTCTGGGTCTCCCACGCAGATGCAGGGGACCAAGCAGTTGGGCCACCTTCTACTGTTTTCAAAGGTCATAGCAGAGAGCTGGATTGGAAGTGGAGCAGCCAGGACTCCAACTTTCACCCATATGGGCTTTACCCACTCTGCCACAGCGCCAGTTCCTCAAACCAATTTTAAAAACAGGCTGATTCTGTTTGGGTTACAAAAAAAATAATGTTTCAGAATATGATTTTTGGCTGGCGCCGCAGCTCAATAGGCTAATCCTCTGCCTGCAGTGCCGGCATACCAGGTTCTAGTACTGGTCGGGGCACCGGATTCTGTCCTGGTTGCCCCTCTTCCAGGCCAGCTCTCTGCTGTGGCCCCGGGAGTGCAGTGGAGGATAGCCCAAGTGCTTGGGCCCTGCACCCGCATTGGAGACCAGGAGTAAGCACCTGGCTCCTGGCTTCGGATCAGAGTGGTGCACCAGCTGCAGCGGCCATTGGCCATTGGCCATTGGAGGGTGAACCAACGGTAAAGGAAGACCTTTCTCTCTGTCTCTCTCTCTCTCTCTCTCTCACTGTCCACTCTGCCTGTCAAAAAAAAAAAAGTTAAAAAAAAAGAAAATTATTTTTGTCAAAAGAAAATTAGCTTCTCCCTGTCTCCACTAAATAAATATAGAACTAAAAAATATTGGTTTATAATAGACACCAGTTAATCAGTCAGCTCAGAGCACCTACGTGTCCACTTTTGTTCCAGCTTCCATACTTAGACTTATTGAATTGTTTTTGACAGTTCTGAAATATGCTAATTAGGAGACTAGTATCTAAAACTTAAGGAGACACCACTGTGGGGGTTCACATTCCTGGTGGGTGTTGATGGAAATGTAGGCTCTAAGGTTAGAACTACCCATAAGAACTGGGTATTCCCAAACTTTTCCTTGCATTTTGAGACATTGTATCATTTTGCCAAAGACCAACTAGTTAGCATCTGATCAAATTTTGTATCTTTGGCTTAACCTAAACGGCCAGGTCTTTAATACAGGTCTAAAGACAGATCTTTAATTCTAGAATCACACTTTGCCTTGCAAGACAATGCCATGAGAAACTAAGGAACAGAGTTCTGAGTAAGTAGCATATTTCCACTTCCCACTCACTCACAACCTCAAGGGCATAAACTGAAAGCTCATTATCCAAAATGGACCATAGGCTTTCCTTCCTCCCTCCCTCCCTCTCTCTCCCCTCCCTCCCCCCTTCTTTCTTTTCTTCCTTCCTTCCTTCTTTCCCAGTTTTCAAGGTTTTATTTAAACACAAATAAAATGTGCACCCGAGCTGTCTACTCATTTTCTTCACTGCGCAGCCTGGCGTTGGGGTTGGTGACTGATGGCCAGCAGGGCCGTTCTCTTCACAATGGCTTTGCGGTTCTTGGAGGAAACATTGTGAGCAACCTCTGCACAATACGATTTGTTGCACATCAGCAGCACCTCCAGCTCCCTGACGTTGTGGACCAGGAACTTCCGGAAGCCACTGGGCAGCATGTGCTTGGTTTTCTTGTTGCTCCCATAACCAGTGTTGGGCATCAAGATCTGGCCCTTGAATCTTCTCCGCACCCTGCTGTTAATACCTCTGGGTTTCTGCCGGTTACGCTTAATCTTGACATATCGGTCGGACTGGTGGAAGATGAACTTCTTGGTCCTCTTTTTGACCATCTTGGGCTTCACCAGGGATCCGAGGGCGGCCATGATGCCTTTAAAGGAAGCAGCAGACCCAAGTTAGCTTAGACTCCCAAAGATGGCCTCTCCTGCTGGGCTGGTCCTGGTGCAGAGGGTCTTCCAATCACCAGCTACTGAACAAGCTGGGAATGGAATGGGTGCCTCTGCAGCCTTGCTTTCCCTCCCGCTTCTGAAGCTGGCAGAAGACGGGCCACTCTCCAGACACGATCCCAGGAGGTCTCATGGGCTTTCATTTGTTATCGCTTGCTCCTTATTTTCTTTTGGTTGCCCATGAACAATTGATTTCCTGTAAGCTAAGCATATGTAGTGTGAAGTTACACTGTACTATGTTCTTTGGGAAATTAGCTCATGAAGTTCATTGTCTTTACTTAGACAATACAGTGGATAAAAATATAAGGATGCTCAAGAAGGGTTTATTTAAATCAACTCACAGGGGCAGGAGTGGGGTGCAGTGGTTAAGTCATTGCTTGGGGTTCTTGAATCTCATATTGAACTGCCTGGTTACTCTGCTTCTCATTCAGCACCTGTTAGTGCCCACCTTGGGAGGCAGCAGGTGGGGATGCTTCAAATATTTGGGCCACTGCCAACCACATCAGAAACCAAATGGAGTTCTGGGCTCTTGGCTCTGGCTGTTGTAGGCATTTAGGGAGAGAATCAGTGGGCAGAAGCTCTTTCTCTGTTTCTCTGCCTGCCTGCTTGCTTGCCTGCCTTCCTTCCTTCCTTCCTTCCTTCCTTCCTTCCTTCCTTCCTTCCTCTCTTTCTCTTTCCTTTTTAAAGATTTATTTATTGTATTTGAAAGGCAGAGTTACAGAGATCTCTGCCTTTCAAATAAATACACAGCTGTAAATAGTTTTTTCAAAAAAAAAGGATTTATTTATTTGAAACACATAACATCAGAGAGATTGGGAAGGGGGAGAGAGTAGAGGAGTGGAGAGAGAGAGATATCTTCCATCCATGGGTTCATTTCCTAAATGGTCCTACAGCTGGCCTGGGCCAAGCTGAAGCCAGGAGCCAGGTTTCCTGGTCTCTCACACAGGTGGCAAGGGCCCAAGGACTTGGGTCATCTTCCAGTGCCTTCCCAGGTACATTGGCAGAAAGCTGTACAGGAATCTGAGCAGCTGGAACTTGAACTGGGATGCCAGAACACTGGCCTCATATGACTATATCTTTTTTTTTTTTTAAGATTTATTTCTTTTATTTTGTTACAGAAACCTGGGATGAGAAAACTCCCTCTACTCAAAAAGGCACCAGAGACAATGGAGGATCAAGCGGTTTATTATGCCAGCAGGCTCAGCTGGAATCATTTCCTGAGAACTGAGTGACAATTCCAAGTTTCTTACAACATTTATAGGTTCATCAGCATCACACCTTAGCTGGTACAGCATTGGTGGGTTTAAACTGCAGCCTACGTGACTTAGGACCACACTTCCGATGGTCGGTGGGCCTAGTATGTTTGTAGAAGAGATACCAGGGGCAGATTTATTAGGACAGATTTATGACTGGAGTCTACAGAAGCAGAACTTAGGACTTCTTCCCTCCCTAGACAAGATCGCAGCAGGCAGCTGCTTCACTAGTGAATTGCGTGCAGCCACTTTTCAAGGTTTGTGTTAGGAGGAGGGGTTCGCTTTTCTTTCTTTGTCTCTGGTTGCAGCAGTATTTCCTCTACAATTTGAAAGAGTTACACAGAGAGAGAAGGAGAGGCAGAGAGAGAAAGAGAGAGAGAGAGAGGTCTTCCATCTGCTGGTTCACTCCCCAAATGGCCGCAATGGCTGGAGCTGCGCTGATCTGAAGCCAGGAGCCAGGAGCTTCTTCCAGGTCTCCCACAAGGGTTGCAGGGGCCCAAGGACTTAGGCCATCCTTTACTGTTTTCTCAGGCCATAGCAGAGAGCAGGATGGGAAGTGGAGCAGCGGGGACTCAACTGGTGCCCATATGGGATGTCGGCACTGCAGCTGACAGCTTTTACCCGCTACACCATAGCGCCAGTCCCTCATATGACTATATCTTAATAAACAAAAATGATAAAAAAATTCTACTCAGTGGGTTAAACTGTTAGGGAATATAGATGGACCTACCCGTTTGTTCCCAGCTACTGCTACAACACTGCATGGTGCGTACATTTCCCCTCTACTTCCCTGAACATTTATTATGCTTCTCCCATCCCATCCCTGCCACCCCTATTCACACCATTTCTCTACCACCACCTTATAGGAGATCACTTTGTTTCTGGGGTCTCTTTTCAGAGCTGTTTTATGCAAATATAAGCAAAAGGAATAGAATAACTTGCCATTTCCCCCTTATTAACAGAAAACATAGCATGCACTATTGTTTTTCACCTTGCTCCTTTTAACAAAGCATACTGCAAATCTTTCTATATCCTTAAAATGAAAACTACCATTTTCCAACCTCATGAGGTTGTGTTCTGCATGTGGAAGTTCCCCCGTTAGGCTGACATTTGGGTATTTCCCCCCATTTATAAATAATGCTACAATGAGCATCCTTGCACACATGTAATTCCTGACACATGCATACTTATTTGCAGAGTAAATTCCCATAAGAGGGACTGCTGCCTCAGAGGATAACTGCATTTGTGTTTTGATTGTGTCAGATTTCCTTTTGTAGATTGTACCATTTTGTACCACTGGCAACACTGTAAGAGAGTGCTTACTAGTACTTGAATTCTTAACATCAAATACAGCAGCATAACTTCTAGGAATAATGGATTCTATGAGCTTACTCCACAGTACTCAAAGAAGTCCTATTTCTATAGAACTCAGTAAGACACAGGGCATAGAAGTGATGAGGATGACATTCACCTACTGTTTTGAAGCTTTACCCAGGCTCCAATTAGGGAAACCTTGTGAAGAATGTATGAGAAAGCCCTTTGACAGTGCTCTTGTGCAGGCTTATTCCCGTATTGGAATTCAAGTGTTCTGTCTCCCAGACGCACATCTGCATGGTGAGAAGGGTCCTCTGGAGACTAGCACCATAACACTGACTTCATTTAGAGGTGTCTGTAGCTGGCTGGCCCAGGCTGATGGTAGAGTAGGTGGCACAGGATTTGGAATTGGATCCTGATGGCAGCCCTGCCTCTCCAGGGATGACTCTTGGTAAGTTATTTGCCACACATGAGGCTGTTTTAATAATTAAAAAAAAGGGGGGGGGATACTAATCCTCATGTTGCTTTTGAATGTCGTAAGATTAAAAAGAATATTTTGGAGAGTGCTTCATAAATAACTTTACCCTTTAAAAAAGATTTTATTTATTTGAAGGACAGAATGACAGAGGGAAAGAAAGAGTGGAAGAGGTCTTCCACCTTTCCACCTGCTGGTTTACACCCCCCCCCCCCCAAATGACCACCACGGTTGGGGCTGAGCCAAACCCAGGAGTCTGGAACTCCGTCCAGGTCTCCCAGGTGGGTGCAGAGGTCCAAGTACTTGGGCCATCTGCTGCTGCTTTCCCAGGTGCATTAGCAGGGAGCTGTATTGGAAGCGGAGCAGCCAGGGTTTGAACTCACGTTCAGATATGGAATGCCAGTGTCACAGGCAGCGGCTTAACCTGCTGTACCACAATACCACAATACCAGCCCCAACTTCGGAAAGTTAGGAATAAACCCCCTCCCCCCAATACTCCTAAAGAACTAAAATTATGTTAGAGCTGTCTTACTTTACTCATAGAAAAGGCCCTAAAAATCTATTTGGTTTTATTTACATGTACTTCCAACATGCTTTGTAATTTGGCTTCTCAGCTATATTGGAGTGGAAGTAAAGGGACCAAAGTTGTTAATTGATTGAACTAGCCAAAGCAGAAATTTATTTTAAAAAATTCCCACAGGGGCCGGTGTAGTGGTGTAATGGTGTAGTGGGTAAAGCTGCCACCTGCAGTGCCAGCATCCCATATGGGTGCCAGTTTGAGTCCTGGCTGCTCCACTTCTGATCCAGCTCTCTGCCATGTCCTGGGAAAGCAGTGGAAGATAACCCAAGTCCTTGGGGTCCTGCACCTGTGTGGGAGACCTGGAAGAAGCTCCGGGCTCCTGGCTTTGGATTGGCATAGCTCTGGCCATTGCGGCCACTTGGGGAGTAAACCAGAGGATGGAAGACTTCTCTCTCTCTCTCTCTCTCTCTCTGCTCCTGTCTCTCTGTAACTCTGCCTTTCAAATAAATAAATAAATCTTTACCAACAAAGGTGCCCAGCAGGTGGGGGCAGGCACATAGATAATCAGAGCCTGTCGCATGAGGCTCCCTCTAGCTCAGAGTGTGAAGAAAAAGTTCAGAAAAGACTGACTGTAGGGAAGCAGGTTAGGCCTCTGCTCCTGATGCCAGCATTCCATCTCAGAATGCCAGTTTGGTTGGAGTCCTGGCTGCTCCACTTCAGATCCAGCTTCCTGTTAATGCACCTGGGAAGGCAGTAGGAGATGACTCAAGTACTTGGGTCCCTGCCACCCCCACCGGCACCGGAGACCAGAATGGAGTTCCTGGCTCTTGACTTCAGCCTGGCCCAGCTCTGGCAGTTGCAGCAATTAGGGGAGTGAACTAGCAGATGGAAAATCTCTGTCACTCTGCCTCTCAAATAAGTGAATATTGAAAACAAAAGATTAACTGTCTGCTTGATGTACAGAAAGCAGACCAGTGAGCAATGCTTTTTTTTTAAATTTATTTTCCTCCTCTGTTTAACTAAAGTTTCTCTTTGTTAAGGCTCTATTTGTAAAGCAGAGTTACAGTGAGAGAGGGAGAGAGAGAGAGATGGAGTCTTCCATCTGCCAGTTCACTCCCCAAATGGCTGCAATGGCAGGGCTGGGCCAGGCTGAAACAGGAGCTGGGAGCCAGGAAGTACATCCAGATCTCCTCAGTGGCAGAGGCCCAAGCACGTGGGCCATCTTCTGCTTTCCCAGTCACATTAGCAGGGAGCTGGATGGAGGTGGAGCAGCTGGGACTTGAATTGATGTTCAAATGGGATGCTCATGTCACAGGTGCCAGACCTTGACTAAAGTTTTGAGGTACCTCTGCAATATGGCATTGAGTTTTGTGAAGACTTACACTGCAAAATGTAAAATACATTTTTGGCACTGGAAAGGGTAAATACCAGTTATCTGGAAAATTAATTTAATTAACTCACTCCCTCAATCAGTATTTATTGAGTGCCCACTATGTGTTCAGCATTGTGCTAAGTGCTGGGTTTACTTGGAGCACTTACTTGCAGTACTTGTTCTAGGTAAAAATAAATACCACACGTAGCACAGTCCAAACTTTTGCTAACCTTTCAATGAGTCTTATTGACAGGTTTATGATCATTGTACCTGATTTTTTTTTGACAGGCAGAGTGGATAGTGAGAGAGAGAGACAGAGAGAAAGGTCTTCCTTTTGCTGTTGGTTCACCCTCCAATGGCTGCCACGGCCGGCGCACCGCGCTGATCCGAAGGCAGGAGCCAGGTGCTTCTCCTGGTCTCCCATGGGGTGCAGGGCCCAAGTGCTTGGGCCATCCTCCACTGCCTTCCCAGGCCACAGCAGAGAACTGGTCTGGAAGAGGAGCAACCGGGAAAGAATCCGGAACCCCGACCGGGACTAGAACCCAGTGTGCCGGCGCCGCAGGTGGAGGATTAGCCTATTGAGCCGTGGCACCGTCCGTACCTGATTTTAATTTTAGAACTTTTGGGTTCTTCAATATATGCCTTTTTAAAGAAGACAGAAGAATAAAATTGCTGAAATGGTAATGTGAAGTTGAAAGCACTTGACAGTCTGTGAATCTTACATATCTTCTCGAAATTTCAATTGTGATACTTTGGACTCAATCTCATTTATCAATTTGTATGGTGAGTGTAATTTACTTAGCTAATTTCACTAGGTTATGCTATTTCAAGGCAACCAGAAATATGAATCATAAATATGCCATTACTACTTGCTTTTCTATCTCATTCTGTAGCCTCACTACTTAATAAAGTATACTTAAAAGTACAAATTAATTATACCTATTTCCTAGTAGTATTTCAACCTGCTTTCTCTTATTAGCGATAACAAATCTACTCAGTGATGTAATTTAAGTACATATATGTTGGTATTATGCAAACATAACAATAATAACACTAGGAATAATAATTATAGCAGCTATTATATATTTAGTACTTGCTACCTAGCAGGTATCACATTGATAACCTGGAATAGATTTTTACCTTTAATACACCCAGCAACTTTTCAAAGAAGGCACTGCTATTATCCCCATTACTTGAAAAAAGAAACTGAAGTTTAAAGAGTTTCTCTTGCTCCAATATTCATAGTTTTCTTTTAGTGCAACCGGGATCCAAACCCAGGGAGTCCCACTCTACACTTGTGCCATCTGAGGTGTTATCTATTCAAATTCAGTAAAGAAACAGAATCCTATACATATGTTGAAATAATCCTTACCTGCTTGATGTGTTTTACTACCATCAGGGTAGGAATTAAATCATAGTATTAAATACAATGTGACTAGTTGCCAAAAGTAGATTTTGAGATCACTGTTTCTCCTCTTCAAATGTCCAGCATAAGAATTCTCCATGACTAAAGTGTTTATAGGTCTTACCTTGGCACATATACCCATGAAAGAGCACATTCTCTAACGTGGTGTCTCCACCTTGCCCTGCCACTCTAAAACTTCACCAGGTGCTACAGGGCTAAATATCAGACGCGTCAAAGCAACCATTAAAGTTGTCAAAGCCACTCTGCTTCCACAGAGCCTCAATGTCCTGCAAATATTACCTAATTTGTTCTTCTAACAGTCAAAAGAACGTTATTGGCATTTATTAGAAGATTTTACTGAAAGAAGTAGACAGAATCAGAAAAGTAAGTTAAAAAATGTGGGGAGGTCAGTGAGAAAAATCTGTTTTTTTTTTTTCCTTTCTTGTTTTTAACTTCAAGCTGTTTGTTTCCTCTGATTAGCGACAGTTGTGACCACACAGCTTGCTCTATCTGGTTTCAAATAGACTTTCTCTGGGAGGTCATTATAATTCAAATCCATTCAGTGCTGCTTCACTTCTGTAATTTGTTAGCTGTGTAGTGTAGCCTGCACCTACTTTAATGACATAGCACATTGATAACATTTTCACTCATTTAAAGCCACGTTTACCCACACAGCGTTAGCACCAGAAAAATTCTAAAAGGCAATCTTCACACATTTGAATAGCCTGATCCATGCAGGTTCTGAATTTTCCAAAGAAAGGTCAAGAAATTTGAAAACTGCACACTTCAAGAACAAAGGTGGTAGACATTTATTTCAACAGTGCAGGAACTACATTCAAGGTCACCAGATCTCATTTCAATCCTCACTCCTACATGCAAGACACAACCAGACTGATTTCTGACTGATTTTTGCCTGGAGTTTTTAAAAGGGAATGGTGCAAACTTTATTCCAAAAGATGGGAAAGTTGTCAGTGACAAGAAAATCAGGGGTCTACAGAGGTAATCTATGAGGAGAGGTGTCTAATTAGAAGGGAGAATCAGTTATCTGTGGGAATCCAGACTGACTTAAGTAATTCTTAGAGCCCCTCAAAAGGAGAAAACAGTAAGAGTGAAACTTAAAATAAAAAATAAAAGACACAGCCAAAGAGGTGAGACACAGCCATTTTGATGGGGGGGGGGGGGGAAGAGTCTAACTACACAATGAGGTCATCCTATCTCCCGGAAGTGACACATAATCACCTGCTTTGCACTGGCTCCGCCCCTTCCCTCAGAGGTCCCGCCCCTCCGCCAGCAGCCGGGAGGGTGTTAGGGGGCGTTTCTCCAGGAGGAAAGCTGTGAGCTGCGACGCTGAGGAAGGGGACCCCAAAACGTCTGGCACTGCCCCCTCCAGGGATCACTTTGGACCGCCTCACTCGGCCCAGCGGGATTCTGAAACGCCGAGGGGTCAACCTGATGGGTTTCGGGGTCAACGGAAGAGGGGAAGGGGAGCCCTGGCGGGGAGAACCCCCCGGTCCCCCGCCCAGCAGCTGAGGCACAGGAGGGCGGCCATCTTGGCCGGGAGGGTAGGGCTGGGGAGAAGCGGGCGCCGTGCGATTGGGGGGCTCGCCCGGAAGTGACGCCAACTACCCGGAAGCGGAGGGGGTTCCCTGGCCCACTCCCCCCTCGTTCGTTTGCTCCCCCGCTTCTTCCCCGCCCCCCTTCCTCTCCATTCGTTTCCCCCCCTCCCCGTTCCCTGCCTTCTTCCCCCCTACCCGTCCCTCCCCCCCCAACCTCCGGAGCTGGGAAGAGAGTCAAGATGGCGGCGAAATCCGATGGCGGTGGCGTGGGGGTGGGCTTCGCCCAGCTGCACAACCTGGACGAGGCGGTGGGCAGCGGCGGCGAGGAGGACGGGGAGCCCGGGGGAGGCGGCTGCGGCGGCGGCGGCGACGGCAGCGAGCCCGGCGAGAGCAGCTCGCTGCACATCTGCCACTGCTGCAACACCTCCTCGTGCTACTGGGGCTGCCGCTCCGCCTGCCTGCGCTCCCTCCTGGGCAAGAAGCCGCGCCGCAGCGCCGCCGCCGCCGACGGGGGGGACCAGCCGCTGCAGCCGCCCGCGGCCGCCGGCCGCCAACCCCCGACGCCCTCGGCCGCGCGGCCGCAACCGCCGCCGCCGCAGGTGGAGCGGCCGTGGCTCGACTGCCTGTGGATCGTGCTGGCGCTGCTGGTCTTCTTCGGGGACGTGGGCACCGACCTGTGGCTGGCCCTCGACTACTACCGCAAGGGGGACTACGGCTACTTCGGGCTGACCCTCTTCTTCGTGCTGGTGCCGTCGCTGCTGGTGCAGAGCCTGAGCTTCCGCTGGTTCGTGCAGGACTACACGGGCGGCGGGCTGGGCGCCGTGGAGGGGCTCAGCAGCCGGGGCCCCCCCATGATGGGGGCCGGCTACGGCCACGGCGCGGCCCGCGGCGGCCCGGGCGCGGGGGGCTCGGCCACGCCGGGGGCGCAGCGCCTGTGCCGCCTCTCCGTGTGGATCTGGCAGTCGGTCATCCACCTGCTGCAGATGGGGCAGGTGTGGAGGTAAGAGCACTGCGGGGGGTGGGGGCAGGGGCAGGGGTGGGCGCGGGCCGGCGGCCCTGCGGAGGGCCCCTCGGGCCTCCAGGTGCTTCGCGGGGTGGCCCTTGGACGGGCCTGCCGGGGGCTGGCAGGCCCGTGCACTTGCCCTGGCGTCTCAGAAAGACCAGCGTTTGATCTGGATTCCTGGCCACGCCTTTTTGGCCCGGAGAGGCCTGGGTCCTGCTGTTTGCCTGTCTTCATCCCTGGTTTCGCACTTAGCGGAGACCCTGCCTCCTCCTCCTCTCCCCTCCTCCTCTGCAGAACTCTGTATCCCTGTTGTCCCCTTGCCTTCCATCCCAAGGTAACCAGCCGCTAGCGCTTTCTCTCTGCACCCGGGTTCGCGTCCTGGCGCGCAGGGCTCCGCGGGTGTGTGTGTGTGTGTGTGTGTGCGCGCGCGCGTGTGTGCGTGCCTTCCTGGAGCCGGTTTCACTCGGTTTTGTCCCCCAGCGAAACATCGTCCCCTGTCCCCCTCGTTTTCTCGCCGCAGTGGCTTGTGTGGGGGCCCAGTGGAAGAACCCCCGCTGCCTCTCCTTTATTCCACGCCCCCTCCCCCTCCTGCAATCCCAGCCCCTGCCAGGGACTCCCGGCCGCTGCCCTCCTTGAGGGAAAGGACTTTTTGTTTTTGGTTTTGCTGGATTAGACGTGCCCTTTGCTCAGTGACGGGTAAAAATCGGGTAGTGTGTGACGAGCGGAAGCGTTCGGTGTTCCCTCTCACGTCCAGAAAATCAGTCCCCTGGACGCTTGGGTCACTGTTCGGGTTGCCAGGCCGGTGTCTGACTCCTGGGTATGAGGAGTATTGATGTTGGCTTTGCAGCCCTTTCCTCTTTGGCGATGTTTCTCTTCTGCGAAGTGATCCCTGGAAAACCACTTGCAGATGCTCTTTTTGCCAGGAGCTCTGACTGCCTACTTCACCTGCTAAACCCAGGGAACGAGCTCGTTAAAACCTTAGTACATCTGCAGCCTGCGACTTACAGCAGCTTGAGAGCATGGTGGGAATCGTAAGTTTAGGTGAGAGCATTCGCAGGAGGAAAAATCTTACCGAAGGTAAATGACACAGGGGAGAGCTCTTCAGGTACAAGGCTTCTGGGAGAAGACATTTTCCCAGACTGCCATCCCTTGGAGATGTGATGCACTCAGTATTTCAGGTCACCAAGATAGATTCAGGTTCTTAAACCTACTAGATTTTAGGCAACTCATTTTGGATCCCTAAGCTAGGCTCAGGTTCCTACACCCCGGGGGGGATTTTAGGCACTGTATATTTCAGGTGGCTGAGGTAGACCCTGGTTAGCTGAAATTGAATTCATTGTCTTTTGAATGGTGTGTCCTGATCTCTGTTCAGAATTTTAAATAAAGGGAAGAATGGAAAGGAATGAAGTTACCTGGAGAGTGAATTCCAGAACTTTGTCCTGCAGAATTTACATGCAGATTCTGGAGCGGGAAGGGAGGGTGGGTCTGGATTCTGCTGGTTCTCCCGGGGCTGTGCTGGTGTCCCTAGGTTGTTTGCAGCCCTTTTCTCTGGCTGCATTTGTCTGCAGATAATTTGTTTCCTGCTGATATATTTATAAGAAGAGGGAAGATAAAATAGAAAAAGTGATGACTAACTTTTACCTGTTATGAATATAATTTGGAAGTAAATACAGTTTTGTAATGTTTTGGATTTGAAATTTTTAAAAAAAGGCCCAAACACCCCAAATCCATGCTGAATCAAAGGTAGCATGTTTGAAATTGGGGATCCTTTTTTTCGATTTCTTGCAGACTGGTAGGATGCACAGCATGAAGAAGAAGAGGGACAAAAAGTACAGGAGAGAGAGATTTTGAACAGCATGTATGTAACAACTGGACCAACACACTGAAGTCATCTAGGTTTATGTCTGAGATTCCTTAAGTGTAAAGTACAAAGGTTGGTGTTGGGTTAGAATCCCTGAGAGAACTGTTGCTGTTGTAATCCGGCCTGGACGTTTTTATGAGTAGCGCACTTGTGGGACGGAATAAATTCGGGGTTGAGCTTCACCATCTCTTTAGGCAGACTAATTCCCCGCCTCCCCTCAGCTGATTGCCTTCAGGCAGAGTTCATGGAAGCCCAGGTTTGAGGACAACTGAAAATTACAATCCAAGTGTAAATTTAGCTTTCGTAGCTGTTTAAATAAGGTACTATTTTTTCGATCTTTATTTCACTTTGAAGGCCTGTGTGTGTGTGTGTGTGTGTAAATCTATATACTTTTATATATATACACACATACACATATACATGAACTTAAAGGATGCTGTGTTTTGGCTGTGTCTACTTTATGAAAGTTATTTTTTGAGATTAGAATGTCTCAAGTATTTCATAAAGTTAAGATATTAAAAGGCAGGCTAATTCAGCTAAGTTATTTCTTCTACCATAGCTATACTTTAAAAGTAATACTGAAGAAGGATTTTTTAAAAAATTTTATTTTTCCAGTAGGCTGATTTTACTCGAAATACTCGAGGAGCAAGATCTGCTTTTTTAATACGTGCTAGCATGTTGCTTGCATCAAAATCATTCATGTGTAAGAGCTTTAGAGGAAGATTTTTATTCTTTAATCTTTTGGCAAACGTTTGCTTGTTGGTGTGTGTAAGCATACATCATCCTTTACTGTGGGTCTTTTGAGGTTACGGTTGTTTCTTTTAATCATATTTGCTACTTAGATTTTGTTCTTTCCTGTGGTCACATGACATAAAGGTTCTGTATGGTCAGGGAATTTTATCATTTGATTTGGGCCGCATGTCTAAGAAAAGATGTCAGTGAGGCTGTGCGCTGTCAAGACTGATGCATTAAACCATGACTACCTCTGCTCACCTACTTCTCCTTGTTGTCCTGGAGAAGTGTGGGACTCTCATTGGGCAAAACACAGTGCCAATTTTGGAAAATGCAGTGTCCTGTGCCAAGCAGGTGGCACGCTTCCTGTCAAGAGGGCAACCACTTGACATCTCTTTCACCAGATGACCTCACAACGTGAGAAAATATTATGGGCTGGGCCAAGATTGGAGCAAGGGCGAGTAGCTGTCTGTGGGAGGGTTTGGTGTGGTGAACCTGTGTCTTCAGAGCGAGCACCTGTGTGATTACGGTCTGTTTCAGGCCAACTTTCCCCTCCCTAATGACAGAACGTGCAGCTTGCTCTGTGGCTCTGGGTGCTCTGTTTTTGTGTGCTTTTCCCAGGGATGATGGGCGTCTGAGTCACCCAAACCAGGAATATGAGTCACATGAGGCTTCATTTTTGCACAGTGTGGTGTTATTAGAAAGTGCGATCATTTTCTTGGATGTTTGACATTAGGAATCCTGTTGTTGTACGTGTTTTCCTTCCATGTATAACTTCCTTTGATTTTGTGCACCTTTTAGAGGGTGCTTAAGGTGTGCCTGTGGTTGTCAGCAATTCTCTGACTAAAATTTCATGTGAGTGCATGATGTCTCAGACAAATCATTAATCTCCCTTTTAATCTATTTTTATGTCTGTGTGTGTGCCCCTGTGTTTCATGGAATAAAGTAGCATTTAAATTCTTTGTGGTGTTGCCCATTTTCAAAGTGAAGGTCAGCTGTCTCTTCTCTTGGTAGGAGAAGGAGGGTAGAGGTTGCTTTCAAGGCAGAGAAAGGGAAAGTCGTTTCACATTTCATCAGGGCGCCATCCCCCTGCACGGTGGAAAGCTGTGTTTCAGTGTTTTGTTCTGTTCTGAGACTTCTCTGTTATACAGGGTTCTCTGTATAATCAGTGGTGAATGTTGCTATACTGAGTAGGATGCTTTCTTTAGCCAGTCCCCCTGCCCCCTCCTCCACTTCCATATGTAGGAATACTATGGATCTTTGCTTATGTTGAATATTTAAAAATAGTAGTTCTTAATTCTGGCTGAGAATAGAACTTACTGCAGCTTTAGAAATCGAAGTGCCCAGCGCGGCTGCAGTGCTGAAGAGGCCTCCCACGCGGAACCCGACCACAGTTCTGGAAGCTCCACAGGTGATCGGGTGGGCAGGCCGGCTTGAGAATTGGGTTTCAGGCTTCTTGCGCTTGAGGATGGATGTTGGATTTGTGTTCTTAATGTGATGAGACGTTTGGGGAAGGAATGATTTGGCACTGTGAGCTTTGGACCCTGGACAACGCCGCCGCCGTAACAGTGCCTGCACCTCGAAAGCGTGGGTGTCTAAGAGTACTTGGGAATGGCCCAGGGGTGTGCGGTTAAGGTTCCCAGTGTTTTCTGTTTCTTTAAGCCCAATTATGAATTTCATTCTGAAAGGATTCTCTGATTCAAAACAGTCTTCAATTAATGTGGCCCACTTCTTTGGCTTTTATGTGATACAGATAGCACTTTTATGAATATGTTGCATGTAAAAGTATAATCTGTTTAATTTTGAAGTGATGGACTTACAGTGGTGTTAAGTGATTGGTAATGCCCCTGTAGCGCTAACGTGTGTGTTGTGATTTAAGAATGGAAATATATTTTATAAATAAGGAAATTCTCTTGTGTGGCACCAGGGTGCCTGCCACAGTCACATTAAAGACTGTATATACATGTATTTGTGTGTGTGTGTGTGTGTGTTGGGAACTTTGTATCTGCTTATTAATTGTTGGGAACTCTCAATGCTGTAAAAGTAGCATTTTTTTTTTTTTTTTTTTGACAGGCAGAGTGGACAGTGAGAGAGAGAGACAGAGAGAAAGGTCTTCCTTTGCCGTTGGTTCACCCTCCAATGGCCGCCGCGGCCGGCGCCCTGCGGCCGGCGCACTGCACTGATCCGATGGCAGGAGCCAGGTGCTTTTCCTGGTCTCCCATGGGGTGCAGGGCCCAAGGACTTGAGCCATCCTCCACTGCACTCCCTGGCCACAGCAGAGAGCTGGCCTGGAAGAGGGGCAACTGGGACAGAATCCGGCACCCCGACCGGGACTAGAACCTGGTGTGCCGGTGCCGCAAGGTGGAGGATTAGCCTAGTGAGCCGCGGCGCCGGCCAAAAGTAGCATTTAAAGAAGTTTATCCGTAAACTTAATGGAATTCTGGTTAAAAATTCAGCAGATTCCTTCCTTCCTTCCTTCCTTCCTTCCTCTTCCTCTTCCTCTTCCTCTTCCTCTTCCTCTTCCTCTTCCTCTCTCTCTCTCTCTCTCTTTAGGAGAAAGGAGTGAATTTGGTCTAAGAAAAGTGAATGTGAGTAGTCCAAAAAACTTTAAAAAAAGATACTGAGACTTACCTGTTCGTATGTGTGCTTTAGTTTCACTGGTAGACCATCGCGCCGTTGGTGGAAGAATTCAACGCGGTGCAGGAGAATGGATTCTGTGGAGCCCAGTAATGCTGTGTTCGTGAGGATTTAGTATATGGCGAAGGTGGCGTTTCTAATCAGTGAATGCAAAGATAGTTTCTTAACAAGTGATACTGGGGCAGTTGACTACCTGGTTGAAAAAAAAAAGATGGATCTCTACCTTACCCGAATAAAAATTCTAAAAGAATTAAAGATGGAAACAAAATATTACTGTAAAACCACTGGAAGAAAATGGCAGTGGGCAAGATCTTTCGGCCCCACATAAAGATGCCTCATATGATTTTTCCCTTTCTCCTACCTGAAAAATCTTAACTACATGGTTAGCTATGAGGGTAGAAAGATGTAGACAGAAATACTTCCTCAAGGAGAATGACTATAAAGAGTACTTCGCTGAAGATAATTTCTTTTCTTGGTGATTAGTAAAAGTAAAAACGTGAAATTTATGGTGAATTTTCAAAGAATGTGATGAAAAAATGGCTTGCTTTGGAGTAAAGTTGTAACTAGTGGTGAAGCGTAGAATTTTTAGAATGATCCAGAAACAACATCAACATTTATATCACAGAAGTCTAGTCTGGATTCTGAAATCCACTAGGAATATGTCAGAAATCACAGGTGTTCATAGCAATGTCATTTGCTTAGATTTTTACAGACTTTATCCATAAGGGCAGTCAGTTAGGCTGATGTAAGGAGAACATTCTGGAATGTTGGAATGATTCTGTGGGATGTGAAAGTGTTGCTTTAGTCATGGGATGGTTGATGTTCCGGTTTACTCTGTGCAAACAAGTCTGTGACTAAAATTTCAGTTTAGTCTCCATGATCTATGTATCTAGTTCCTTCTAGTCAGAAAGTCTGCATTTCTTATTTGGCTCTGAAAGAGTTAAGCATTTTGTTAAATTATGAAACTAATTTCATTTAAAAAGTTCAATGAATTGTCTAATTGCCTAAAGACCACTATTGGAGATTTAAAAAAAAAATCACAGGATAAAACATGGCATAAAGGAAGCACACATTGAAGCTAAGAAATCAGGTTTGTCACTCTGCAATTTACAAACAGCTGCTGGTTTCAGATTCCCCATATTTATCAAATAAGGAGTTAAATTGATCTCTCATGTCCCTTCAGTTTTAAAAAGTCCATTGTATCATAGGTATTAGTGTTCTGAAAAAAGTTTATTTTTCATTTTTTTAAAATACTTATTTTTTGAAAATTTATTATTATTCATTTGAAAGTCTCTCTAAAGAGGGAGAGACAGAGATCTTTCATTCACTGGTTCACTCCTTAGATGGCCATTGCTGGGCCAGGTGGAAGCCAGGAGCCAGAAGCTTTTCTGCCATTCTCCCACATGGGAGCAGGGCCTGTGCACCTGGGCCCTCCTCCACTACTTTCCCAGGCCACCAGCAGGGAGCTGGAGCGGAAGTGGAGCAGCTGGGACACAAACCAGCACCCACATGGGATGCTGGCATTGCAGGCAGTGGCTTTAACTGCTAAGCCAATGCTGGCCCTGAAAATAGTTTTTTTTTTTTTTTTTTAAAGATTTATTTATTTGAAAGGCAGAATTACAGAGAGAGGGAGAAAGAGAGAGAGGTCTTCCATCTGCTGGTTCATTCTCCAGATAGCCACAGTGGCCGAGCTGGGCCGATCCGAAGCTAGGAAGGAGCTTTTTCCAGTGCACTTCCGCCGTCTTGCTGCTTTCCCAGGCCATTAGCAAGGAGCTGGATCAGAAGTGGAGCGACTAGCACTCAAACTGCTGCCCATATGGGATGCCAGTGCTGCAGGCGGAGGCTTTACCTTCTACACCACAGCGCCAGCCACTCTTTTTTTTTTTTTAAAGATTTATTTTACTATTTGAAAGAGTTACAGAGAGAGGCAGACACAGAGAGGTTCTCCATCTGCTGGTTCACTCCCCAGAAGGCCGCAATGGCCGGAGCTCTGCTGATCCGAAGCCAGGAGCCAGGAGCTTCCTTTGGGTCCCCATCGCTAGTGCAGGGCCCCATGCACTTGGACCACCTTCCACTGCTTTCCCAGGCCATAGCAGAGAGCTGGATTGGAAGAGGAGCAGCCAGGACTAGAACCTGTGGCCATATAGGATGCTGGTGCCCCAGGCCAGGGCCTCAACCCGCTGTGCCACAGCACCAGCTCTGTCCCTCATTATTTTTAAATAAAGATTATTTATTTGAAAGGTAGAGGAGGATGGGGCAGGAGAAGAGACAGAATTCTTCTCACCACTGGTTCACTCCCCAAATGGCTGCAACAGCCAGGTCTGGGCTAGGCTGAAGCTAGGAGCCAAGATTACTCCATCCTGGTCTCCCACATGTATGGCAGATACCCAAACACTTGGGCCGTCATCTGCTGCTTTCCCGGGAGCATTAGCAGGAAGCTGAATCAGAAGCAGAGCAGCTGGGACTTGAATCAACACTCTCATATGGTATGCTGGTATTAAAAGTGGAGGTTTAACCTGCTGCAGCATAGTGCCCAGTCCCCTCATTGTTTTTATTTTACTTAAAGAACTTGATTTCCATTTTACTTGAAAGGTAGAGATAAATATAGAGATGAGAGATCTTCTCTCTGTTCGTTCATTCCCCAAACATCTGCAACAGCCAGGGCTGGGCCAGGCTGAAGCCAGGAACCTGGAACCCAATTCAGGTCTCCCCACATTGGTGCCAGGGACACATACTTGAACATTATCTGCTTCAATTAGCTAGAATCTGCATTGGAAGTGGAGGAAGGATGCAGGTGTCCTAAGTGTTGTCTTAACTGCTGGGTCAAGTGCCCTCCCCAAATCCTCATTACTTTTAATACTTTGTTATCTATAGGGGCATTTATGCATCTCACTGGTTTATGTTGAATTTATAGCAGACCATGCTTCCTGGGAATCTTGTTTCATGCTAGTGTATCAGCAGATTTTGTGAATTTGGTTTCAAGTTAAAGCCAGTTTTCTGTAATTTTCAGTTTAAACTTTTTGCTGTTAGAATAAGCTAACCCAATGCATATATCTGTTCAAGGCATATATTTTGTAAGATTTTTCTAAAGTGCTTGCCAAGATTATTTCCATTTTATAGAAGGACCACAAAATTATCTGCGATTTAGTGTTTGCTGTGTGTTCTTTAACTTTGAAAAGTTAGTGTTTATAGATCTTAAAAAATACTTTCCACATCATTTTTGAGCTTTTCAAGGAAATATTCATAATTCTAAGTGATTTATTTTTCTTAGATTAAGTATAGGTTCTCTTTGTGGTTTTAATCTTTGGGAAAGATGGAATTTGCTTGGAGGGTTCAGTGAACATTTTACAAAATTGTTTATTTCTACATAAAATTCAACCTTAGATTTTATTTTTATAGCTTAATATGGATAGGTCTTGGTATGTTGTATTATTTTAATATAGCTTTAAAACAAGTCATAGCACCTTAACATACTTGGTTTATTGCTAAAAAATTATTGTATGTCTTTTTATTTTGAAATATACAAGTGGTTTTCAAGATAATTTTTGTTTGCATGCAGAATTTGTCTTTATTTAATGTGAGAAAGTGTTTCTATTATCTTGATCATTACAGAGCATGGATGTGCTCATCACTCATTTTTTTCTTTTTATTTGGAAGTCAGAGTTACAGTGAGAGATGGAGAGAGAGGGAGAGCGAGCTTCCATCTGCTGGTTCATTCCCAAGATGGCTGCAGTAGCCTAGGCTGAGCCAAGCTGAAGCCAGGAACCAGGAGCTTCATCTGTGTCTCCCATGTGGTGGGTGCAGGGGCCCAAGCACTTGGGCTACCTTCTGCTACTTTCCCAGGCCATTAACAGGGAGCTGGATTGGAAGTGGAGCAGCTGGGATACCAATTCGTGCCCATGTGGGATGCTGGCATCACAGGCGGAGGCTTTACCCGGCACACCACAGTGCCGGCCCCTCAGCACTCATTTCTAGGAAAAAAAATTAGACTACCTCTTCCACAGGAAGAAAAAGATAACAGCTTTCTTCACACCACTCTTTGAAGGGAAGTAGGAATTGATAATTATTGTTTACCCTGGCCACACGCTTTCAAAGAATAATGGGTACATGGCCTAGAAACTTTGTCACTATTATACCCCCCCTTTCATTCCATCTTAAAAATCATGGAATAAGTGATCAAAGGGGAGTCAAGAGTGTAGGCACAGCTGACTTCTCTTCAACTGCTTTTTCAGGTGGGGCCCCAGAATCCTCTGTGTTATCGTAGCCCATGGAGCTTGTTAGCAGGCAGACTCCCTGCCTTTCTACAAAAGGGAATTGAGCCAGGGAAAGTGCATTTTTGCACATTCTTTATTGTGGAAGCTTTTGAGCATGCAGAGAAGTAGAGGCGTGTACTGAACACCTGTTATTGTTCATCCGGATTCCGTAGTTGTTGATATGGATAGTTGTGTGTGTATTTAACATGCATCATGATGGTGAGAACTTCATCTCAGGTGCGACATATGTGGAATAATTCTACCTGGCTACAATGCAATTTTCCCACCTAAGGAAATTAACTGTACTTGCATAATTACTAATTCTGTATAATCATCTAATAGCTGCTTTTGTATATGGACTTACTCAGTTGTCCCCAACCATGTCTTTTGTAAGTTTTTTTCTTCCCTTCCAAACAGGGGTTTTTATCAAAATTCATACTTTACACTTATGTTTTTGTAGCTATAGAAACATTTCTTTTTTCTCCCATTTTTTTTTTAAAGCATGCAATGCTGTTCTCTTGTCTGTTCTCTTTTTGGATTGCTTAGTTGTTTTTCTGTAGGTGTCATTTGCCCTGTGTTTCTGATAAACTTGAACTTGACTTGAGAAGCTAGATTATATTAAGGCTACATATTGTTGTCAGAAGTATTGCCTTGTTTTGTTTTTAAAGATTTATTTATTTGAAAGGCAGAGTTACACAGAGGCAGAGAGAGAGAGAAGTCTTCCATCCGCTGGTTCACTCCCCAAATGGCTGCAACCTCCAGAGCTGGGCCGATCTGAAGCCAGGAGCCAGGAGCTTCCTCTGGGTCTCCCATGTGGGTGCAGGGGCCCAAGGACTTGGGCCATCTTCTACTGCTTTCCCAGGCCATAGCAGAGAGCTGGATTGGAAGTGGAGCAGCCGGGACTCAAGCCAGTGCCCATATGGGATGCCGGCGCTTCAGGTGGCAGCTTTACCTGCTGCGCCACAGCACCAGCCCAGTACTGCCTTCTTGTTTCATGTTACATCACATCAGTAAGCACCAATATACCTGGCTCGTCCTGTTATTGTTAGTGCTAACTTTTATCTCTTGGATAGGTTCTGATGCTAGATTTCTCCATATAAAGAACACTCTTCTTTTGGCAATCAGTAACTTATGCATGGGGTCTTACTCTGCAAGAGTCTTGTTTCCTGTAAACCTTTTACCTTAAGGTTTTAGTATCCATTGAGAATCCTTGCCTGAATCAGTTATTAAATTGTTGATTGGCTGGGGGTGGAGGTGTGTGATGGGATTTGTATTTTAATTTTATTATTATTTTTGACAGGAAGAGTTAGAAAGTGAGAGATAGAGACAGAGAGAAAGGTCTTTTTGACAGGAAGAGTTAGACAGTGAGAGAGAGAGACAGAGAGAAAGGTCTTCCTTTTCCGTTGGTTCACCCCCCAAATGGCTGCTACGGCCGGCGCGCTGTGCCGATCCGAAGCCAGGAGCCAGGTGCTTCCTCCTGGTCTCCCATGCAGGTGCAGGGCCCAAGCACTTGGGCCATCCTCCACTGCCCTCCTGGGCCACAGCAGAGAACTGGACTGGAAGAGGAGCAACGAGGACAGAATCCAGCGCCCCAACCCGGACTAGAACCCGGAGTGCCGGCGCTGCAGGCAGAGGATTAGCCTATTGAGCCGCGGCGCCGGCCGGTATTTGTATTTTAAACAAACTCCCATAATTCTTTCTTTGAGGTTTGATAATCATAGCTCTACTTGAATTAGGATTTACAAGTAAAAATAATAATGAACTGTCCTGAAGAAGTTAGTCTGAATGTGAGCACTGATGTTTTCTAACAGATGGTCAATGAACAGTAATGAGTTTAAGCTTCACGCTAGATTTAGAGGATCAAAGATAAAGTAAGCCTCCTGGTTCCCCAGCACCTAGGTTGGGGTTGGAGGGGACTTGTGGGTGATAGTTGTGGTAAACTGAGGTGAGCATTCTGAGCAGTATTAAATAACGTGTTAGAATGTGTGACTAGAATTAAAGGAGTTTGGAGGGGGTATAGAGAAATTACTAAGAAGGAAGAGAAAATGTGTACAAGGGGCTTCAAAAAGCTTATGGAACGTGAGACTGAAAAATAGTATGTGAATTTGATGTGAGTTTTTGAGTTGCCTTCATATATTGAAAATTGTTTTTACATAAATGGTCTCATTTAATTTTCTCTAGTTTTCCTTGCCCGTTTTACGATGAAGAAAGGGGTTTAGAGTGGCTAAGTAACCTACGTCTCTGGTAACCAGTGGAGGAAAGTTTGGAGGCAGAGCTTACTGATGGCAGAATGAGGCCTGCTGTCTAGGAGACTGCACTGCCTGGAGCCCTGGCAGCCGAGCTGTGGGCAGGCGGAGTTCCTTAGCTTTACTGTGAGACCTCACTGTTTTGGCCTATTAGAAAGGGAGATTCTTCCAGGCTTCTGATTGCCAGTGTATCGTGTTAGACTCCACAGAGATTAGGGAGGCTCAGTGCATTGCAGTTGATCATGATGGTTTCCACAGCTTCGTGTCCCTGGGTCTGCCCTTAGGACATTGTTTTCAGCACTTGACCCCAGTCTCTTTCTCCGGGTAGATGCACTTGCGAACTCTGTTATCTCCACAAACAGGAATGTGTGTCTTGGACACTACTTATCCCTGTAGGTCCTATCTGAATGCTGCACCCTTGGGTTTGTTCTTTGTCGACTTGTTGGAAACACTGGAGCAACAGTTCTATCCTTAAGGGTATAAAACCAGTGTTTTCCAAACCTTGGCTGTGGAATCACCTAAGGAGTCAGATATTTGAGTTCCACTGTCAGGGATTATGAGCCAGGAGGTCTGGGTTGGGTCTGAGAATTTACATCTTTTAAAGACCTAGGTTTTCAGACAGTTCCCCAAGCAGTGCACAGACAGCAGTTAGTACCATAGTTGTAGTAGGTTGGTTTCTACCAATATTTACAGAGGTGGTTCCCAAGGAGGCATGTGCATTAGGATCGCTTGGGAGGTTTCTGTTTTTTTTTTTTTTTCTGGTAAACTTAAGCTTTAGGCAGGTTAGAGGCAGAGGAGTGGAATGTGTAACAGAAGCTCTGCAGATGCTTTTAATGAAACACCAGAGTATAAACAGGCTCCGATTGGGTCTCTTACCTGAAATAGCTTGGTAAAAAGTGTGTATTAATCAAACACTCACAATTGCTGTATGTGTACCATGCCTAACATCTAGAATACCGTGAGAACATTTCGTGTTAAAGCTGTATGATGTATGATGTGGTATTCCTTTGATTCAGAAGCTTCCTTGGCTATTTGAAGTATTCAGAGTCGTTATGAACACAGTGGTCACCATTGGTGCTCAGAAGTGCCAGATTAGGGGCATTTTATTGTGTTGGGAAAATCGACATTCAGTCTAGAGTGAGTTTTGTCTCTTACATTTTCAGAAATGATTGTTATTTGTTGAAATCAGTGCCAAAGATAGGATTCCTAAAAAGAAGCTGTTGAATGAAAGTAGAGAAGGGATCTAATGGTTAATAAATGAGTGTCATTAGAGAGACAGGAATGAAGGGAGTAGAGCTTCATGGATTCATGGGGAGAATAGCTGGTGGGGGGAGGTTAGAGGGGGAGGAGTCATACAGTATTTTACTGCTGATAAGACACTAGGACTGTGTATTGGCAAGCCTTTCCCAAATCTACACACACCAAAGTGGAAGCTCAGGGTCAGAAATCCCAGGAGCTGAGTGGTTGGCAGACAGGGGGCCCAGGAGTGTATGGACATGTTCTGGGCAGGCAGGGGTGGATGCTGTGACAAATGGAGATTCTAGATCAGATGAGCAAAACTCTGATTTGTCATTTTGTTTTGTCATAAGGAATGCCACTTTTGAGTAGTCTTCAGCAATTGATGGATAGTCCTGTAGTTTAAGATTTTGCAGTTTTACCTTCTGTAGGACAGTTTCCCTCAAAGCTGACTCTGGATGACGACAGTTTGCTTTCCAAAAATGATATTTTCAAAATTTAAGCAATGACAAGTGGTTTCAGTTAGACCTGTTTTTGAGGGTGTGCTTTTGGAATGCAACAAAGGAGAAACTCAAATGAAGGACCCATTAATCTTGTTTGTAGATTAGACAAAAGTTATCAAAACAAAGAAGTTAAAAGCAGCTTGTACATTTGGAAAAATAGAATATTTGTAGTATTTGTGTACTAATTCGGAGTTCAGTAGGGACTGCATAATCATTCTTGGGTAGTTTTGAGATGCAGTAATTTGTGCGCAGTTTTGGAGGGAAGGGGTTGGTGTCCTTCCTAAGGCGTAATGGCTACGTGAGATGGTGGTTGGGCGTGTTCTGTGATTAGGGTGGAGGCCCGGAAGGCTGCAGTGTATTACTGTTGTTATTGCTTGGCGGTCCCACCTCACTCTCTGTATGTATTGTAATGTAGCACATACCTTGCTGAACCTCTCTGCAAAATCACACACCAAAAATAGCAGGACTCGGCGAACAAAAGAGTTAAGGCCAGAGTACTTAAAATTATTAAATTTTGTGGTGTATTTTGTGGTGTAGCGGGTGGGGCTGCCACTTGCAGTGTCTGCATCCTATTTGGGCACTGGTTCGAGGCCCGGCCGCTCCACTTCTGATCCAGCTCTCTATGGCCTGGGAAAGCAGTAGAAGATGGCCCAAGTCCTTGGGCCCTGGCACCCACATGGGAGACCCAGAGAGACTCTTAGCTCCTGGCTTCAGATCAGTGCAGCTGCGGCCCTTGTAGCCATCTGGGGAATGAATGATTGACCTCTTTCTACCCCTGCCTCTCTGTAACTCTGCCTTTCAAATAAATAAATAAATCTTAAAAAATTATTAAACTTTGTAAAATTGTAAACTTTGCACTAACAAAACACTGACAACCCAAATAAAAATACTAGCAGAGCTAACTTCACTGGCATTTGTACCCCGTATCACATGCAGATGATTTTAGGCCTTATTTGATCCTGAAACATGTAGATTCTCACAAACGTTAGCTTCTACCAGAAGCCAGCTTCACCAGAACTGAAGCTGTGTTTCTCTGTGTATCCTTCACACACACCCCCAGCATCGCTGGGTGGTAGATACTGAAGCTACTAGCCAGCCACCTGCTACTTGAACAGAAGGAAAGTGCTTTGATAAGATTCTTTTCTTTCTAATTTTTCTTCCTCCTTTTTTCCTCCTCCTTTCCTTTGCAAGTCTTTTTCATTATTTTGTGAAAAATATTGCCCTTGGTAACTTCAACACGTTACCACCCAGTAAGAATTGCACATGAAGCAGCACTGTTTCCCCACGATGCTGCTGTTCCCATTCCTCCAGGCACGCCTGAAGGAGTGCATGTTACACAAGCACTCATTGTGGCCTGAGAAGTTCTTGAATCCATGATGCTGTTGATATGCAACTCTTGAAAATGTCAAGGTTCTATTACCCTGGCAAGTTCTAGTTTGGGAGATATTCTGCAGTGTTCCAAGGTTAAGTGACATTTATTATTCTTATGCTTTGTTAGCCCTTAAATGCAATAAAGAAATGAAGAGGGGCTATTTTAATCCACTTTTAAATTTCGGCTTCTGTTCACCTATTCATTGGGTAGTGTGTGATAATGTGTTAATGCTACATCTGTACTTGAACCAACAGAGAGGGAGCAGGTTGATTTTCTATTTTGATTTATTCGAAATGTGGTTATAGTGAGGCTTTTATATTAAAATTCATCTGAGCATACAGTAAACAGAAAAAAAGAGCAACAGTAGCCAGTTGTCAAGGAAGAGACTGATGGGTAGAATAAACAGACGCCTTTCTGCAATATAAACAATCTGTTTTCATAGTTTTTCTTTTTCCTTGTTTTTTTGAAGGAGGATTGGGAGAACATCCAAACTAAGTAGAAGTTAGTTAAATGTGTAAAGCAGTAAGCCCACGATGTGTAAGTGATTATCACATATTGTTTCTTCAGTGACTTTAATAACAGAAATGTTAGTCACTTGATAGAAACGCATTGTCTGGTGTAGGTGGTCCTGGCTGGTGGTGGCTTTGACGTATTTTGGGGACTTATCACCCTTAGAAAATAGAAAGTGGTATAGAGATTCGTAAATAGTTCTGTACTTAGACCAGGTATCCCCCAGATTAAGGGGGGCAGATATGTCTGTATGTAAAATACTATCATGTAAAGAGTACAAGAGGCAACTTCCTTTTTTTAAAAGAAAAATTATTTGAAAGGCAGAGTTCCAGAGAGGGAGACAGATTTTTCATCTGCTGGTTTACTCCACAAATGCCTGCAACAACCAGGATTTGGGTCAGGTAGACTCTGGGAGCCAGGAACTCCATCCAGGCCTCTCACATTGGTGCTAGGAGCTCAAGTACGTGGGCTGCTCCTTCCAGGTGCATCAGCAGGAAGCTGGATCAGGGATGGAGTAGCTGAGACTTGAACCAGGTGCTCTGACACGGAACACAGATGGTCCAAGCAGTTAACCCACTGCGCTGCGATGCCTTTTACAACTCTGATTTTTATTGTAATTCAGAGCTTGTTTCTCTCCAAAGAAATATTTTAGAATTTGTAGGCCATATAAGGCCTCTGTTGCTTAGTACCTTTTGAAAATGTAAAAAATTGGAATGGATGTCGAACCTAGTAATGAAGCTTGCTGCAATTTTTGTATCCCGTTTCAGTGTGGGTTTGATTCCCAGCTCTGGCTTCTGAACCCAGCTTCCTTCTAAAGCAGATCCTGTGAAATAGGGATGATAGTTTAAGTATTAGGTTATTCTCCTGGCAGAGGGGAGCGCTCTTGATCTCACTGTCTCTCTCTTAAATAAATAAATAGCCTTAGTGTTGCATGGAAATGGACTAACTCCTGTTTTTGTTGGTCAGGTAAAGCAGGTACCTTTAAAAATTAGTAGCTAGGTTCAGTTGTTTTAGATGTGAGCCATACTAAATACACTAAATGAGCATATACTGAAGTAATTCAAGTAGAGTTTCAAATAATTTCTCTTCATATGAAATTTCATTGAGGTAAAAATGGCCGTCACAGATTAAATAAAAACTGTTGTGGCTCTATACCTAAGATACATTAGTGTTTCCAGTCTTAACAGATGTTCCATCTGGTTTAGAAAGATTGGGATCTAGATTTGTGACCATAGCTAATGAAACTTTGACAAAGCCATGTCCTGTACTTGAGGACCTTATTGAGCACTGTTCTCCAAGTTAACTATTCCTAAAAGTGATACCTGGTTGTTATCTGTTACATGTATAGACCACCAAATATAATAACTAAGCAATGTGCAAATTTATACCTAACTTGGAAATTTACACTGAATCTTTGTGTACTGATACATACTGAATTCTATTATAATGTATCTTAGTAACCCTTGGGAATGGATTGAAGTTACTTAAAAATTTCTTTCAGGTGTTAATTATATAAATATGACTTAAATTTAAAACTGAACCTAAAATGACTTCATAAGTATGTTTTATGAATTCTTATAGAAATCCATACAGTATTTGAAAAACAGAGTACCATTGATGTCTTTGAATACCTCTTCTGGTAATTTTGAGTATGAGCTGAACTACATTTTCTGGTTTTTTTTTTTGTTTGTTTTAAGATTTATTTATTTGAGGCACCATGGCTCACTAGGCTAATCCTCCGCCTTGTGGCGCCGGCACACTGGGTTCTAGTTCTGGTTGGGGCGCCGGATTCTGTCCCAGCTGCCCCTCTTCCAGGCCAGCTCTCTGCTGTGGCCCAGGAGTGCAGTGGAGGATGGCCCAAGTCCTTGGGCCCTGCACCCGCATGGGATACCAGGAAAAGCACCTGGCTCCTGGCTTCAGATCAGCACGATGCGCCGGCCGCAGCGCGCGGGCCGTGGCGGCCATTGGAGGGTGAACCAACGGCAAAAGAAAACCTTTCTCTCTGTCTCTCTCACTGTCCACTCTGCCTGTCAAAAAATAAAAAAATAAAAAAAATAAAAAAGATTTATTTGAAAGGCAGAGTTAGGGGAAGACAGAGAGATGGAGATGGAGATGGAAGAGATAGAGATAATGGAGATGGAGAGGGTGGATCTTCTATCCTCTTGTTCAGTTCTCAAATGGGTGCAACAGCCAGGGCTGCACTAGGTTGAAGCTGGGAGCCTGGAACTCCATGCAGGTCTCCCACATGGGTGACAGGGGCCCAAGCACTTGGGCCATCTTCTGCTGGTTTTTCCCGGGCCATAGCAGAGAGCTGGATGGGAAGTGGAGCAGTAGGACTTGAACTGGTGCCTGTGTGGGAGCCGGCACTGTAGAAGTGGCTTTACCTGCTATGCTACAATGGCGGTCCAAGCTTGTTTCTTCTTAAAAAGCCAAAATCAGTGACCTCTGTGGCTACAAGTAGTACCTTCTCAGACTATATTGTACTTGAGAAATTAAACCGTAAATTATAATTAGAATGAAAACTATACACTGATTCTTATAATAGACTCTATTTGGTGAAATAGATCAACTAGACATTGTGTGTGAGGTAATTGTGTAGTTGATGTTATTAATGTGAGTTTAATACTTTGCATCATATTTTCTTGTATTATCTACTGCTGCCTTTTACTTACTTTCAAGCTTGCATCTGTTGTAGCCAGGAGATGTTATCACCCTGACTACAAATGGTGCTTACCCCTTACTATTGTAATAGGTCACTGGTTGGTTCTGTTTGAGCTTGTCTGAAATAAATACTGTTACTGCTGAAAATGTTATCTTTATACTGTATTTAAAACTGTACTCCTGAGTCTTTCCAGTTTATAAGGCCCACTTGGGTGGGGTCTCCAAAAATCTTACTCAGTGACCTTATGGTGATATTCATCAGTGCAGATTTTAGGATCTATTCTTAAGACCAAATAAAAAATAAATTGGCTAACCTCACATTATAGCTGGTCTTGATTAGCACAGATGTAACCATTGTAAAGCTGTGATCTGGAAACCAGAAAATAACCAGCTGATGAATATGTGGGCAAATTGGAAGCCTTGTGCACTGTTGGTGGCAATGTAAAATGGTGTGGTTGCTTTGGAAAACAGTATGGTGATTCCTCAAAAAGTTAAACATGAAATTGCTATATGACCCAGGAATCCTATTTTTGAGTATATTCAAAAAAGAATTAAAGCAGGGTCTCGGATTATTATACACCCATATCATAGCAGTATCATTCGTAAAAGCCAAAGGGTGGATATAACCCACATTTCCATCAGCAGATACAAAATGTGGTCTGCACATACAGTGCAATATTAGCCTAAAAAGAAAGGAAATTTGACATAGACCACAACATATATAAGACTGTTTCATAATATAACCTATTTTTAAAGATGACTTATTGATTTGAAAGAGAGGGAGAAACACAGAGAGAGAGAGTGATATCTTCCATTCGCTGGTTCACGCTCCAGATGGCCCCAATAGTCAGGGCTGGACTAGGCCAAAGCCGGGAACTAGGAGCTTCCTTTGGGTCTCCCACATGTGTGGCAGGGGCCCAAACACTTGGGCCATCTTCTGCTGCTTCTCCCAGTCACATGGGAGAGCTGGATTTGAAATAGAACAGCCAGGACATGAACTGACACACATGGGATGCCGTGTGGCAGGTGGCAGCTTTACCTGCTCCACCACAACGCTGGCCCTAATATACATGAAGCTTTTTGGCTCATTTGTAAATTCTCAAAGTTCTATATTAACCCTTTAGGTTGCTGCAAGTCAGTCCTAGAGCTGATAAACTGAAAAAGTTAGGCTGGAGTAGACTGATTTCGCTGTTGAGTATGTGAAATTGCTAGTTTGGAATCTTTGTTTGTGGTTTGTTTTCCGTAAGCTCTGGCTCCCAGCAGAATGTGGCTCTGTGCTTTGCTTTCTGTGTGACAAGGATCACTTGGCTCTGTTGAAATCAAGTGGGATGGGCTCCCTTGTGTCTGGCTCTGGTTGGGAGGGACCTCAGACTCTGCCTCTCCAGTTCAGAGGACTCAGTTGACTGTGCCTTTGCAGCTTGGAGGGGGCTTTAGGTGGAGCCATTGTAGTGGTTTACTGCCAGGGCTGCCAGAACAGAACACCTCCAAGCAGGCAGTTTAAAACAGCGGAAGTGTCTTCCCTCTCGGTGTGCAGGCTGGAGGTCCACAGTCGAGGTGTGAGCAGGGCTTCCTCTCAGATGCCAGGTAGGATCTTCCCATGTCCCTTCCTAGCTCTGGTGGTGGTTCCCTGAGTTGCACCTGCATGACATCTACCACTGGCATCTTGTCCCTGGAGTTTTCCCTCTATGTCTGTCTGTGTCCAAATTTCTCTTTTATCAGGAAGCCAGCCATTTTGGATTAAGGGTCCGTTATGACCTCTTTTTTTTTTTTGCATAATCACCCTATTTCCAAATGAACTTGCATTTTGAGGTGTAGGGGATTTGAACTTCCACATAACTTTGGGAGACAATAATTCAAGCCACAACACTTGTGCTGTTTTTCTCTTCTGTAACATGTTTTTTTAAAAAAATTATAGTTGGTCCAATGTCAATCTTAACTAAAAAATGAAGGTAGTTTGTTTTCTTGAAGTTCGGGAATGGGTAACCCTTCAGGTAGGGAAATGATGTGTTTATGGAAACGTACTGTAAAGCAGGTTGTGAGACAAGTGAATGGGCGGCTTCACTACAGGGAAGTAGGACAGAGTCTTCGGGGCTGACTTGTTAGGAATGAGGTCACACAACCGGCTGCACCTTGCTGCATGTTGTTTTAAGTGGGCCTTCGCTGTCTGCTCCGGTAACCCTGTGGGTAATGCGTTTTCTCACTTGCCACAGTGCCATAGGCTCAGGCTTTAGAGTGGACCACTGAATTCTCTCCGCCTTAGTTTCCCCATCCGTAGGATGGAGCTTTGCCTCCCTGGCAAGGGCACAGCAAGTTGGGAGGAGATAACGTGGGCACCGTGTCTGTTGGCTCTGTGTGTGTTGTCCCCCTTCTCTTCACTGGCCACACAAGAAGTGGCTCTTGGTGGTGTCGTTGGGCTTTGGTGCTCTGCCAACAGGAACGTCTTTGCTCCTGAGATGCCAGATTTTGTCCAGGGCTCAAAAAGTAGTTGCCAGGAAGATGGCCAGAGGAGGCCTCTTGCTCCACCTAGAGGCTTTGTGGGAAGTTTCTCAGGGAAAGGGCCTCCTGCTTGATGAAGATGTGTGGATGGCTGGGAGTCCTAGGAGGCCTCACTAATGCAGTGCTATGGTGTAGTGGTGCTCCATCTGCCTCTCCCCAGGTGTTTGCATAGGCCTTGGATTTGGGACATGGGGAGTATGGGGGCAGGATCTTAATGTTTAGAAAAAGAATTTTACATAAAATTTGACTTGACATAATTTAAAAATTAATTTTATTTTCTTTATTTGGAAGGCAGAGAGAGAGAGAGAGATCGATCAATCTTCCATAGGCTGATTAACTCCCCAGTTGCCCCCAGCAGAAAGGACTGGGCTAGGCCAAAGCTGGGAACTCAATCTGGAGTCTCATGGCTGTGGCAGGGACCCAGCACTTGAACCATCACCTACTGTCTTCCTGGGTACACAGAAGCAGTAAGCTGCATCAGAAGTGGAGCCAGGACTCAGATCTGGGGATTCTGATACAGGATATGCGTGTCCCCAAGTGTTGACTTAACCCCTACCAAACCCCTGCCCCAATTTTAAATTTTTAAGAAGTGTGCACATTATTTTATAAACAGCATAGTTTAATAAATACTCATTACCAGTATATTTGAAGCAATTTTTCCCCTTTCCAGTTACAACATCATGCATATGCTTTCTTTTGGAGGACTTTAAGATTTATTTATTTATTTGAAAGGCAGAGTTACAGAGAGGCAGAGAGAGACAGAGACAGAGATCTTCCATCTGCTGGTACACTCCCCAGATGGCTGCAGTGGCTGGAGCTGAGCCAATCCGAAGCTGGGACCCAGGAGCTTTTTCTGGGTCTCCCAAGCAGGTACAGGGGCCAGAGGACTTAGGCCATCTTCCACTGCTTTCCCAGGCTGTAGCAGGAGCTGGATTGGAAGTGGAGCAGCCAGGACTCGAACCAGCACCCCATATGGGATGCCGGCCCTGCAGGCGGTGGCTTTACCTGCTGTGCCACGCACCAGCCCCAGGACTTTATTCTTGACATGTGGACATAACACATTTTCACTCATCGGTTATTGCATGTAAAAGGCCACTTAGCTAAATCTGTTTCTGATTTTGTAATTTGGAAATGATAATAATTTTACTAATCTTAAAATGTTTATAAAGATCAATACAGAGGATTTAGATGTGTTAGTAGTTGGATTAGATAATTTCTCAGATTTATTTCAACTGTGAGTTTCTTTGATTTTTGAAAATTGGCTCACATTTAAAGATGCTAAGTTTGGACACATGCAGTACGTAACTTTGGGACCTTGTAAAATGAGTTGTATGAGGGCATTTGTTTCACATTCACAGAGCAGTGTATATGTGTGAGTGCAGGGTATCTCACTCTTATGGTCAGGAGTCGGTATTTGTGGGGCTCTAAGTGTATTGTTTTTGAGAAGGCTGGAATTGCAAACTTGTGTTCTGCTAGGCATGTTACACTGTTTGTACAGTATAAACAGATAGATCCTGAAATTGGCTGAAGAGTACCCTGCATACTCATGGCCTTCAGATGGACAGTGTATTTTGCAAAGTGTGGTGTCTGTGTTGAGATATCACTGTCTGGTACGAGAAGGAAGCATAGAGAACAGGGTATAAAAATCATATATTGCTGGGGCCAGCGATGTGGCATAGTGGGTAAAGCCTCCACCTGCAGTGCTGGCATCACACATGGGCACCTGTTGGAGTCTTGGCTGCTTCACTTCTGATCCAACTCTCTGCTGTGGCCTGGGAAAGCAGTAGAAAATAGCCGCAGGTCCTTGGGCCCCTGTACCTGCTTGGGAGACCTGGAAGAAGCTCCTGACTCCTGGCTTTGGATCAACCCAGCTCCAGCCATTGCGGCCATTTGTGGGGTGAACCAGTGGATGGAACGGATGGAATACTTTCTCTCTCTCTCTCTCTCTCTCTCTCTCTCTCTCTCTCTCTGCCTCTCTGTAGCGCTGCCTTTCAAATAAGTAAATAAATATTTTTAAAAAGCGTATATTGCTTTAAAAGAAATAATTATCTTCAAGTAGGTAACTAGAAATTTGAGAACTTAATAGAGGGACCTGAAGAGTAGATCTTGAAACAAATTTTCTTGTCTAAACCCTTCCCCCAATTTTTTTTTTAAAGTAAAATTTCACTTATGTGACTTAAGGCAAAGGAGACTCTAATACTCTTACTTTGAGGCTCTGGTTGAATATTCTCCTGTCCAGAGGTGGATGATAGGAGGCTGAGGCTGTGAAAATACCCTTGGGTTGTCCATTTTCTTGTGTGTCACTGGAGATTGTGGTATGAGATCATGAGAAGAGCCGTAGCCCTTGCTTGGGAGACCTCAGGTGAGAGCTGGGCCTGGGAGAATGCCACAGGCAGGGTCTGTGCCCCATAAATCGGTGTCACCTCTGAGCGGATGAGTAAGCGACTGAAAGAAGGCACTTTGCGTTCCTTGCAACAGTCACCACCACTTTGTTCCTTGCATCAAAGGAAAGAACAGAATGTCTAATTATAATAATCTTCTATTAATTACAATATTTTGCAGTCGTTTTCTTTTAAAAATCTATTTGAGTAACTACTAGCCTTCAGAAGCTGTTGGAAAATAGTATTTAGGCAGCAGCTGGCAGCTCCCAGTGTTGGAATCTGTAGTGCTGAGCTCGTGAGAGATTCCATTAGTTGGACATACACTTTGATGTCCTTACTGCCGCTGCAACGCATTCTTGTGAGCAGCTGTTTTGGAAGGGGACACACAGTAAGCATTTCCACACTTGTTTCAAGGATGTGGGTTTTGCTGGAGTGTTGCCTGCCATCTGGAAGGGAGAAGAGTGAGTGACTTATTCCCAGAAAGGAAGGACTTGCCGTCTCCATGTGTGTTCTCAGTGCACGTGGAGGTCCTCCCTTCATTTCCCGTTCCCTGAGAGGATAACTGACAGCTGCAGTCATTTTGGCATGTCAGAGCCTTAGCGGTGAGCTACATGGAACACAGCATTTGCAGATGTGTGCTTTCCACTGGATCTGCTCAGTGCTTCTAATTTTCAAAACAGTGTTTTTCATAGTGTCTATTGAAACAGTATTTTCGTTTAAAATTTTTTTTCAAATACTTCTCTCTTTTTTTTTAAGATAAGATTTACTTATTTATTTGACAGGCAGAATTACAGAGGAGAGATGGAGAGCGAGAGCTCTTCCATCCCCTGGTTTATTCCTCAGATGGCTGTAACAGCTGGGCGTGGGCCAGGCCAAAGTCAGGGACCAGAAGCCTCATCCGGATCTCCCACATGGGTGCAGGGGCCCAAATACTTGGGCTGTCTTCCACTGCTTTCACAGCAGGGAGGGAGGTGGATTGGAAGTGGAGAGGCCAGGACTGGAACCTGCATCTGGTTGTTGACGTCATAGGCAGCAGCTCAATCCGCTATATGCCATGAGGTGGGTCCTGAAACGGCATTTTTAAGCAAAAGAAGATTTGATGTCATCAACAAGTGAGACAAAAATGCTTCCATGTGTAAAATAACATATGAAAGTCCTCCCTTTTTCCTAAAGCACGTGAGGGTCACTGTTGTCAGGGAGCAGCCAGGTTTGTCGCTTGTGCTTTATTTTGTTTGGGTCCCAGCCAATAATTAAATACTCCATGTGTGTGTAATAGCAGGTGCACAATAGTTGGAGAGAGCAGTGGCATTAAGGGACTGGTGGAGGTAGGTGGAGTACAAGAAAATCCTCCTTAAATGAGACAGCTGGCCAGGAGATGGCTCAGCTGTAATCGGAATGGCAGCCACCTTAGCTTGAGGGTCTCCTAGGTGCAGGGCATTAATTGCTCTGCATAGTATGTATATCTCACTGAATCCTGACACCAACCCTGGGGGTAACTACTGCCCCATTTTACAGATGGGGAAACAAGCAGAGAAATGAACAACTTGCCCAGTGTCATACAGCTTAGTAAGAGATTCCAATTTAGCCAGTCTGGATCCAGAGTCATGTTCTTACAGTGTTGTGCCATCTTGGAAACACAGCTCTGGACTCTGAAGCTATTGTATTTTTAAAATTATACCGTTAGGTCCCCAAATCAGGCAAATGAAGTAAATGAAAATTATCAGTATGTTGATGACTTAAGTAGCAGGTAAGAGATTTTATGGGATTGTTAAATATTTACAGCATGACAAAGCGCCAGTGTTGCTAGACTGCCTGCAGGAATCTGTCCCTCTTAGGAGCTGGCTTGGGTAAAGGAAATGTTTTCCCCAGACATCTTCTGTAGTGTTGCATTCTTGTATCTTTCTGTGGGACCTGCCTGCTTGCTGGCTTTTGCTGCTGCTGAGTAGGCAAACATACCTAGAGAGCGCCATGGAATAAGCTGTGCAATTCAACGTTGATTTAAGTGGAAGCTTTTTTGGTGATTCAAAAAAGGAAAAAAATACCTTCCTGTCTATATTTCCATTCCTGGCACCTAAACCCAGCCTGTTTTACTTGGGGATAGGCATGGGGATGTGGAAAACACTGAGAACAGGGGAGGTGAATGTTGCTTTGATAATCAAGTGACTTCCATGAGAAGCTATTGTGGAGAAAAGGACATTTCTTGTGGATATTGTGTATATATATATATATATATATATATACACACCTAAAATTCACACACTGACCTAAAATGAGTGCCTTGATGGAATAGCAGCATTTTGAGAGCTGTACCTCTTAATGTGTGATAATTAGTAGTAAAAGAGGCAATATCTCCTATCTCCAAGACTATTTTTTTTTTTTTTGACAGGCAGAGTGGACAGTGAGAGAGAGACAGAGAGAAAGGTCTTCCTTTGCCGTTGGTTCACCCTCCAATGGCCGCCGCGGCCGGCGCTCTGTGGCCGGCGCACCGTGCTGATCCGATGGCAGGAGCCAGGCAAATTATTTAACTTTTGTTTTTGAAAGGCAGAGAGACAAATGGAGAGATTGATCTTCCATCTGCTGGTTCATTCCCCAAATGCTGGCCAAGGCTGGGCCAGGCCAAAGTCGGGAGCTTAGAAGTCAGTCTGGGTCCCCCAAATGGGTGGCAGGGACCGGATTACTTGAGTCCTCGTCTCCTGCCTCCTGGAGTGCACTTGCAGGAAGCTGGATGGAAGTGCAGTGGCCAGGACTCAGGCACTCCTTATACTCCCTATTCCAAGCAGCCACTTAACCATTGAGCCAAAAGCCTGCTCCACCAGCAAAATTCTTCTCTTCTTTTTAAAGATTTATTTACTTATTTCAAAGGCAGAGTGATGGAGGGTGGGGAGATCTCGATCTTCCATCTGCTGGGTCATTCTTCAAATGGCTGCAACGTCTGGAGCTGTTCAGGTGAAAGCCTGGAGCCAAGAACTTCATCCAGATTTCCCACATGGGTGGGAGCAGCCCCAGGACAGGCACATTAGCAGGAAGTGGAGCAGGCTGGAGACTTGAACTTGCTCTTCGATATGGGATGCCAGCATTGGAGGCAGCACCTTAGCTCACTGTACCACAACACTGGCCCTAGCAAAATTCTTAATGGCAGTTTTTGTTTCAAAATATCTCATGAGCAGCTGGACCGTATGGCTGACTGCACTTCAGCAAGTCCTTTCTTAGCTGTTCTGTCTTCCTACTTGACCAGGTATGTGACACTTACTAAAATGTAAACTTCAGGCCGGCGCCGCGGCTCACTAGGCTAATCCTCCACTTAGCGGCGCCGGCACACCGGGTTCTAGTCCCGGTCGGGGCACCGGATTCTGTCCCGGTTGCCCCTCTTCTAGGCCAGCTCTCTGCTGTGGCCAGGGAGTGCAGTGGAGATGGCCCAAGTCCTTGGGCCCTGCACCCCATGGGAGACCAGGATAAGTACCTGGCTCCTGCCATCGGATCAGCGTGGTGCTCCGGCCGCAGCGCGCTGGCCGCTGCGGCCATTGGAGGGTGAACCAACGGCAAAGGAAGACCTTTCTCTCCGTCTCTCTCTCTCACTGTCCACTCTGCCTGTCAAATAACAAAAAGAAAAAAAAAGGAAAATTTCAGAACCCTCAAGAATAATGTTATAAAGATGACAAAATATTTTCTCAGTTCTTTTTCATAATTTCTAAACTAGAACTTCCTGAACATATGTGGATTCAAGATTGCTAATCTAAATCCTTATGTTGGAGTCTTCGTGAAGGGTGATAGATTATCATTCTCAGATTTATCAGTGACAGTTAACATATAATGTTCCTTTGCAAAGTATGCAAGCCTAAGAATATTCTCAAACATTGCCAAGACTTAGTAGACAAAGAATAGATGTTATTTTAGACTTCCTTTTTAGCCGATCTAAAAAAATATCTTTATAGCTATGGGTATCTTTGCGTTCACAAGACTTTGTTTTCCCCCTTTTCCCTTTTTGTTGCTTAAAAGCATTATTGTAAAATAGATTAATATAATTAATAGATAATTAATATTGGTAGATTAACGAAAATAGATTCATATAACATAATTAATATAATCTAAATAAGATTAACATAAAATAGATTAATATAAAAGTTATCATTCTAACCACTCTTAAATGTACAGTTCTCTGACATTAAGCACTTCAATGGTGCTGTGTAACTGTCACTGTTGCCCATTTTCAGAACTTTGTTGTTATCTCAGATAAAAACTCTGTACCCTTTACATATTCCTCACTGCCCTCTTAGATATATAAACCTCTATTGATATATACTTTGCAAATATTTTTTCCATTCTATAGATTGCCTTTTTATTTTCTTGATGATGTCTTTTGGCATGGAAGTTTTTTTTTTTTTTTTTTTTTATTTTTGACAGGCAGAGTGGACAGTGAGAGAGAGAGACAGAGAGAAAGGTCTTCCTTTGCCGTTGGTTCACCCTCCAATGGCCGCCGCGGCCGGCGCGCTGCGGCCGGCGCACCGCGCTGATCCGGTGGCAGGAGCCAGGAGCCAGGTGCTTTTCCTGGTCTCCCATGGGGTGCAGGGCCCAAGCACCTGGGCCATCCTCCACTGCACTCCCTGGCCACAGCAGAGGGCTGGCCTGGAAGAAGGGCAACCGGGACAGAATCCGGCGCCCCGACCGGGACTAGAACCCGGTGTGCCGGCGCCGCTAGGCGGAGGATTAGCCTAGTGAGCCGCGGCGCCGGCCCGGCATGGAAGTTTTTAATTTCAAGTTCATTTTATCTAATTTTGCTTTTGTTATTCATGATTTTGGTATCATATCTAAAAGTCCATTGCCAAATCCATGGATGTGAAGATTTACTGTTTTCTTCCGATGATTCTAGCTTTTATACTTGTATCATTGATCCATCTTGAGTTAATTTTTGAATATGGTGTTAGGTGTAATGCAGAGTCATTTATTTGCATGTAGAAATCCAGGGGATTGCTGTTGGTACAGTGGATTAAGCCACTGCCTGTGACGCCAGTATCCCACAAGAGCACTAGTTCAAGTTCTGGCTGCTCCATGTCTAATCCAGCTCCCTGATAGTGGCTTGGGAAAACAGTGGAGGACGGCCTAAGTGCTTGGGCCCCTGCACCCAAGTGGGAGACCTGGGTGGAGTTCCAGGCTCCTGGCTTCAGCCTTGCCCAGCCCTAGCTCTTGGAGCTATTTGGGGAGTAAACTAGCAGATGGAAGATCCTCTCTTTCTCGCTCTTGCTCTTTCTTTCTCTCTTTCTGCCTGTAGCTTTCCCTATCAAATTAAAAAAAAAAATCAGTTGTACTGTCACCATCTGTTGAAGAGACTATTTTTTAAAAGATTTATTTATTTATTTGAAAGGCAGAGATAGAGAAAAGGAAAGAGAAAGAGAGGAGAGACAGAGATCTTCTATCTGCTGGCTCACTCCCCAAATGGCTGCAACAGCCAGGGCTGGGCCAGGCTGAAGCCATGAGCCAGGAGCTTCTTCCACATCTTCCCCATGGTTGCAGGGACTCAAGGACTTGGACTATCTTCTGCTGCTTTCTCAGGTGCATTAACAGGGAGCTAGATCAGAACTGGAGCAACTGGGACTTGAATTGGCGGTACCCATATGGGATGCTGGCTGCAGACAGAGGCTTAACCTTCTACGCCACACTGCTGGCCCCCAAGAAGAGACTGTTTTCCTCCACAGAAAGGTACTAGCTTCCTTGTTGGAAATCAGTGGACTGTAGTTATATGATATTTATTTCTGGACTATTAATTGTATTCTGTTGGTCTGTTAGTCTGTCATTATGTCAGCACCATGCTCATTTGATTGCCATATCTTTGTGGGAAATTTTGGAATTGAGATATATATCCCTTCATTTTCTTACTATTTTTTTCAGGATTATTATTGTTCAGGGCCTCTTGAAATTCCATATTAATTTGAGGATTGACTTTTCCATTTCTACAGGGAAGACTTTTGGGGTTTGGCTAGAGATTGCAGTGTATAGATTGCTTTGGGTTGTATTGCCATTGTAACAGTATTAAGTTTTCTAATCCATAAGTACAGGACATCTGTCTATTTAATTAGGCCCTTTAAATTTCTTTAATGTTTTATAGTGTACATGCCTTCTACTTCCGTAGTTAAATTTATTCCTGCTATTTTATTCTTTTAGATTAAAAGGATGTTTTGGTGGATTCTTTGATAACTTTCTCTGTATCAGATCATGCCATTTGTGAATAAACTTTTACTACTTCCTTTTCAGTTGGGATGTCTTTTATTCCTTTTCCTGTTTAACTGCTCTAGTCAGAACTTTTAACATGTTGGTAATAGCGATGGTGAAGGTAGACATCCTTGTCTTTCATGTAATCTTGGGAAGGAAACTTTCAGTCATCATTGAGTTGGATGTTACTGTGGCTTTTTCCATAAACATCCTTCATCATGGTTAGGAAATTTCCTTTGATTCTTAATTTTCTTATTGTATTTATCATGAAAGTGTTAGATTTTATCAAATGCCTTGTATCGATTGAGTTGATGATACATTTTTTTCATTATGTAAGTGTGGTATATTGTTCTTACTAACTTTCATATGTTGACCATCCTTGAATTCTAGGAATAAATCTGACTTTGATCATGATGTATAATCCTTTTAATATACTGCTGCATTTAGTTTGCTCGTATTTTGTTCCGGGTTTTGCATATATTTTCTTTTTTTTTTAAAGATGTTATTTATTCATGTGAGAGGTAGAGTTACAGACAGTGAGAGGGAGAGACAGAGAGAAAGGTTTTCCATCCATTGGTTCACTCCCCAGATGGCTGCATCGGCTGGAACTGCGCCAATCCAGCTTCTTCTGGGTCTCCCACATTGGTGCAGGGGCCCAAGCACTTGGGCCATCTTCCACTGCCCTCCCAGGCCATAGCAGAGAGCTGGATCAGAAGTGGAGCAGCCAGGACTCTAACTGGCACCCATATGGGATGCCAGCGCCGCAGGTGGAGGATTAACCTGCTCCATGGCGCTGGCCCCGCATATATTTTCATAGAGGATATTGGTTTATAATTTTCTTATGATATCTTCAGTTTGGCATTAAGGTAATGCTGGTCTTATACCATGAGTTGAGAAGTGTTCTCTTCTTTGAAAGAGTTTGGGGGACTGGTATTGTGGCATAGTGGGTAAAGCGGCTGCCTGAGGTGCCAGCATCCCTTAAGGGCAACAATTTGAATCCCAGCCGCTCCACTTCTTATCCAGCTCCCTGCTAATGCACCTGAGAGAGCAGCAGAAGATGGCCCAAGTGCTTGGGCCCTGCTCCCACGTAGGAGACCCAGAGAAAGCTCCTGGCTTTATAGGTGTGTTGGGTTCTTTCTATTTCTTCTTCTCCTTTTTTACATAGATTTTATTTATTTATTTGAGAGGTAGAGTTACAGACAGTGAGAGGGAGAAACAGAGAGAAAGGTCTTCTGTCTGTTGGTTCACTCCCCAATGGCCGCAACAGTCGGAGCTGCACTGATCGGAAGCCAGGAGCCAAGTGCTTCTTCCTGGTCTCCCCTGTGGGTGCAGGGGCCCAAGGACTTGGGCCACCTTCTACTGCTTTCCCAGGCCATAGCAGAGAGCTGGACATGGAGTAGCCAGGACATGAACCGGCCGATATGGGATGCCAGCGCCACAGGCGGAGGATTAACCTCTTACACCACAGCACCGGCCCCTCTGTTTCTTCTTGAGTCAATTTTTTGTAATTTATGTGGCTGTAGGACTTTGTCTATTTCTTATAGGTTTAAGTAATTTGTTGATGTACAATTGTTCATAGTATTCTCATAATCATCTGTTTCTTTAAGGTTGATAGTAATGTTCCCACTTTGATTTCTGATTTTAGTTACTTGCTCTTCTCTCTTTTTTTAAAGATTTATTTTTCATTTACTTGAATGGCAGAGATATAGAGAGAGGAGAAATGGAGAGAGAGAGAGCACGCGATCTTCTCCAAGCTCTGGTTCACTGCCCAAATGTGCCAGACCAGAGCCAGGAGCTCGGAGCCTTCTCCAGGCCTCCCAGTTGGGTGCATAGACTCAAGCACCTGGGCCATCCTCCACTGCTTTCCCAAGTGCTTTAGCAGAGAGCTGGATTGGAAGTGGAGCAGCTGGGTCTCGAACATCGCAGGCACAGCTTTACTGGCTATGCCACCACACCGGCCCCTCCCCTCTTTTTTTTTTTTTTTTTTTAAATATTAACTTGTTTATTTTTGAAAGAATTACAGAGAGAGGGAGAGAGAGATTTTCCAACTGCCGACTCACTCCCCAAATGGTCACAATGGCCAGGGCTGGGCCAAGCTGGAGCCAGGAGCAGGATCCAGGACATTTATCTTGGTCTCCTACATGGGTGCAGGGACCCAAGCACTTGGGCCATCTTCTGCTGCTTCCCCAGGCACATCAGCAGGAAACTGGATCGGAAGTGTAGGAGCCAGGACTCAAACTGGCACCCATGTGGGCTGCTGGCATCTCAGGTAGCAGCTTAACCCATTATACCACAGTGCTGGCCCCTCTTCTCTCTTTGTTCTTACTTTATGTATGTGTTTGTCAGTTTTGTTGATTTTTTCAAAGAAGCTACTTTTGGGTTCATTGATTTTTCTCTACAGTTTTTCTATTGTCTATTTCCTTGAACTCCTTGCTAATAGCCATGTCCTTCCTTCTGATACATTTAGGTTTAGGTTTAGTTTTTAATGGTTTTTCAGGTTATATAGGTGTTTATAGTCATTAATTTCCCTCTAAATACTACTTTTGCTACATCCCATACGTTTTAATATGTTTCGTTTTCCTTTTCATTCCTCTCAAGGTATTTTTACATTTTCCTTGTGATTTCCTCTATGTCTCATTGGTTTTATCTGAGCAACAGAAGTAGGGGAGTGAGATGGAGAGGGGAAGAGAGATGAGGGGGAGAGACAGGAGTGGGAGAGAAAAAGAGAAAAGACGGGCAGAACTCCCATGTGCTGGTTTCTTCCACAAATGCCCACAATAGCTAGGACTGCCCACAATAGCTAGGAACTCAATCCAAGTCTCCCATTTTGGTGGCAAGTGTCCAATTGAGCTGTCACCACTGCTTTCCAGTGTCTGCATTGGCAGGAAAGCTGGAATTGGGACCTGGGAATTGAACCAGACGCTCTGATGTGGGACACAGGAGTCTTAGTAGGTAGGCCAAACCCACCCCATGGGTTTTTAAAGGAGTGTTTAATTCCATACATTTGTGGATTTTCCAGAGTTTCTTCTATTCTTTATTTCTAGATGTATTTCATTGTGGTTGCAAAGTATATGTTATGTGATTTTAAAATTTATTGAGACTTATTGTGTGGTCTTAACAGGGTCTCCTTGGGAGGTTATTGTAGATAAACTTTAGATGTATATTCTGTTGTTTGTAGGATGTTCTGTGGGTCTGTTAGGGCTAGTTGGCACATGTGTTGTACAAATACTGTTTCCTGACTTATCTTCTCTTAAGTTCTATATATTATTGAATGAGATGTGTTGAATATGTTATTATAGAACTTCATTTTTCTCCTTTTACTTCTGCTTGCCTCCTAAATTTTGGGGTTCTGTATTTGGTACATTTATATTTCTAATAATTATTTTTAATCATTGATGCTTTTATTAATACATACTATCCTTTGTCTAAGTGTCAGCAGCATTTAAGAAAGTTGCTTTAAAGTCTTTGTACAGTAATTACTTGTTGGCCTTTTCAGAGACATTATCTGCCCATTTTGTGTTCTTCAGTGAACTCTGCCTTGTGATTTGTTGCTGCTGCTGAACACCAGATGTGTGAAAACTGTAATGTTACTTTTCTTTTTTTTTTACGATTTTATTTATTTATTTGAGAGGTAGAGTTACAGAGGCAGAGACAGAGGGAAAGGTCTTCCATCCACTGGTTCACTCCCCAAATGGCTGCAGTGGCTGAAGCTGGGCCAGTCTGAAGGAGCCAGGAGCTTCTGGGTCTCCCACATGGGTGCAGGGGACCAAGCACTTCCATCTTCCACCGCTTTCTCAGGCCATAGCAGAGAGCTGGATCAGAAGAGGAGCAGCCAGCACATGAGCATGCACTCACATGGGATGCTGGCGCCACAGGGGAGGCTTAGCCTACTGCTCCACTGCACCGGCCCTAGTGTTAGGTTTCTTGAGATCAGACTCCCATTTCTTCCACAAGGATTATTCCCATCCCTCCCTTTTAAAGGCTGTGATATCCATTTTTTATCAAGTAAGTTTTCCCAACTACTTTTTTTTTTTTTTCCAGGCAGAGTTAGACAGTGAGAGAGAGAGAGAGAGAGAAAGGTCTTCCTTTACTGTTGGTTCACCCCCCAAATGGCCGCTATGGCCGGCGCCCTGCGCTGATCCAAAGCCAGGAGCCTGTTGCTTCCTCCTGGTCTCCCATGCGGGTGCAGGGCCCAAGTACTTGGGCCATCCTCCACTGCTCTCCCGGGCCACAGCAGAGAGCTGGCCTGGAAGAGGAGCAACCGGGACAGAATCTGGCGCCCCAACCAGGACTAGAACCTGGAGTACCGGCGCTGCAGGCGGAGGATTAGCCAAGTGAGCCACGGCGCCGGCCTGGGCAGATTGCTTTGAATTGTAGGAGCTAAAGAAATAAACAGTATCTCTCCCAGTCTTGCAGATTGGCCTTTGCTGGGTCCTTTAGCAGTTACCACACTTGAGCTGGCCAGCATTCAGGCACAAGGTCTTAGGTGTTTTCTGAGCACGTATCCCTCCCTGGGCATGCATGTGGCTATCTGAATTCCCCACAGATATGGACGCTTTTGGTTCTCCTGATTTCCCAGGGAAACGCTCCTTGGCCTTTCCTCTTAGGCCTCAGGTGGTCTGTTGTGTGTCTCAATTGCAGTTTTTTACTTCTGCTGTCTGAGAATTTTTCATCTACCTTACAGTTTTCTTGGGCAGTCCTGTCTACTTTTTCAGTCTGGATGAATTTCAAGTTTGTACTTTGCATCAATTCTTCAGGTACCCCTTCCTGGTTAAAATAGGGTTGCCCAGTAATTTGTGCATATGGGTTTGCTGTGCTCCTTTTGGAACCAGAGAGCAGGGTTTGTTTCAGGGACTGCGGGTTGCTGCTGCATGGGGAGTAGGTAGGGCAAAGATAAATAATGCTGCAAGGCCTTCTTCCCATTCGAAGTTGACTCTTGAGTCACTGTTGACTTGGTTGCTGTAAACCTTTGACTGCTTCCCAGAGTTCTGATAAAGTCCATACGATTCGGGCAGTTAGTGCTTGTTTTGTTTTGTTTTTTGATGTTTCAGGTGCAGGGGTGTGGATGGGCACTTGGAACTGCCTACCTTGACATTTTTCTGAGTCAGCCTGTCAGACTTTATTCTCTTGTTGTCGTCCATTTCAAAACTTGCAGAAAACATTTCCTTCTTCCACCTCTGCACATTGTGAAGATAAGAGATGCCCTGTTGCTTGTCAATCTGTTTTTCTCATCTCCCTAGCAGTCACCTCAGTTTTTGTTGTTCTGCTGTCAGTACACTTGTTACTTAAGTATTAGTGTTAATATTTTCTCTATTAAATATTAGATTAAATGCTAGGTTAAATATCATGTTCCTGGATTTAGGGTAGGCTTCTGTCCCAATACACCTATTGTAAGCTGAGCAGATTGTTAATTGGAAATGTATTTCGTCCGCCTCACCTGCTGAGCACCATCTCTTAGCAACAGCAGACTGCAGAGTGCCGGTTGCTTCCTTTGCTGGCCTTGCTGGGCCCTGGGACTCCCTGTTGCTACTCGGCATCAGGAGACACTGCAGAACTGCCTATCGCTAACCTGGAAAAAGGTCAGCATGCAGAATGTGAAGTGTGTTTTCTTTATTGGCTGTGTGCTGCTTTTGTACCAATGAAAAGTTAAGAAACTATAAGTTGAACCATTGTAAGTCAGCAACCATCTGTACTAAATAAATTTTTTTTTTCTTTAAAGAGCTTTGGTGCTGACTTAGTCCATTTGGGGTTCTGTAATGAAATACTACCACAGTTTGGGGTGCTTGTAAACCACAGATTTACTTTTTGTGGCTGTGGAGGCTGGGAAGTACAAGGTCAAGGGTTTGCAGAATTGGGAAGGGTTTGCTTTCCCTCGTGTGGATGAGTACCTTTTTTCCTATGTTGGGTCTTTTTTATAAAAGTAGCTGAGAGCATTGATCCCATTCATGAGGTGCCCATTTCCATGATCTAAATCACTTCCTTAGGCTCTACCTCCTAATACTGTCATCTTGAGGGTTAGGTTCTAACCTGGGTATTAGGGCATGTGTGGACACAGACATTCATACCATTGCAGGTGCCTTGTTATCTCTATGACATCTCTAGGCCATGTTTTTTCCCCATGCACTTTTTTTTTAATGAAATGCTGTTAATAGCTTTCTCTCTCTCTCTCTCTCTCTCTCTCTCTTTTTAAGATTTATTTATTTATTTATTTATTTGAAAGGCAGAGTTACACAGAGAGGAGAGGCAGAGAGAGGTCTTCCATCTGATGGTTCACTCCCCAGTTGGCCGCAACGGTTGGAGCTGTGCCGATCCAAAGCCAGGAGCCAGGAGCCAGGAGCTTCTTCCGGGTCTCCCATGTGGTTGCAGGGGCCCAAGGACTTGGGCCATCTTCTGCTGGATTTTCCCAGGCCATAGCAGAGAGCTGGATAGGAAGTGGAGCAGCCAGGACTCGAACTGGTGGTATATGGGATGCCAGCACTGCAGGTGGTGGCTTTACCCGCTGCGCCACAGTGCCGATCTTCCCCATGCACTTCTGAAACGATCCAAGGCAATGGAAATATGGTGTTATAGTTGTTCATTTACTGACAAAACTGAAGTACAGCTTAAATAGTCTTATTTGATATTATGCATTTCTAGTCAGTTTGCAAATATGAAAAGTTATTCATTTGAAAGAACATTAAACAGTGATCACTGTACATGGCTTTTTAGGAATTTATTGCCCCTTCCTGTAACATGAGATGGTGTGTGACAGTTTATTGAGGAGACATTCTCATTATACATGAGCTAGAAATGACCATTTCAATGAGCTGGAGACCCTGGGATGCAAGAATGCAGAGAGTATTTTGGGTATTCCTTAGCTGCTTTTGTCCTAGATGAACCATTTTGGTACTGGATTGGGACTGACTGAATTTTTAGGAGAATAATCTAAGAGTTAAACCTGTTGCATTTATTCTGGAGACTGACCTGGGGAAAAACCCCAGGAAACAGTTACTAGTAAACTTTAATTTCTGTTGATAGACTCCAAGGATGGGTTGCCCAGGAGCCCCTGCCATTTCCCCAGCGACCCACCTTGCTTCTACCTTGTTTGTTCGGTGTAAACCAGAAACAACTTGGTTAAAAGTCCCCTGAAACCATAGAAGTTGGTGGTCCTGCACTTCACTGCTTCAGATGGGTATAGCCAAGCGGCTTGTTGGATTACTTACTATTGACATGTTGCTTCTAGAGGTTTTCTTGTATTCAAGGCATAGCTTAACCCTGACCTCACATTAGTGAGGTGAAATGGGAAGGTGGCAGGGAAGGCTCCCTCAGTTTACAGATGATAAAGAACGCTTCGGTGCCATGCTTTCTGCACTAAGTGTTGGTCCAGGAAACAGCTCTCCAGGTGTCCAAGGCTGATCTTCTGTGTTACATCTGACAAGTGGATATTAAGAAATAGTGCTTAGAGAGGAGCACTGTGGTTAAAAGGTAACAGAGGAGAAAGGAAAGGGGATTGTCAGAATCAGAACCCCTCACTGTGCATGTGCATGTGTGTGTGTGTGCGCACATACGTATTACTGTGTCTGCATATGTCTGTATGGCTATTATATTTTGGCCATATACCTTATATTCTTTTTTAAATTAATTTATTTATTTGAAAGAGTTACACAGAGAGAAGGAGAGGCAGAGAGAGAGAGAGAGAGAGAGAGAGAGAGAGGTCCTGCATCCACTGGTTCACTCCCCAATTGGCTGCAACAGCCGGAGCTGTTCCGATCCGAAGCCAGGAGCCAGGAGCTTCCTCTGGACTTCCCATGTGGGTGCAGGGCCCCAAGGACTTGGGCCATCTTCTGCTGCTTTCCCAGGCCATAGCAGAGCGCTGGATTGGAAGTGGAGCAACCGGGTCTCGAACCGGCATCCACATGGGATTTTGGCAATGCAGGTGGTGGCTTTACCTGCTGTGCCACAGCGCCAGCCCCCATACACCTTATATTCTAACTCCTGGTTCTTCTGGAAGTAGCAAAGCTTTTAAAACATTAACTTAACAAGAACCTCTTGAATTTTCACTTCAAACCCCTCCCCCACTTTTTTTCCTCTTTCTGAACTTTCATTTTCCCCACAGGACTCCCAGGGAAGAAGAGTTAGAAAAACATAAATGTAGGGGCAGTAAAACTGAGGGCAAAGGGCTAATGAGAGCTCTGAGCTAGTGCTGGGAAAGAGCTTGAACCCCAGGGCTAGAGAAAAGGAAAAAGGCTACAGTACCTAGAGTAATTGACCTCATTCATAGCATGACTGCTATGACACACAGTTGCAGAGTTAGATTTGTAAAGGATCAGAGGACTGTGGGCTCTGCTTGAGGCACTTTTCCAACCTCACTGCTGTATCTGAATCGAAGCCGAAGTCTGTGGGATGATTGGCTTTTTGACCGTGAATAGGCAGGCCCAGTAGGGAAGCAGGTAGGAAGCAGCGCGGGCCTGGTCATGGCCTCTTCTGCCCATTGTAGACAGAACAGTTGTATGCGGGAAGCCAGCACCGAGCGACTCTCCCAACTCACTTTCACGTTCCCGCTCAGAAGCGCACCTCTGGAACTCACCAAGGCAGTGGGGCTGAGGGATGCTTGTCTTTCTGATGTCTCTTTATACTTTTTTCCTGCGTGCGCTTTTCAACGAGAGCTTGGGCAGGGAGCACAGAGATTTAGGACAAAGTGAAATTTAAACCTTTTCTTTAGCCCTGTGGTCTTGAACAAGCTACTGAATTCTCTCTAGCCCTGTTCCTCAACTGGTAAATGAGGTAACAATACTACATCCACCTCATAGGTAAAACACATTAGTTTATATTCATAGATAGTGCTTAACACAAAGTGCTGTATAAATGTTGCTGGAAACTTAAAAAATGAGCAATGGACTATGCAAAGAACAAAATTATATATTTTATTCCATCTAAATAACGGATTCCACTTTTTGCCCTTAGATTTTATTATGAGACTAGATTTTGTCACGGATAACTCTCTCTAGGAGATATAGGGAGATAGTTAAATATATGATCAAAGAAAGGCATGATATATGCAGACTTGGGTGGATTTTGTGAAACTTAGTAACAGGTCAAGCCTGAGAAATGACAGTGATGACAAAAGACAGTCTGTCCATCGCATTATCCTTGCAGCTAAAATTATTTATTAGAATTAGACACATTTGGAAATGTATTTGTTAATCCTTTATCCTGGGGAAAACAAGCCTTGCAGTACTTACTATTTACACAAAGCTATTTTTAAGACCCTCTCATATTTGAAAGAATGGTAGTTGGGGTTGACCCTCACAGAGTATGGTTTTATATTTTCTAATAATTTTTGTTGTTACATTTATTGATTTATGTCATTGTAAGTGGCTCTGATTTTATTAGAAAATAATTTTGGTTTTATCACTTGCTTTTGGTGTGGTATTACATGAGTTTATGTAAAGGGTTCTAGCTGCCCTGGTTTCATGTGCAGGGGGAATGGGTTGCATAAAGTAACTTGTTTCTTTTTGAAAAAGAACTGTTTTCTTTTTCCTTTTGTGATCTAACTGGACGCCTGGGTCCAGAAGGAGTGGCTGGACTGAGGAAGAGGTGAGAGATGAGTATCAAGTAGACACGTCTTTGATGTCACAATGCATCTGTTCTGTGTGGTTCTGCTGGGAATGGCCATTGGCTGCGAAGTCACTGGTAGTGGTTTAGCGAGTAGCTAAAACTGTTGTAACTCATTAGAGTTCTTGTTCTGGCTCCCAAGTGTCACTCAGACCATCTTAAAACTTAAGAGCTCATTGCTTTACTGGGTTAACCTCTAGATATTTTGTAGTAATGTTTAAAATTTTTAAGGTGATCAGAAGGTAGATTCTTTTATGTAAGTGACACACACACAACAGAAAAGTGCTTCATAATTCATGGAGAAGAAAGTATGTTCTGTGATTTTTCACTGCCAAATTATTGGAATTTTCTTTTTTTAAAAAATATTCAATTTACTTTCACTGCTGGTTCACTCCCCAAATGCCTGCAACAGCCAGGGTGGGGCCAGCCTGAAGTCAGGAGCCCAGAGCTCAGTCTGGGTCTCTCACCTGGTGTGACAGGGACCCTTAAGTACTTCGGCTGTCACCTGCTGCTTCCCATGGGATGCATTAGCAGGGAGCTGGGTTGGAAGGAGAGGATCTGGACAAACCAGCTACTCTGGTGTAGGACGTGGCTGTCCCAAGCAGCATTTTTTTTAATAGATTCTTAAAAAAAATTTTTTTTTGACAGGCAGAGTTAGACAGTGAGAGAGAGAGACATAGAGACAAAGGTCTTCCTTTTTCTGTTGGTTCACCCCCCAAGTGGTTGCTACGGCCGGCGCACTGCGCCCATCTGAAGCCAGGAGCCAGGTGCTTCCTCCCGGTCTCCCATGCGGGTGCAGGGCCCAAGGACTTGGGCCATCCTCCACTGCCCTCCCGGGCCACAGCAGAGAGCTGGACTGTAGTTCTTCTGGGCTGGAGGAGGAGGAGAGGCTTCTCCTGGGTGTACTCTGTGGAGGTGAATCGGCTCTCTAATTCAGTAGCGTCCCCACATGCAATATCTCCTCCCCCCTGCCCCGCCCCAGTTGTCTATATCCTTAACTCTTGGATGCCGGTTTCTCTGCTCGCTCTCCTAAGACATTGTGGAGGCTTTCTCTTTTTTGACTTCTTTTTACAATTAAGTGTGTTTCTGCCTCAGCAAATAAAAATAATCTGATTATCTTGGGCCAATCACTTAGTTTCTGTTGCCACTGTTTGCACATATGATATATGATGGAGTCAGATTACTTTCCAGATGTGAATTTCTGGAAGTAGGATGAGATTGACCCTTTGGTAGGCCTTTTCTTGTTTTCTTTTTCTTTGTAATGTTGCATGGTGCTGTGTGTTTGCTCTGACGCGGGTCACTAAGCGCAGTGCCTCTTTACCGAAGCAGGCTAACCTCTTACTCTTTAGCTTCCTTCTTTGTTAGTGAAGCCAATCAGAATTTTGAGTTGCAGTCACTTTGATATAGTTTAGTATGTACAATTATATGCATATATTAAATATTAAAGTATGAGCAATGATAAGAAAGATCCTCTCATCACTTCTAAAGGGACTTGCTAATCAGTAAAGTTTATGAGGGGTTTAAAATGCTGCCAGCTTTGTAAAGAGCTATAGGGACCACTTAGAGTTTTCGCAACATAACTGGAAAGATAAAGACTTCTGAAATGAAAGAATGACCAGGTGCTGTGTCTTGTGCTGTAAGTGCAGTTCTGCCACAGAGTACAACCAAAATGCTTGCTTGTCCTGTTTGCCGACAACTACCATAATGCCCAGGTTAGTGAAAAGGGTTGATGACAGTCTAGATTTGTAGAATTGCTATGAGCAAAGGCACTGGGTGGTAAACTAGGCTGATGGGGGTGGGGAGGGGAGAGAGTGAAGGGAGGATATGGGTGGCTCTGTGATTTGGACACCGAGTACCCTCTTTAAGGATTGGGAAATTTGCCAGTGTAAGTGGTGTGGGAAGATAACTTTAAACTCCAGCCAGAGGCATTTAGATTGGAGGCAAGGGGAGTATCTGTTCACAACAATAGCTTTTTCTTGAATTCCATTTCATATCCTTGATTTCTTGAATTGAACTTCCCTTAGGTACTTTGGATGGGGTCCTATTTGCAGTTTTGATCGGATTGATTTTTTTTTTTTTTAATTTTATTTGAAAGGCAGAGTTCGAGGGAGAGACAGAGAGAGATCTTCCATCCAGTGGTTCTCTCCCCAAATGACTGTGGCAACCTGGGCTGGTCAGGCTGAAGCCAAGATCCAGGAACTCAATCCTGGTCTTCCACATAGGTGCAGGGACCCAAGGACTTGGGCCATCTTCCATTGCTCCATTGCTTTCCCAGGCCTATAGTAGGGAGCTGGATGGGAAGTGGAGCAGCCGGGACTCTTGTATGAGATGCCAATGGCACAGGCAGTGGCTTAACCTGCTCTGCCACAATGCTGGCCCCTGATTGAAGGTTTTTTTTTTTTTTTAATATTTATTTATTTATTATTTATTTGAAAGTCATAGTTTCAGAGAGGAGAGGCAAAGAGAGAGAAAGGGCTTCCATCTGATGGTTCACTCCCCAGTTGGCCGCAACTGCTGGAGCTGTGCCCATCCAAAGCCAGGAGCCAGGAGCTTCTTCCGGGTCTCCCATGTGGCTGCAGGGGCCCAAGGACTTGGACCATCTTCCACTGCTTTCCCAGGCCACAGCAGAGAGCTGGATTGGAAGAGGAACAGGCGGGACTAGCACCAGCGCCCGTATGGGATGCCGGTGCTTCAGGTCAGGGCGTTAACCCGTTGCACCACAGCGCCAGCCCCAGATTGAAGGTTTTAATGAGTCTCCTTCCCTTTGCTGTTTTCTAATCTCGGCATAACATTTTAGAATATGAAATTGGAAGGGTCCTTGGGGTTAATCTGATCCGCCCTCCTGCCCAGTGCAGGAAGCACACCTTAGTTTTTGTAATGATTGTTCTGTTGCTGTAAACCATTTTTAAATGGAACACTTTACATTAGATTTCATTCTTGTGATAAAACCTGCCTTTCTTAGCTTTATCCAGAGCTCTACAGTCTTTTTCCATTTTCTAGATTTTTTTTGGATATTTGAAGACAGTTATGGTGTCTCCTTCTAAATTTTATTTTCTCCATCTAAATATTTTGCTTTCTCTTTATATTTCAAGATTCCCCACCATTATTTTTGTCCATCTTTTTGTATTGCCTATCTTACTGAATAACCAGAATTGAACATAATACCCTTTTGAAAAATCAATTATGATGTTTGTAGCAGCAAAAACAGAAAGCTCCTTTTCATCTGGCTTAAAAAATGAGAATTTACTTTTTTCAATTCTGAGATAAACCTTTTCGTATTTGAACATTACTGAAATTGAGGTGTGTGGTACATTTAAGTAAAAGGCATGTCAGTTAGGTCAGCAGCCTTTTCTCTTGATGATTCATAAAATAATGATGTGTCTTTCCATTGCTGAAACATGCTGTTATCTCAGATGGCCAGGGCTCTCGTTATTCCATGGCCACGGTCACAGTGAGGACCCAGTGTGGCCGATGTGCGTTTGGCTTGTCCTCCCCGGGTTGTGAGTCGGCTGCAACGGTTCTAAGCATCAGATCAGCAGTCCACAGCATCTGAAGGCCAGGAGAGATAAGATTCCTCCTTTATGTCTTTTTTAAGAGTAAACAGAATTTCCAGATGCTGCCCCTCCTTGGTTAAGCTTGTCACACAGCCATTTCTAAGACAGTCAAGGGGAAGAAACAGGTGTTACCATTGTTGACTTATTGGTTCTCTGTCAGTGGTTCACAATTTGTGTGCACCAGCATCACCGTGTGTGTGTGTGTGTGTGTGTGTGTGTGTGTGTGGAGGGGATTGTGAAGACCGTTTGATTAGTGGGCTGGGGGTGAGGCCTGAGGATTTGCATTTCGCACAAGCCCCTGCTTGATGCTGATTCTGCTGGGCCAGGAAATGAGATGGGTCCAGTGTCTCTGACAGCACAAGGCCACTTGGTAACCAGTCAAAGCCATGGCTGCATTTGTTAGCAAGAAGTGAGCTCTAAATCCATGTTCTTCTCAGGTGTTGTAACACACTGAAATGTAGTTGTTACCGGCGGGTTGTCCAGAATGTCTTATTAGCAGTATGCTAAGTTTGGAGAATGATACTTATATCATATACAGTTGATCAGGTAGACTGAAGATGAGATTTGTTCCTCCAATGTGCTTTCTGGTGGGGCAGAGGGAGGGTCCCTAGTCAATGATGACAGAGAATTGGGCACACCTGTGGTAACACGTGCATGCAGTGCACATTGAAGATAGCTGATGTATAGCACCTAATCTGAATGTCAGACTAAATCCCTGCAGGAGCTGCTGTTATGTCCACTTTCCTAAACGAGAAACTGAGGCCCCAGTAATTTGCCCAGTGTTGTACCATTGCTTAGTGGTAGAGCTGGGTTTCAGAATATGCAGTGGCCTCACAGCCCATACTTTTTTGTTTGTTTTCTTTTTTAAAGATGTATTTATTTATTTTAAAGTGAGAATTACACACACAGAGACACTCTTCCATCTGCTGGTTCACTCCCTAGATGACTGCAGTGGCTGGGGCTGGGGACTTGTGGAGCGGTGGGGACTTGAACCGGCACCCATATGGGATGCCAGCACTGTAGGCGGTGGTTTAACATGCTGCGCCACAACGCTGGCCCCGTAGCTTGTGCTTTTAACCATCCGTTCCACTGTATGCCATCAGGCTTCTGTAAGAAAGGTGAGGCTGAGAGGTTCATTCTGTGTTTTCAGCTTGTGTGCAGAAGAGAGGGATTAGTGTTCTTGTAATTCCTCCCTCCCACTGTGATTCACTTCTACATATATTTGTGCCATTGATTCCTTTGAATGTAAGTGTGAAACTTAAAGCATTACGGTGACTGTGTGAGGTTTCGGTATCTATGCATTTTATAGAGAGGAGGGAGTAGAGACCTGCTGTTGTCGAATGTTAGGGTGTGGAGGTAAATTTGCTTTGGGAGAGGGATTATGTTGGTCACCGTCTCCATGGCAAGTGATGACTTCAGTACACAGGTTTTTAGTTGCTCCAGAATTGTGGGGAGAACTAAGAGTCCTTGAGGCCAAGCCCCCACACACAGACAGGAGAGCTGGGCCGCCTCGCTTCTTGCTGCACGTTGCTTAGTCCTTTCCGCCTGGCCGTCCTGAGACACTTGCCTGGTTCTCTTGCTTGAGGCTTTGTGGGAGTTCCTCATTTGCCTGTACTCTCATTCCTCCTCTCTCCTTGGCTCATGTTTATCCCTCTGGCCTCATTCTAAATTTTATGTTAAAAACTTTCCTGCTTTCCTGCTGTAATCTTGCAGAGATATATAGATATCTCTGCTGCCTGCTTCCATTGTCCCCGCATTCCCCCTGTCCTGGTTACCTGATTGTTAGTTAGTGCTTAGTAGGTTGCCTTTCCCTACTCCTCACTGTGCCCTATTACCTTGCTCCATGTGGTAGTGAGTTGGGTGATTCACATTTGGAAAGTCATTGATTGTGCTTTGGGAGCTTCATTATCAAGAAATAGATGCCAGTCACTGACTTCTAAGTTGTAATGTGTAATTTTTGTAATTATAATGAGCTTAGCAGATTTATGCTTTTGTTTGAATTAACACCCTTTATAATATGTCTAATGTAACTTAAGATCGAGCAGTTGGTCTCTTTGCTAAATTCTTTCAAGTTTGGATAGTAGTGATCTGAGAGGTTGTAACTAGAGAAAAAGACTCTTAAAAAAATCAAACTTGCTTTTGAGTAATTTTAGGTTGACAGAAACTTTCCATATACTCCTTGACCAGTTTTCCCCATGGTCAGCGTCTTCTGTTACCCTGGGGCATTTGTCTAAACTTAGAAACTAACATTGCTAGGGTCTGCTCTGTGGTGCAGCAGTTTAAAGCTCTGGCCTGCAGTGCCAGTTTCCTGTATGGGCGCTGGTTTGAGTTCCGGCTGCTTCACTTCGAATCCAGCTCCCTGCTAACGCACGTGGGAAAGCAGCAGGTCCTTGGGCCCCTGCACCCACGTGGGAGACCTGGAAGAAGCCCCTGGCTTTAGCCCAGCTCCAGCTGTTGCAGCCATTTGGGGAGTGAACCAGCAGATGAAAGACTCTCTCTCTCTCTCTTTCTCTTTCTCTGCCTCTGCCTCTTTGTAGTGACTTTCAAGTAAATAAATAAATATTAAAAAAATAAAAACATTACTGCTTGACTTGACTTTGCTGGACCTCATCCGTTTTCCTATTCATGTCTTCTCTCGGTCCCCAGCGTGCAGTTCACCACGCATCTTACTGTCATGTAGTCTCCCCTGGACTGTGACAGTTTCTCAGTCTGTCCTTGTGGTTCGTAACCTAGTAGTTTTGGGAAAGACTGGTCGGGTGGTTTGTCGAACGTCCCCCAATTTGGATCTCCCTGACATTCACCTCATGATTAGACTGCAGTTATGGTTATGGATGTTTGGGAAAATAGCCCAGCCGTAAAGTGCCCTTTGCGTCACGTTGTATTAAGGGATGTGTGATCGTTACATGACGTGTGGGTGAGGTTAATCTCCATCACTTGGTTAAGGTGAGCTTGGCCAGTCCAAGGTACTCTTTTCCCCTTTCTCCACTCTCCTTTTTGGAAGCAAGCCCCTCAGTCCAGTCCCCCTCCAGAGCCGTGCGTAGGTGTGATCTGGTGATGGAACGCCACCTCCTGGAGTGGGAAGTTCAAGTTATTTAGGGTTCTCCTGTGAATAAGACTCATGTTTTTTCTTGCCTCCAAATAGATGTTTTTACTTATCACTGTGTACTTTGTAGAACGTTGATGACAGTTTTTTTTTTTTTTTTTAAGATTTATTTATTTGTTAGGAAGAGCTACAGAGGGAGAGGGAGAGAAGAGGGAGGAGGAAGAGAGAGAGAAGAGAGAGAGGGAGATGGAGATCGATCTTCCATCTGCTACTTCACTCCCCAAATGGCCGCAATGGTCAGGACTAGGCCAGGCTGAAAGCCAGAAGCCAGGAACTGCATCCGGATCTCCTACAGGGGTAGCAGGGGGTCCAAGTACTTGGGGCCATATGTTGCTGCCATCTCAGGCACATTAGCATTAAATTTAGCAAGGAGCTGGATCAGAAGTGGAGCAGCCGGGACTCGAACAATGCCCATATGGGACACTGGCACTGAAGGTGGTGGCTTTACCCACTGTGCCACAGCGCTGGCCCCTGAGGGGCAGTACTTTTTAACTTCTTTGGAATCACCCTCCCTTTTGGGAATTGCTATAGAGTTTTTCTCCAAAGACATTAGGATACACAGAGTTCCTGTATGATTTTAGGAGTTTTCCAGCTCTTTGAAGCTCCTAGGGCTTCAGCTAAGAGATTACTTTCCTTCCAGTCGTTGAGCTCAGTTGAGGAGACAGGCAATGAGGAAGTGGAGCCCTGCCTGTTGCCTCCTGTTAGGAAGCTCTGTGCAAAGTTAAGGCAGCAGTTTTACTTTGGGTGCGAGTATAGAAAAAGCTACGGAGAGGGGATGTTACTTGAATTTGTTCTTTATGACTGAGAAAAAGTTAAATCAACACAAGGGGGCCCTCGACCTGTGACACTGGCATCCCACATGGGCACTGGTTCGAGTCCTGTCTGCTCCACTTTCGATCCAGCTCTCTGCTATGGCCTGGGAAAGCAGTAAGAGGTGGCCCACATACTTGGGCCTCCACACCCACATGGGACACCTAGAAGAAGCTCCTGGCTCCTGGTATCCGATGGGCTCAGCTATCTGTTGTGGGCATTTGGAGTGAACCAGTGGATGGAAGATCTGTCTGTCTCTTCCTTTCTCTGTAACTCTGCCTCTCAAATAAAAAAAATCTTAAAAAAAAATCAACAAAAGGTTGGGAAAGCATTCTTACTATATACAACAAAACCAGCAAAGACTTAGGCTAAAGTGCCTGGCTTGTTTTCAGATGTTTTGGAGTTGGTTGAAGACTCTGATCTTGCCACAGCAAAAAGTGAAGTGAGAGGTGGGCTGGATATAAAATTAGGGCTGGGGGAGGTAGGAGAAGGCACTGAGTGGAAAGAGAATCAGATAAACTTCTCAGTTTGTGCATTTTGAAGTATTTAATTGACTAATAATTTTATACATAAATTATTTTCATCTTTAGTTTTATGTCTCAGTAATTTACTGCTTGCATCTTATATGCATGAATTAAGGAGTGAGGAGGAGGTGAAGAAGTGCAGAATAGGAGGTTTTCTGTGAATGGGTTTGAGGAGAGAACCAGAAGAAAGTGTGGGGGTCCAGAGCAGTTTGTTTTGCTTTCCGTGGGGAGAGAGTTGCCTGTGTTTAAATAGCAGGGGTGGTCTCAGTAGAAGGCTCCTGGCAAGGTGGAAAGGTTGTGCCACTGCATTAGAGAGGAGGCAGATGTGATTGCGGGCGTATTTAATTGCTAGTGTGCAGTGACTGTAGAAGGCTAGGCTTGTATAAAAGTTACGGTCGGCTTACGGTTCACCTGTGGCCTGAACTGCCATCTTTCTGTTGCTTTACTCAGTTCCTTCAATTAATGTATTTGAGGTACTTGCCAAGGTATGGTGATAGAAGAGAGTCAGAGTCCAGGACACAGAGCAAAAACATAAAAGGATCAAAAATACTACAGTTCTTTCTCCTGCTTTGGGCTGCAGGATTTAGCCAGAGTAGTCTAGCTTCATGAGTATTTTTAGGGTGCTTGGAGAAATGAAGTTAGGGTCTGTGATAGTTTATTTTGTTAGTTTTCTCTTAAAAAATTTATTTAATGTGTTTGAGAGGCAAGAGGACTGGGAGAGGGAGCAAGAGAGCAAACGAGCGAGCAAGCAAGCAAGCGAGCAAGCTTCCATTTGCTGGCTAATTCCCCAAATAGCTGTAACAGCCTAGGGCAGGAGCCAGGAGCTCAGTCTGGGTCTCCCGCATCGGTGGCAGGGACCCAGATCCTGGAGCCATCACCTGCCACCTCCTTGGGATGCACACTCACAGGAAGCTCCAGGATGGGGCGCGTCGTCTTTAGTGTTGTCCCCACCCCTCCGCAGTTTCTCCTTTAGAAATGAGCTCAGCGGTGCCTGCACTGAGTGAGTGCCCGCTTGAATCTTCCTTGCTCTCGACAATTTTACCCATAAGCTACAAAGAAGACTAATTCTTAGGGTGACCTCTTTTTCTTTTCTTTTAACTTAGACCAGTGTTAATTTCTATTCTGATAGATTCTATTTAAAGGAATTGAACCTTTTATGAGGAAAATTATTCCTAAATAAAGCATTAAAATTTAGCACATGTTTGAACATAGGTTTGACCTCATGCTTAACAAAAGGAGGTTTTACTTGTAGTCGTAAAGCCCTTTGGCCATGGCATTAATTGACTTTGGAAATTAATTTAAAATGAGACTTCATTACGCAGTGCATCTGTATTTTTTTTCTTCTTCTCTAAATCCTTAGTGAAATCATAGGCTCCTCACTCAAAATATTCAAACTATATAGTGAAGTGTTATTGTTGAAAAACTATTATTGGATTAAAAATGAGCAGTGCTCACTTTAAAGAAACATTTTTCCTCTTGTGATGGATTTTTGCAGAGAATTGTTAATAAAAATTCATAGTCTACTAAAAATACACTGGAACTTTTTTTTTTTTAAAGATTTATTTATTTGTTTGAAAGGCAGAGGCAGAGAGAGAGAAAGAGAGGGAGAGAGGTCTTCCACCCACTGATTCACTTCCCAAAAGGCCGAAATGGCTGGAGCTGGGCTGATCTGAAGCCAGGAGCTGGGACCTTCTTCCTTTTCTGTCACTCGGGTGCAGGGGCCCAAGGACTTGAGCTATCCTCTGCTGCTTTCCCAGGTGCTTTAGCAGAGACTTGGATTGGAAGTGGAACAGCCGGGACTTGAAGTGTTACACATATATGTTGTCACACTGCAGGCCAGGGCTTTAACCACTGTGCCACAGCGCCAGCCCGAAGCTTGACCAATGGATTGCCCAAGCAGTTGAACTTGGTCTGCAGGTCTACTGATTCTTTGTGACTCAAACCACCACCCTAAATCACATGGTTGGATTTCCTGGCATACCCTGAGGTATAATGTTACCAACCCCACCCTAAGCAAGGACTTTTCTCTTTCTTGCTCTCTTTTTGTTAAAGATTTATTTTATTCATTTGAAAGGAAGTTAGAGAGAGAGAGAGGGAAAGGTAGAGTGAGCGTGATCTTCCATCTGCTGGTTCATTCCCCAAATGACCCCAATGGCCAGGGCTAGGCCAGGCTGAAGCCAGGAGCTGCAAGCATCGTCTGAGTCTCCCGCATGGGTGCAGGGGCCCAGGGACTTGGGCCATCTTCTGTTTTCCCAGGCCGTAGCAGAGACCTGGATTGGAAGTGGAGCAGCTGGGACACGAACTGGTGCTCACTGCAGACCAGGGCTTTAACCCTCTGCACCACAGCGCTGGCCCCTGAAAATATTTTGAAAGAAGCAGCAGTATTTGTGGATGGTTTAGATATGTGTATGAGAAAAAGAAAGGAAGAAGTCCAAGGTACCTCTTAAGTCTCCGTTTAAGCAACTGAAAGGATGGCAATCTTAGTACTGAGACACTGGAAAGCCAACTGTCCATCATCAGAATCAGATGGCTCCCAGCTTTACCACTGACTAAGAAGAAATCCTATAAACCAGTCCTATACTGACAGTTTACTGCAGCTCCTGAAAAGAAAATCATTCCTCGAGTTTCAGATAACTTGACAAAAAGCCGTTGTATTTTATAACCCCCGTGTCAGGGCTCCAAATGAACAAAAGACCAACTTATGTGACGTTGTTCCTCATGTGTCTAAAACTCATTTAGCTATTTCTGATTACTTCCGAATGGCATGGTAGTAGAGTTTCTGTACCTAACATTATTCAACTTGTATGAACCGTTCACAATTTGGAAATTCTTATTCTGTGTGTTATACATGCTGCATGCATGAGTTATGCCATTTTTCTTTTCTAATAGAGGCTCTAGTTTCTTCTTGCTCTCTGTTGACAAGGTGAGTGGGTATTTTTTGGGTGAGCTCAGCTGTTCCTTTAGCTCAGTTTCTTCACTGAGTTGAACTGCGAATGTTGGCACTAGTGATGCTTCTCTGGGTATTCTGAAATCGTCTCACTGTATTCCAGTTGTAATACTAAGGAATTAAACTCTTTCGAAGAGCAACACTGTTACTATTTCTCTGCATTGGTTCTGTGCTCCTAGTCAGGATAACAAACCATTTATGCAACTGTCTGTATCAGAATGTCCTCTGCCAGCATGTGTCTGGGCTGCTTTCAAGCCCCAGTAATCCAGGACTGTTCTTGTTGAATTAATGGAAACTAGGACTGCTTAGGAAAGTAGGCATCATTGGGAATTTGACTGGGTGATACTTATTTGCAATAGTGGTTGAAAAGTATAACTAGAAAAAGGGCTGGCGCCGCGGCTCACTAGGCTAATCCTCTGCCTAGGGGCGCCGGCACACCGGGTTCTAGTCCCGGTCGGGGCGCCGGATTCTGTCCCGGTTGCCCCTCTTCCAGGCCAGCTCTTTGCTGTGGCCAGGGAGTGCAGTGGAGGATGGCCCAGGTGCTTGGGCCCTGCACCCCATGGGAGACCAGGAAAAGCACCTGGCTCCTGGCTCCTGCCATTGGATCAGCGCGGTGCGCCGGCTGCTGCGGCCATTGGAAGGTCAACCAACGGCAAAGGAAGACCTTTCTCTCTGTCTCTCTCTCTCTCACTGTCCACTCTGCCTGTTAAAAAAAAAAAGAAAAAAGAAAAAAAAAAAGTATAACTAGAAAAAAAAATACTCAAGCTAGTTGAGGATCAAATTGCTGTTTCTTGGCTTGTATGTTAATTCTCTGGCTTAATTCCATTCATGTATACAAAAGCAAGCAGATTAGTGAAATAAAGCTGTTAGATGTTATGAAGTTAAAATAGAATGAGATTGAGAATCTTTTTCCAAAATCTGTAATTATTAGGAGAAAAATTCAATGACAGTTCTTAAGTTGCAAAAAATCTTATCCTAGTGGGAATAAATCAGTAAGTGGTGGAGCACATTTACTTTTCCTCTCTTCCTCCCTTTATCCTTCCTGTGATTACACGTCAAGGTTCTAACCTTTAATAAGCCCACTAAATTATTATATGACATTAGCCTTAAGGTGTGTTCCCGGGGGCTGGCGCTGTGGCAAGTGGGTTAATGCCCTGGCCTGAAGCGTCGGCATCCTATATGGGCGCCGGTTTGAGACCCCGCTGCTCCATTTCCCATCCAACTCTCTGCTATGGCCTGGGATAGCAGTGGAGGATGGCCCAACTCCTTGGGCCCCTGCACCCATGTGGGAGACCCTGAGGAAGCTCCTGTCTCCTGGCTTTGGATTGGCGCAGTTCTGGCCATTGAGGCCAATTGGGTGTGAACCATGGGATGGAAGACCTCTCTCACTCTCACTCTCACCCTAACTCTCACTCTCACTCTCACCCTAACTCTATCTCTCCCTCTCCTCTCTCTCTCTATAATTCTGACTTTCAAATAAATAAATAAATCTTAAAAAAATTGTGTGTGTCCTTGAATGGCATAGATGAGGCTGACTGTGTATGCCCAGATATTTTGGGGAATCTGAGACCTCAGACTCTTCTCCAGAGAGCTTCCAGGAGACCCACTGTAGATGAGCAAGAGCCTTCACATCTCTTCAGAGATGATTCCTCCCAACCAAAGTCCCAAGGCTTAGGCCACTAATTTAGTCTGGTACTTTTAACTGGACAATTTTCTTTAAGGTCTTACTTGAATTCTGTATGTTTTACCAAAAGCTTTATATGCCCTTAATTTAAATAGAGGGGGACCTCTCTGTTTTTATAGTAAGCTTAATTACCATGGTTTTCCTTTTTCCTGTGATCATCTTGATCATCAGACCATCACTGTACTCAGCCTTCAGTTTAATGTCATTTTTTTTTTTAAAGATTTTATTTGTTTATTTGAGAGGCAGAGTTACAAACAGTGAGAGGAAGAGACAGAGAGAAAGGTCTTCCATCCATTGGTTCACTCCCCAATGTCCGCAACAGCCGGAGCTGTGCCTATCTGAAGCCAGGAGCCAGGAGCTTCTTCTGGGTCTTCCACACGGGTGCAGAAGCCAAAGGACTTGAACCATCTTCTACTGCTTTCCTGGGCCATAGCAGAGAACTGGATTGGAAGAGGAGCAGCCAGGACTAGAACTGGCACCCATATGGGATGCTGGCACTGCAGGTAGAGGATTAACCTGTGGTGCTATGGCATCGGCCCCGATTGTCATTCTTAGCATAACCTGTTTTTTCCTTCCCTAGGAGCACTAACAATGATGCTGTTTGTTTTCCGAGTACCTCAAATTGTAGTAGTAGTTCAGGTTTCTTTATCATTATTTTTCTTGCTGGTGGGAACTATTAGGAACTTCTAAAGCTTTTAAAGTGGGAGAACATGTAAGGCAGAATGAAATGTGAATGGCTGTATTGAAAAGAGCATGAGAAAATACAAAACATACTTGCTGAGAGATTTCTAGTGGACCTTAGGTCTGGGTTTCTGAGATGAGAGTTTAGGTTGGTTGGATCCTCAGACCCTGTGCTTTCAGACTGCTATATTGCTTCTGCTATCAGTGCTGTGTGGTTTAGGGAAGTGTCACATCATGTGTCCATGAGTACAAGATTAGGTCTTGATCATGAACCAAGATTACATACTTGCCACTTTTAACTGACCAAATAGTAGTAAATTATGTTCAAGGTCTTTGCTTTTATAAAGTTACCTGTAAAAAGATAGTTTTCTAAAGTAACTATAGCATTTTGAGCCGGCGCCGTGGCTCAATAGGCTAATCCTCCACCTTGCGGCGCCGGCACACCGGGTTCTAGTCCCGGTTGGGGCGCCGGATTCTGTCCCGGTTGCCCCTCTTCCAGGCCAGCTCTCTGCTATGGCCAGGGAGTGCAGTGGAGGATGGCCCAGGTGCTTGGGCCCTGCACCCCATGGGAGACCAGGAAAAGCACCTGGATCCTGGCTCCTGCCATCGGATCAGTGCGGTGCGCCGGCTGCAGCGGCGGCCATTGGAGGGTGATCCAACGGCAAAGGAAGACCTTTCTCTCTCTGTCTCTCTCTCTCACTGTCCACTCTGCCTGTCAAAAAAAAAAAAAAAAAAAAGTAACTATAGCATTTTGATTTCAAAATGCTATAGATTTTTTATATATACATACACCTTGCAAAATGAGGTAGTGATTGTATTTCCATTAGAATACATCAACTTGGGTTAAAATTCAGTAAACATGATTTAAAATTAGGAAAGAAAATTGAGTAGATAATTTCTTGGTTGGTTGCTTTTAGTTAGTAGAATTTTCAGCTTTTGTGTACTTTAGGGGGTAAAAATTGTTTTTCAAATATCATTGAGGGGCAAAAAGGAACTAGAATATCCTGAAGAGGTTAAATATAGACACATTTTAAGGACTATGCCTATGCTTCAAAACATTATGAAAAATTGTTGCTTTATCTTTTGTGAATAAATCATTTGTAAAAAACAAGGTCTAAGTACATTTGATTACATGACAGAGTCCTCCCCATGGGAATTTGGTTACTTCTCTCCTTATTCCACATATTTTTGGAATATCTAACTGCCTCAAAAAAAAAAAAAAAAAGGAGCTGGATAGAATGATCTTTTAAAATTCCTTCTAACCTTGCAATCTTATTATTTTCCCCCTTTCCTTTTCTTCTTTCTACCTCCTTTAACCATAATAAAGATGTGCATTATTCACTAAATGGAATTACTTCCCTTAATTTAAAATGGCATTAGAATGTCTCTCTCTCTCTAAAGAGAATTATTTATTTGGAAGGCAGAGGCAGAGAGTGTCTTTCATCGGCTGGTTCACTTGCCAGATAGTCGCAACTGCCGGAGCTGGGCTGATCTGAAGCCAGAACCCAGGAGCTTCTTCCAGGTCTCCCACGTGGGTGCAGGGGCCCAAGGACTTGGGCCATCTTCCATTGCTTTCCCAGGCCATAGCAGAGATCTGGATCAGAAGTGGAATAGTTGGGTCTTGAACCAGAGCCCATGTGGAATGCTGGCACTGCAGACAGTGGCCTTACCTGCTACGCCATAGTGCTGGCCCCACCAATTGTTTTCCTTCAAGAAATATTATTAGTCTTTTAATCTGATAACCAAAACAAATATTCAAATTTATAGTCCTTAATTAGGTTTGGCTGTCTTTTACTGTGTTTTGTGACTGCTTTTTTTTTTTTTAAATAAATGTTTTGTTTGTGTTTTCTCATATTTCTAATTGTTTTATGAGCCCTTTGCATTTTAGAAAGGAAAACTTTTATTTCTTGTAATATCATAGATTTTATTCTACCTCAGTTTTCTTATGACTTGATTTATGGATTAGTAATGCTATGTGTGTTTTTTGCCCTCCAGAAGTTTAAGGCATGTGTTTTTCTTTTTTATGATTTCTTTTTTATTTTTTTATTTTTTATTTTTGACAGGCAGAGTGGACAGTGAAAGAGAGAGAGAGAAAGGTCTTCCTTTTGCCGTTGGATCACCCTCCAATGGCCGCCACGGCTGGAGTATCGCACTGATCCGAAGGCAGGAGCCAGGTGCTTCTCCTGGTCTCCCATGCGGGTGCAGGGCCCAAGCACTTGGGCCATCCTCCGCTGCACTCCCGGGCCATAGCAGAGAGCTGGCCTGGAAGAGGGGCAACCGGGACAGAATCCGGCGCCCCGACTGGGACTAGAACCCGGTGTGCCGGCGCCGCAAGGCGGAGGATTAGCCTGTTGAGCCGTGGCACGGGCCAAGGCATATGTTTTTCAATTATTTGTTTCATATGTGGTTTCTGGATTTGTTATGTTTTAAAATGTCTACCCCATTTTAAATTTAGAAAAGAGAAATTTGGGGCCGGCGCTGTGGCACAACAGGTTAACTCCATGGCCTGATGCGCCAACATCCTATATGGGCGCTGGTTCGAGACCTGGCTGCTCCACTTCCGATCCAGCTCTCTGCTGTGGCCTGGGAAAGCAGTGGAGGAATGCCCAACCTCTTGGGCTCCTGCACATGCATGGGAGACCCAGAAGAAGCTACTGACTCCTGGCTCTAGATCAGCGCAGCTCTGGCCATTGCGGCCAGTTGGGGAGTGAGACAGTGGATGGAAGATCTCTCTCTCTCTCTCTGCCTCTCCTCTGTGTAACTCTGATTTTCAAATAAATAAGTAAATCTTAAAAAAAAAAAAAGAGAGAAATTCACCTGTTTTCTTCTGATACACTGCTTCATTTTCTATATTATCTTTGACCCAAATGGAATTCATGGAATTTGTTTTTGTTTTAAGAAATACAGTGTAGGAATTTGCATTCAAAGGATAGAGCATTCACCTGGCACCATTTCTTACTGCTTATGGAATCATATATATGTATGTTTATATATTTAGCTAATTAATTTTGTTTGTACTTGTTTCTGAACTTTGTTCTTGCTGTTTTCTTATTCCTTTCTCTCCCTTCATTTTATTTGAAAGGCAGAGAGAGAGAGAGAGAGAGATCTCTTCTGTTTGCTGGGTCACTCTCCAAATGCCCATGACAGCCAAGGCTGATCCTGGCCGAAGCCAGGAGCCCAGGATTCAATGTAGGTAGTCCCCATGGGTGGCAGGGTCACAGATATTTGAACCGTCACCCTCTGTTTCCCAGGGTGCACACCCTCAAGAAGTCTGATTGGAAGTGGAACTGGGCAATCCAGTGTGTCCCAAGCAGCATCTTAACTGCTGTGCACACACACACACACACACACCCTACACACGCACACACACCTACACACACACAAACCCTGCCATCTGCTTATTCTTATACAGCTCCCTGCCATTAAAATCTTTAAATTTTATATGACAGTAGAACATACACATACAAATACACCAATTTTAGCTTGGTGAATTTGACAGTCCAATGTAACCAGCATCCAGATTAAGAACTACAACCACAGAAAACACTCTGGGACCTTCAGTCACTAAAATTCACCCTCCTCCCCTGCCCAGCCCAAGGGTAGCCACTGCTCAGAATTTTACCTGTGTGTGCATTTTGTATGATGGGGATCATGCCTTTTGAGATTCAGTTATGTTTCTCATTGCTGTATGTACATACACTACTAAGTGAACGTGCACTTACCTGCTTGCTACACTTCTTAATGATTGCTTAAACACCTACCCCTGCTGGCAGCCTTTGGTGTTTTGTTGTTGTTTTGTTTTGTTTGTCCATTTATTCTCCCACTAGCAGTTTACTTCATATCCTTGCTGTTCTTTGTTTTACTTTACCTCTTCAGCTAGGTTTATAAAATGCCCAGCCATGCTAGTGCACAGGTATGTTTGATTTGCTGTCTAGTGTAAGTTCCCCAGAACTTATTAGTTTTGCTGTTCATTCATCAAGAGGATCTTTATAATCAGTTAGAGGTTTATAAATACATATTGGGGTTTTTATTTAGAATTGTGTTAAACTTAGATTGTATTGGTGTGAACTGGCAACTTTGCAAAACTGAGCCTTCTAATTCAGACATGTTTTTTCATTTAATTTTAGGATTTTATAAAATGTCCTAAAGTTATATGGCATCTAAGTGGATTCAGTGTTGTTTTGTGCCTTGAAAAATGTGAATAGGATTTCTCCTTTTTATGTTTTAAATTGAAATTGAGTGAAAAGCCTTAAATGAAATGAAAGGAATGAAAGTCTTAAGTTGTGTTTTTCTTTAATATTCTGCTAGATTGTTTCTGTTGGATATTATTTTCAGTATTCATTGATTTTCATAAATGAGATTGACATGTTTTTTTTGTGTGTGTCTTTCATTTTTGATGTTTTGTTATTTTCCTTTGTGAGAGAAATTGGCAAATTGTCTTTGATCTGCTCGCAGGAACAGTTCAGATAGCTTTAGAATGATCTATTTATTGACAGTGTGATGGCTACTGAAATCATTTGGACTTGTTGAATTTTGGGAATATAGTTATATGCTTTCTCAATTCTTTCTAAGATGTTATCCATATAGATTTACTGGTTCTTGAGTCCATTTTGTTTTGCTGACTTGTCTTTTAGAAAATGTTTAATAATTTGGACTTCATTGTCAGATTTTTGAGCTTGAGTGAAGAGAAGTTTCTTACAATTTTTATTTGTTCTGTATTTTTTTCATTTTCATTCTTATGTAGTTATGGTTTCTCCTGTTAAATTTTGAGTATGATTTACAGGTTATGTTGAAATTTTATCATATGCAGTCTTTGGATTTTTTTAAAAAATTTACTTTGTATTTATTTGAAAGGCACAGTTACAGAGAGAGAAGGAGAGACAGAGAGATCTTTCATCTGCTGGTTCACTCCCCAAATGGCTGCAATGGCTGGCGCTGTGCCAGGCCAAAACCAGGAGCCAGGATCTTCTTGTGGGTCTCCCACATGGGTGAATGGGCCCAAGGGCTTGGACCATCCACTGCTGCTTTCCCAAGCACATTAGCAGGGAGCTGTATCAGAAGTGGAGCAGCTGGGTCTTGAACCAACGCCCATATGGGATGCTGGCATCTCAGGCAATGGCTTAACCCTCTGGGCCAAAACACCAGCCCCTGGACTTATCATTTCTACTATTTGTGTGTGAGTTTTTGTTAACATAATTATTAATTTCTCTTCCCTTATTTCCTAGATTCATTTAATTTTTCTGACTTTTGATTGCTTATTCATTATTTTCTATACTTACTTATCTCTCTCATGTTATAGATTTAGCAGTTATCTGTACATATAAAATAACATAGCAGTTTCATTTATGAAAATTGATGAATGTGCAAATAAAATAATGTCCAACAGAAAGGATCTAGTAGTATTTTAAAGAAATAGTACACCTTATTTAGACTTTCATTCCAGTTGATAAATATGATAGGGGTTTTGTTCTCATTGTAATTTTCTCTATAATCTATAACTGTGTATCTTAATTTCTTCTTTGCCCAAATGGTCATTTAGGAAAGGCTATTTTAAATTCTAATAGATTGGAGAACTTTGTCTTTAGAAATATCCAGTTTTATCGCCTTATGATTAGAACGTTTAATCCTTTAATAATTAATGAAGATCTTTGTGGTCTAATATATGTTCAGTTTTTGTGTACGGTTGTGAATCCTTGAACAGAACTGTAATTCTCCTCATGAGGTAGAATTAGTTGTTTGAGTGTGTACTTATGTCCCAACTTAACATTTTTGATACTTTTAATTTTTCCACTTGCTTCATTAAGGCCTAAAAGTAGCCATTTACAATACTGACTGATGTTTTTATGACAGTTTTTCCTTTTGTTGTTACCGTTTTTACATATGTGTGTGTGTAATTTTTTCACAGTTTGGTTGAGGTGTAATTGAGAAGCTACCTACATGGAAGCATAAAATTTGATACATTTTGGGTATATTTACAAAGCCACGGTCAGGTATTCAGCATCCCCATCCACCTATCTTAGTCAGCTTCAGGCTGTAGCAACAAATTATCTCGTAGTGACAAAATACTACAGTCTGGATGACTTAAACCATAGGTACTTACCTCTCATAGTTCAGGATGCACGGTTAGATCACAGGGATGTCTTCTCTTGTCCTTAAGTGGTAGAGATCTATCTTCTTTCAAAGAGGGTTCTACCTAGTAACACCCCAAGGGCCACCTCCTAATGTGTCACATTGGCACTTGGGATTTCAACATCTGGATTTGTAGAGGGGGATGCAGACATTCAGCACACAAGAGCTCACATATTTCCTGATGTGCTTCTGCAATCCCCTCCTTGTCAATCCGCATCCCCAGGCTGCCTTGGATGTGCTCCAGTGTGGATTAGTTCCGTTATAGGTTAGTTTGCCGTCACTGGAATTTTATGTTAATGGAATTATCCACTCTATTCTTTTCTGATTGATTTTTTTTTTTTACTCAGCGTAATTATTTTCAGATTCAGTCATGTTGTATGATATTAATAGTTCATTTCTTTGGCAACAGCAATTTGTGTACCGTTTATCCATTAAGATACTTGGGTTATTTGCAATTTGGGGCTACTACAAATGATATGTTATGAACATTTGTGTACAGATCTTTGTGTGGACATGTTTTTATTTTTCCTGGATCATTTGATGGGTTGAGTCAGTCTTCTGGGGGTTCAACATCTGTGAATTCAACCAACCACAGATCAAACATATTTGGAGAAAAATTGCATGTGAACTGAACATGTACAGACTTTGTGCCTTCTCATTCTGTAAACAATGGAATATGACAGCTATTTATGTAGAAACCCAGGTATGACCTGTTAGCCTGTCTATAAGTGTAATGATATCACTGTGATTTTTATTTCACATTTTCCTAACACCTGTCCCATCCTGCATGTGGAAATCCAATTTTCCCAGCACCATTTGTTGAAGAGACTGTCCTTGCTCCAGGGATTGGTTTTAGCTCCTTGGTCAAACATAAGTTGGTTGTTGATGTTTGGATTGATTTCTGGTGATTCCATTCTTTTCCATTGGTCTATCTATCTATTTTTGTATCAGTACCAGGCTGTTTTGATTATAACTGCCTGTAGTATGTCTTCATATCTGTAATTGTGATACCTCCAGCTTTGTTTTTGTTGTATAAGATTGCTTTGGCTATCTGAAGTCTCCTGTGTTTCCATATGAATTTCGGCATCATTTTTTCCAGATCTGAGAAGAATGTCTTTGGTATTTTGATTGGTATTGCATTGGATCTGTAAATTGCTATTGGAAGAATGGACATTTTGATGATAGTGATCCTTCTAATCCATGAACATGGAAGATTTTTCCTTTTTTTTTTTTTTTGGTATCTTCTTCTATTTCATTCTTCAATGTTTTGGAATTCTCCTTGTAGAGATCTTTGACATCCTTGGTTAAATTTATTCCAAGGTATTTGATTTTTTTTTTTTTATAGCTATTGTGAATGGGATAGATCTTAGAAGTTCACTCTCAGCCTTGGCATTGTCTGTGTATAGAAATGCTGTTGATGTTTGTGTACTGATTTTATATCCTGTTACTTTACCAAACTCTTCTATGAGTTCCAATAGTCTCTTGGTGGAATCTTTTAGATCCCCTAAATATAGAATCATGTCATTTGCAGATAGGGATAGTTTGACTTCCTCCTTCGCAATTTGTGTTCCTGTAATTTCTTTTTCTTGCCTAATGGCTCTAGCTAACACTTCAAGGACTATATTGATAACAGTGGTGAGAGTAGGCATCCTTGTCTGGTACCTGATCTCAGTAGGAATGCTTCCAACTTTTCCCCATTGAATATGATGCTGGCTGTGGGTTTGTCATAAATTGCCTTGATTGTGTTGAGGAATATTCCTTCTATACCCAATTTGCTTAGAGTTTTCTCTGTAGCTATTGAAATAATCATATGGTTTTTGTTCTTCAGTTTGTTAATGTGATATATCACAATGGTTGAATTGTGAATGTTGAACCATCCCTGCATACCAGGCATAAATCCCACTTGGTCTGGGAGGATGATCTGATGTGTTGTTGGATTCTATTGGCTAGAATTTTGTTGAGGATTTTTACATCTGTGTTCATCAGGGAAATTGGTCTGTAATTCTCTTTCTCTGTTGCATCTTTTTCAGGTTTAGGAATTAAGGTGATGCTGGCTTCATAGGAAGAATTTAGGAAGAATCCCTCCCTTTCAATTGTTTTGAATAGAAGAATTGGAGTTAGTTCTTCTTTAAATGCCTGGTATAATTCAGCTGTGATGCCATCCGGTCTTGGACTTGTTTTTGTTGGGCAGGCCTTTATTACTGATTCAATTTCCTTCTTGGTTATGGGTCTGTTTAGATTTTCAATTTAGGTAGGTTGTATGTGTTCAGGAATCTATCCGTTTCTTCTAACTTTCCCAGTTTGTTGGTATACAGCTGTTTGTAGTAATTTCTAATGATTCTTTTTATTTCTGTGCTATCTGTTGTTACATTTCCCTTTTCATCTCTAATTTCATTGATTTGGGTCTTCTGTTCGGTTAGTTGGGCCAGTGGTGTGTCTTTTTTTTTTTTTTTTTCAGAAAACCAGCTCTTCATTTTGCCGATTTTTGTATTTTTGGATTCAATTTTGTTGATTTCTTCTCTGCTTTTAGTTTTTCTTTTCTCCTATTAGTTTTGGATTTGGTTTGCTGTTGTTTTTCTAGATCTTTGAGATGCATTGATAGCTCATTTATTTGGTGCCTTTCCAATTTCTTGATGTAGGCACCTATTGCCATAAACTTTCCTCTTAATACTGATTTTGCTGTACCATATGTTTTGGTATGTTGTATTGTCATCTTCATTCGTTTCCAGGAATTTTTTTATTTCTTTTTTGATTTCTTCTATGACCCACTGTTCATTCAGGAGCATGTTGTTCAGTCTCCATGTGTTTGCATATGTACTAGGGATTCCTGTGTTGTTGATTTTCAGCTTCGTTCCATTGTGGTCCAAGAAGATGCATGGTACGATTTTGATTTTTTTGAATTTGCTGAGACTTGCTTTATGGCCTAGCATGTGGTCAATCCTAGAGCAAGTTCCATGCACTGCTTAGAAGAATGTTTATTCTGCAACTGTAGGATGAAAAGTTTTGTAGATATCTGTTAAGTCCATTTGGTCTATAGTGTCAGTTAACTCTGCTCTTTCCTTGTTGATTTTCTGTCTGGTTGATCTGTCCACTGATGAAAGTGGGGTATTGAAGTCCCCCATTACTATTGTTTTGGTGTCTGTGTTTCCCCTAGATCCGTCAACATTTCCTTTAAATAGCTGGGTGCCCTGTAATTAGGTGCATATACATTTATAATAGTTACATCTTCCTGTTGAATACCCCAGGGTGTATTCCTAGACCCTGTAATTTACTTTTACCAAAACTTTTAAGCTCTGTTAAGTCCTTTCATGTGTGGTCTCACTTGAGCCCTTTGACCCCTAATTTTCTCAGGCTGCACTGTGGTATAATTCACCATATTCCTCTGTCCTCTTGTATTGGTATATTAGCAGTTGAATCCAGCACTTGATCATATTTGGGTTTAATTGTATCTTGTAATTTTTTTTTTTTTTTAACTCAAGGGACCTGTAATGTCAAGTTCTCATTAATGTTCAATGCCTAGATTTATTATTCATCCGGATTGTAAGTGGTATATTTGAATTGTCATTTTGTCTTCATTTATTTATTTTTTTTTTAAAGATTTTATTTATTTATTTGAAAGGTAGAGTTACAGAGGCAGGGGCAGAGAGAAAGAGAGACAGACAGAGAGGTTTTCCATCTGCTGATTCATTCCCCAAATGGGGGCAGCAGCTGGATCTGGGATGATCTGAAGCCAGGAGCTTCTTCCGGATCTCCCACATGGGGACAGGGGCCGAAGCACACTTGGGCCAGGCACATTAGCAGGGAGCTGGATTGGACGTGGAGCAGCCAGGACCTGAACCAGTGCCCATATGGGATGCCGGCACTGCAGGCGGCAGCTTAACCCGCTACTCCACAGCGCCAGCCCCTTGTCTTCATTTATTAACTGCAGTGGTTTTATAAAAAGATGCTCATCTTCATTTACTGTTTGGTTGTTGAAATTATTTGCAGACGTCTGGATAAATACTTGACTCTTTCCTTTTATTTATACTGTTTTCAATGGATTCCCTGTCATCGTCAGAAGATGGTAAGTTAGATTCTTTTTCTGAATCTCTGTGATCTCAGGGATTTCAGCGTAGTTGATGGGTCCCAATCCATTGCTGTTTTCATCCTCATGGAAGCTCACATTGTGCTATCACTGACCAACAGAAGCCTCATAACCTGGCTCCAGAATACTATTGATCCGGCCTGAGAAGGCCTTGATAGCTTTTTTTCTGTTTAGTATGTCCAGATGTTTCATGTTCATCTTTTACCTTTCTTGCCCAGGCCCTGAATTAATCATTTTATTCCACAAATCCCTGGTTTAATTTCATTGGAGGGGATGTTTCATTATAGGCAGATGTTGGATGCTCATTAGTATTATGTTGATCATTGTTTCTGGGCCTTCCAAATGGACAGAAGTAGAATGCAGGTACATGTGTAAATTAAAAAAATAAAATATTGGGGTGGGCCTTGTGGTGCAGAGGTTAAGCAGTGGTTTAGGATGCCCAGATCCATATCAAAATGCCTGTTTGAGCGCTGGCTATTCCACTTCTGATCCAGGTTCCTGCTAATGCTCACCCCAGGAAGCAGCAGATGATGGCTTAAGTTCTTGAGTCCCTGACACCCATGTAGGAGACCCAGATGGAATTTCTTGGTCCTGGCTTTGGTCTGACCCAGTTATGACTTTTCTGGACATTTGGGGAATGAACCAGTGGATGGCAAAACTCTCTTTCTACTTCTCTGTTGTTCTGCCTTTCAAATAAATAATAACTTAAATATTTTGAGTTCATACTGATACTTTCAATTAAAATTCCAAATTCTGTATTTTATCTTTACTTTTTGTTGAAATACATAATAGAGAAATGCACAGATCTTCAGTGTCCAGCTTGGTGAACTTTGACCAAGTAATAGTTTGGTTAACACCCATATAACCAGCTCCTAGATCAGGAATCAGAACTTCACAGTACCCAGACCCCATCAAGCCCTTCTCCACCCCACCAGGTAATTCCTGTCTTGCTTTTTAAGATCATAGATTGCTAAGACAGAACATCTTTTTGAGAGCGTGACTGAGATCACCAGTTGAGGGCTGAGGGGGAGGCAGGCTCCAACCGAGTGATGAAGTTTTATATGGTAGGTTGTGATTGGAGAGAGCTGTAGAATGCCTGTCACCTTCCCATGTTCCCCTAGTGAAATAGGCCACTGGAGCCTGGCACTGAGCCGGGAGAGTATGGACTTCAAGCCCCAGTGTGTCTGATTTTTCTGGGAAAGTCATCTACCCTCTACTCATATCTATTATGTATTATATTTCTGTTTTCTTTCTTGCACACTGAGAATCCTGGTTTCTCAGCTTCACGTGGTAATCACAAGATAGCTTGGGCTGGTTTTTTGTTTTTTTGTTTTTTTTTTTTTAAAGATTTATTTATTTGAAAGAATTACACAGAGAAAGGAGAGGTAGAGAGAGGTCTTTTATCCCATGGTTCACTCCCCAAATTGGCTGCAACGACTGGAGCTGCACCCATCTGAAGCCAGGAGCCAGGAGCTTCTTCTGGGTGTAGTGGCCCAAGGACTTGGGCCATCTTCCACTGCTGTCTCAGGCCATAGCAGAGAGCTGGATCGGAAGTGGAGCAGCCGGGAATCAAACTGGCACCCATATGGCATGCCAGCGCTTTAGGCCAAGATATTAACCTGCTGTGCCACAGCACCGGCCTAGCTTGGGCTATTCTAACAAATACTACAGACTGAGTGCTTAAACAACAGATAGTTATTTCTGCAGTTCTAGAGGCTGGGAAATCCAAGATCAAGGTGCTGGCTGATTGACCATTGTTTCTGGGCCTTCCTGGTGGCTGGAACCAGATGTATGTGTATAAAAATAAAATGCAGTTCCTGGTGAGGGCCTGCTTCAGGTTTGCAGTTGGTCCCTTCCCCATTTGGGGAATATAGAGACAGAACAAGCCTTCTGGTCTCATGCCATTGTGGGAGCTACACTTGGGGCCTCACTGATAGCTAATTTCTTCCAATGGTCTACCTCCCAATATTATCACATTGGGGTTTAGATTTCGAAATAAGAATTTTGGAAGGACCCAAAACATTCAGTGCCTAATACATGGGATGATAGAATATCATGTAATTTACCCATTTACTTTGTCTCACAGCACACATAGGAAGTCTGAATAACAGCCCTAATATTAATTTTAATACCACCAATTATGACTGCTGAATACAGTTAACTTTTTTTTACGTATGTTCTCTCTACTTTTTTTTTTAACTTTTCACAGTTCTACCATGTTAACATATCATACAATCATTATATCTATAATCTCTTCTTTTTTTCAAAATTTTAATTATTGAAAGGCAGAGTGATAAGAGGGAATGGGGAGGCAGGAGGCACCTTCCCTCCATCGGTTCACCCAGCAAATGGCTGCAGTGGTTGGGGCTGGTCCAGGCTACAGCAGGGAGCCTGGCCCTCCATTCGAGTCCTCCACCTGAGTGCTTTTCCAGGCCACTGCCAGGGCGCTGGATTGGAAGCAGAGCAGTGGGGTTGAATCTGTGCTCTGATGTGGAATGCTGGTGTTGCAGGCGGCGGCTTAATCCGTTGTTCCACACCACTTGCCCCAGTCTCTCAGCTCTCATTTTATCTTAGTTTTGCAAATTACTCTGTGATTTATGCTCTTATTGTATTTGTCTCTATAGTCATTTTGGTTTTCTGAAGCGTATTCTTTAGGAGATCCCTCAGGAAGGACTCTAGAAAACATTTCTTGAGCTCTTGGAGCGTTGATAGATATCCCTTGATAGCCGAAGGTCACTTTTGCTGGATATAAAATTGTTGACTTGCATTTTCTTAAATAGGTTTCTTTGCTTGCTTCTGAAATAAAATATTGCTGGCAAAGTCCAGTGATAATTTTACTCTTCTAAGTTATGTGGTCTTTTTGCATAGAAGCCCAAAGGGCTTTTTCTATAAAGTCTGGTACAGTTTTTGGGCTTTTAGCAAATAGCTAAATCTGATCATTTTTTATTTCATGAAAATTTTCTTAAATTACAGTTTCAGCATTTATTCTGCACCATCACTTTGAGACTCCTTTTGTGTGTGTTGAATCGTTCTTGGCTATTGTAACTATTTATTCCTTTTACACATTTTGTTGCTTCTTATTTTTTATCTAGTCTTCATTTCAAAAATGACTTTTTCTTTTACTTGCATTGTTTCCTTAAGCTTTATCACTCTTTTCTGTTTTCTTTTTGGAAAATTCATCATGTTCTTACATGCTTTGTGTCATTTTGACATCTTTCACCTCATTTTCAAATTGTATTTTTTTTCAGGGAGGAATATGCTTTCATGTAGGAATATCTGCAATCCAGATCTTTCCTCCCTGGCCCCATCACAACTGAATCTCACACAAAGATTCAGCTTCAGTACTTTTTATGGCCTATTTTTTATTTGGAATCAGTTTTCTTCAACCCTTGAAGGAGGCTTGGATTATATAGTTTGTGTTTTACTTTTTAGAGCTCCTCTTGTGGGTTTTGAGCAGACAGCTTACTTCCTCCATTTCCTGCTTCTCATCTCCCAGTTTTCTCTCAATGTTTTCTTTCCTTCCTCTCTGTTGTCCCTGTTTTGCTCAACTTTGATTCGTGGAAGAGATGGGGAGGCCAGCGGGTGGGTTCCCAGAGTGGGTGCTGGCCCCTCAGGCCCGCGGTGTCTGTTCTGTGGAGTGGGCCACACCAGTGCAGCCACTTCTCTGAATGTGCTGAGTTGTGCCATACAAGGAGGACCTGTGGCTGCTGTGGGTTCTGCTGTCCTGAAGCCCTCAGCCAAGGTGGCTGTGGGGTTGTCCCTCCCTACTTGTCCTATGGAGTGTAGGATTTTGGTCTCTTGTTGGAAATTGTGTAGGTGAGTTTTTGGATTCACTACCTAGTCTGCTTTTATATTTTATTTAGAGAAAATTATAACTTTCTGTACAGAAAAGTGAAGAAATTTTATCTTATTTTCACAAAGAAGAAAATCTGGTTTTATAAAATAACAGTCTTGTCATGAGGCATAGAGGGTAGAATTTATTAAAGCTTTACAATTTGCATTTAACTAAAGGTTAATGGTTTTATTGTGAAATTACCAAAGAGGGGTTAGAGAACTAATTGCTTTTATTAGTCACTAACAAATAACTGAAAATTATCTACAAAGTGGCAAGTGGTAACTATATATTAGCATGTTACTGAGAAGTTCATCTTAGTGGTTGGTTTTTTATTATCTACTAATTAAGTGGTTCAGATACTTTAGAGTTTAAAAATGTGTCTGAAACATGTTATTTGTTTTACATAGTTTTGTCTATTTAGATTTATTTAGAGAATATAGCACACTTGAAATAAAATTAGCCATGTTGTGAAAATGCAGAGAAAAACTGGGAATTTGATTGTTCTTTCTGCTCTACGAATAGTACCCTCACTGCTTTCATTCACTTGAAGACCACTTTAGTTGTAGGAATATTTTGAGTTTTTTAAAAAATGGGTTTTCTCCTTTGTTTGCAAAGAATGGAGGAGGGCCCTGGAAGGAAGCTTCTCAATGCCTTCTCAGCCTATTTATGTCAGTGAGACTCTGAAATCCCATGCAGAATGGAGAACTACTGAAGGCAGGCCACCTGAGAGCCCATGGTATAGCTGAGACACTAAGCCATTCCATCCATTGAGTACCAGTTTGGGTACCTACCTGTTGAGTGATAACTGTTAGTTGAAATTGACTTGTAAAGGGTATTTATGTTTTCTTATATTCGGTGCCTACCAGTGTCCTTTTCTTCAAAAATATACTCTAACTTCCAGTTGTTAGACTGCTGGGAGAAGATGGTGGGAGAGCTTTGTCATCCACTGACGGTTCACCATGAGACATAACACGAGTCACTGTTGAAGTGCCTTCAGGATCTCCTTAGGATGCTTGCATTTATAAAATTCTTCTGGAATTGATGTTAAGGGTACAGTCTTCACAGGTGTTCATTACATGTAGTCAGTAATTGTGGTTGAGGCCCACATTCTCCCTAAGAATGTTGTTTGCATTGTATGCAGTGACCAAAGAACCTCATCTTGTTCCTCTTCCAACCTCAAAAGTGGAAGAAGTTGCTGCCTCCTTTAGTCAGCACATTAGAATGGACAGGCTTATTAAGTTTACTGTGGGTTGAGGGTGTGTGTTAAGAAATAGGGTTTTTAGGGCCAGCGTTGTGGTGCAGCAGGCACCCTGTTTGCGAGTGCCTAGAGTGCTGCTTCTGCTTCCCATCCAGCTTCCTGCTAACACACCTGGGAGCAGCAGATGCTGGCCCAGGTACTTGGGTCCTTCCACGTATGGGAAAGCTGATCGGAGTTCCTAGCTCCTGGCTTAGCCCAGCTCTGGCTTTTGAAGGCATTTGTTAACTTCCCAGGTGGAAGATCTGTCTCATATTCATATGCATATTTATTTACTTATTTATTTATATATTTTTTACTCTGCCTTTCACAATTAAATTAAAAAGGAAAAACAAATAGAATTTTGGACTTAAGTCTTTTTCATTAGTTTATTTAATATGTTAGCATTTTTCCTGTATTTCCTTGTTGAAGATCTTGAAATTCTGGTATAATGAAGAAATCCTGAGTTTTAAGTGGGGGAGCCAGAGAGAAAAAGACTGGAGAGGGGATTCCAAGTGAACTTCCTTATTTTATCTCAGTCTCCCAGTGGCTTCAGCAGAGGCTCTCTGCTGCCTGTGCTTCCTGCGTGCATTGCTGACTTTGTGGAACCGTGTGTTTCCCTTCATTTTGTCTCTTTAGTCCATTTGTTCTAAGCAGCCCTTCTTCCTGCACTCTATGGGGGTGCCAGAGATAGAGTAGTGTCTGTTGGGGTAGTGGAAAGCCTAGTTTCGGAACCGACTTTGATGAAGCCTTTGAAGATGTACACGATGGGGGCCACGTTGTGTTTTAGTGGGTAAAGCCACCGCCTGCAATGCCTGTGCCCCATATGGTTGCCTGTTCCAGTCCCAGCTGCTCCATTTCCAACCCAGCTCCCTGCTAATGTGCCTGGGAAAGCAGTGGAGGGTGGCCCAAGCTCTTGGGCCCCTGAATCCATATAGGAGACCTGGAAGGAGCTCCTGGCTCCTGGCTTTGGCCTGGCCAAGCCCTCTCTGGCTGTTGTAGCCATTTTGGGAGTGAACCAGCAGATGGGAGATCCATCTCTCTCCCTCTCTCCGTCCCTCTCCCTGTAACTCTGCCTTTCAAATACGTAAAATAAATCTTAAAAAAAAATGTGGCCAATGCCATCCAAGTTTGAGAGAGAATTCCTCCTAACTGATCTGGCTGAAGTGAATGAAGAAATAATTCTATGTTCCTTGACTCCTCTGTATTTTCACAATCATTTCTTTTTTTCTTCCTTTTTTTTTTTTTTTTTTTTTGACAGGCAGAGTGGATAGTGAGAGAGAGAGACAGAGAGAAAGGTCTTCCTTTGCCATTGGTTCACCCTCCAATGGCCGCCGTGGCACTGCGCTGATCCGATGGCAGGAGCCAGGCACTTCTCCTGGTCTCCCATGGGGTGCAGGGCCCAAGGACTTGGGCCATCCTCCACTGCACTCCCGGGCCATAGCAGAGAGCTGGCCTGGAAGAGGGGCAACCGGGACAGAATCCGGCGCCCCAACCGGGACTAGAACCTGGTGTGCCGGCGCCGCAAGGGGAGGATTAGCCTAGTGAGCCACGGCGCCGGCCCACAATCATTTCTTTTCTCTCTTGTGAGCTAGTGTATTGGTTTCTTGAGGGAATGAAAACTTAGAGCACAAAGTGAGTAGACGTATCCAGAATTTGTCTCCCACACTTCCCTCTCTGCAGACAGTCCTCTAAAGCTCCACACAGCAGCAGGACGGCCCTTCTGTGCGGCCTGCAGCCATGTCTGCTAGCAGGACCACAGACCCGCTGGACGGAGCTGGCAGCAAGGCTGACCATGCATGTCCTGGTGTCAGAAATAGCAGAAGAAAGTGAGGACAGTGAATAAATCCTCACCTTTTTTTTTTTTTTTCACAACTTTCACTCATAGTTGTATGTCTACTACAATGTGTTATCTTCCTTTTTTTCACTTTAAGCATGAGCACTTAGTAGTAGCTTATTTAAATGGTGCTTTTTTGTTTTGTTTTATAAGAATCCATGAGGTCCTTGTAGGAAATTTAGACAATTATAATTAGACACCAAGGGAAAGAAATGACGAGACCCACAATCACATTGTGCATGAATGTTCCCTGTGTGGATGGCTCAGTTCAGGCTGTACATAAGTGCTGTAGCCTGGGTGGCTTAAACAACGAAAATGTATTCTGTACACTTCTGAAGGCTGGAAAGTCCAAGATTTGGTTCCTGGCGAGGGCCTCTTGCTGGGTGGCAGACATCTTGCTGTCTTCACAGGGCCTCTTGTCTCTATGTAAAGGGCACTGAACCTCCTCTGGGGGCTTCCATCCTCATGGTCTGCTTAACTCCAAAGACCCCAGCTCCAGATACCATCACAATGAGAGTTAGGGCTTCCACGTGAATTTTGAGTGGACACAAACTTTCAGATCAGAGCAATGGGCTAAGGTTTAATGGAAGAAGTCATCCTTTAAGTCCCATACATAAATCTTTATTTTTTTCTCTCCTTTAAAAAAGATCCTTTTTCATTGGCTGTCATATACTTTTCACAGTGGGAGACAAGGCTGCACCAGTTTTTATATTCCAAGAAGAAGCAAAATTGCTGTTATTTGTAAGATGCTGTCCATTATAAGAAATACTCCAGTTCTGTAGGTGAAAGATTATGTCTTAAGATTGCTGAAATACTGGTAATCTTGGACTATATAAGTAATACATTAATCAGTTTCCTAAATTATGTTTTTTAAGATTTATTTTCTCATTTATTTGAAAGAGTTAGAGAGAGAAAGAGAGAGAGGGGTCTTCCATCTGCTGGTTCAATCCCCAGTTGGATGCAATGGCCGGAGCTGTGTCGATCCAGAGCCAGGAGCTTCTTCCGGGTCTCCCATGTGGGTGCAGGGGTCCAAGGACCTGGGCCATTCTTCTATTGTTTCCCCAGGCCATATCATAGACCTGAATTGGAAGTGACGCATCTGGGTCTTAAACCAGTGCCCATGTGGGATGCTGGCACTACAGGCAGTGGCTTAACCAGCTACGCCACAGCACTGGCCCCTCCTAAGTTATTTTTATTATAATTTTTGACTTTTGGATTTAAGAAAGATTTCTCCTGTTTTAGAATATATTTTTCTGTATTTTTGTCTAGAAAATTTTTATGATAAGTAAAAAATACATTAATGTGTACATTTTAAAAAGTATTTATTTATTCGAAAGAGTTAACACAGAGGGAAGGAGAGGCAGAGAGAGAGAGAGAAAGAGAGGTCTTCCATCTGCTGGTTCACTCCCCAATTGGCTGCAACGGCTAGAGCTGTGCCGATCTGAAGCCAGGAACCTGGAGCTTCTGGGTGCCCCACATGGGTGCACTTGGGCCATCTACTGCTTTCCCAGGCCACAGCAGAGAGCTGGATCAGAAGTGGAGCAGCCAGGATGTGAACTGGCGCCCATATGGGATGCTGACATTGCAAGTGGTGGCTTTATCCACTATGCCACAGCACCAGTTCCAATGTGTACTTTCTTAAGCAAACGATCAAACAATGTTTGTAGCCAGCATTTTCATTTTATTGGTATAATGGCGATACCTTTCTGAATCGTTAGGTCTCATTCCGCAATGTAATTTTTCATGACTGTATAGCATTTTATTGTGTTTGAACTGCAGTTTAATTAGCTGATCTGTTATTCATTGCTTAAGTCTTTTCTAATTTTTGCTATTATAAATAACACCATAGCAGACATTCTTGTGACTATGGTTTTAGTTTACCCAAGATTATTTCCCTGGCTAATTTTTGTTGGGGCTGTGTGTGTGTGTGTGTGTGTGTGTGTGTATGTGTAAAATAACCTTCATAAAAGGTCGTACCAATTTATATTCCCATTCAGTAAAAAGGATCATGCAGTCTTCTTTAATGTAAAAATTTTCCAGGCATGTGTTTTCTGTGTTTCAATTCCATGAGACTCTTTAATAATAATGACAATGCTAGGTGACATCTTATTCTGCACATTCATGTAACATTTAATGAGTGCCTACCATTGTGCCTAGGGTACAGAAATAAGTGCCGTAGAGTCATAGGGCATGCAGTATTTTCCTTGTAGTAGTCACTGCCAACATGGCCAGAACTGAATGAGGCTACCCCTTTCTCTACATCCACACTTGTATTTATTACTTTCAGATGTCTTAACTTTCCCTCATGTTGGCCAAAATTACGTAAGACACAAACCCTTGTTCTCCAGGCCCTTAAGGTCTTGGGGATTGAGTGTGGAAAAGGGAATTATCAAGTAGATAAACAGTAACACACATGGTGATCAGTTCTATTAAAGAGGGATGAAAAAGGTGCTTAGGCAAACACAGGAGGAGAGGGCATTATGGGTGGTAGACAAAGAAAGCATCGTAAGGTGCTCTGCCATTTCGAATGCTGAGTGCTGGAGTTGTTCCCCTGGAGCAGGATCCAGGTGAGTGGTGATGAAGGACTTTCCGACAGAACAGCTCTATGTGCTAAGGCTTTAAGGGAAGCACAAGCGATTTGAGGGTGTGGTTAGTGGTGGAAGCTCAGACCAGAAAGATGAGAGACCAGGTCATGAAAGGGATCATGGGGAAAGTCTTAGGTTTTAAAATAGTCACTGCCAGGTGTTAAAATAGATGATATGGGGGCCGGTGCTGTGGCGTAACGGGTAAAGCCACTGCCTTCAGTGCTGGCATCCCATATGAGTGCTGGTTCGAGGCCTGGCTGCTCCACTTCCAATCCAGCTCTCTGCTATGGCCTAGGAAAGCAGTAGAAGGTGGCCCAAGTCTTTGAGCCCCTGCACACCCGCATGGGAGACCCGGAAGAAGCTCCTGGCTCCTGGCTTCGGATTGGCGCAGCTCCAGCCATTGCAGCCAATTGGGGGGAGTGAACCAGTGGATGGAAGACCTCTCTCTCTCTGCCTCTCCTCCTCTCTCTGTGTAACTGACTTTCAAGTAAATAAATAAATCTTGAAAAATAGATGATATGATCCGATTAACTCTGTGATATAATGGAAGGCATAGAGTTAATTATGGTTTGGGTGCGGGATAAAGCTAAGACGTGACATTTCCTCAGGAAATGCAGAGGGTTTTGGGTGTAGGTGTTTCAACTGCCTCCTTGTCCCCAAGCCCTGCCAGTTTGTGTTTCCTAGTAAAGGTAGATCCATCTTCAGGCACACAGTTCTTTGCTGTACTAGCTTATACTGTGTTACCATTTATTCCTTTTTAAACCTCCGTGGAGAGTGTATATTCGGAGAAAAACACCATTCCCTCCAGCTCAGTGTCCACTCCGCACAGTCTTTCTTGTTCAAGAAAAATTGAGATCCTCATAACTTTTGCCCCACTCCTGTAGGCAGATCCTAAGGATATTGTTCACACACTTGGCCCAAGCATCCTCTGGGTTAGGTCCAGCATACAGAATGATTTATTGCTCTAATCCACTCCCAGCTTGCCTCTCACAAAGACGTGTCCTGTATGAAGTCAGCAACAAATGTTTAGAGATCTTTGAAAGTGTAATTCTGACTGTTACAAGTAGAGCAGTGACAACACTTTAATTCTAATGCCTAAAAGCAGTAAAGCTTTTAATAAATGTGCATTTCAATTTTAGTTCCTGGAACCCATTTGCACCCTCTTTGTGTGCTTGTATTTATTTAGAGCCAACTATATTCATGTTTGCCTTGGAGTGTAACTTGCAGCTCAGGATTTCTCCTCACTCTAACATTAGACAGTAAATGAATTTCTTGTCCTCATTTTTCTCACAGAAGTTTTTGAAATAAAAAATGGGATAAATTTACTTCCAACTTCTTAAACTCTCATCTCTGTAGTCTTACTTGAGAAATATTTTTTGCCCTCAGGCAATTTCTGGCAATTCCATTGGAAGAATTTTTTTCCCTTTGCATGTGTGAAAATATTATAGGTGGGAAGAAATATATCATCATTATCATAATACAAAGGTCTCTAAGAAAGGCTAAAACCAGTACGAAGACAGTGAAGTTGAAGGTCAGCTGGGTCCCAGGTATGAGAGAGGTTAAGTAAGGTTTGTTTTAGGCTTGGTTGAGAGGGAACCAGAGCATACTGCAGAATGCTGTTGCCTTGGACAAGAGCTCTTCACCTACCACCTCTGACAACAATGCACTTGCTTTGACTTTGGGAACTTGTGATGTCTCTAATTGTCCTTTGATTTTGTCCTTTGAAGATCATTGCTTTTCACAGTGAGCTCCTGGCATTGGAATATACACAGGATCTCTGGAGGAAGTTTGAGATCTACTGCATTAGAACATAGAATACAGAAAAAATATGGTCCTTTGGTCACTAGCAGTAGGGAGATTACATTTCTCTATATTACAGAGTAGCAAACCACACTGGCTTGTTAGGAGAGGAGAACTGTGGCTAACAGGCAAGAATGGAAGGAAGGCATTTCCCTGTTGCCCTTGTTTACCTTTTGAATTTTATGCTATTAAAACATCCAAGGAATTTTTTAAAAATTTGGTGCACTTAAACCATGAGATTTAACTATATTTCTAAGGAATTCTAAGGATTTTCCCTTCAGTATTATAGACTTAAAGGAAAAACTAAAGAAAATGATTTTCCATTATGACTTCTATTTTAATTACCACTCTCTTTCTTGTATCTTACATCCCTCAAGTAACTTTCTGTTCCTAAATTCACACATACGTTTCCACATAGAAATCTAAAGAGGGGCATAAAGCAGATTAAGAACCTTAGGGGGAAAACTTTAAAAAGTACAGTTGAACGGTCTGACAAGGCCAGGAGCTGTGAAACTATGGAAAATGAAAGACGCTTGCTGTGAGGAACCAGAGTGAATAAATACTGGATTCAGTACTGTGTCAAGTCTTGCAATGTCTTCTCACTGAAATTATAGCAATGAACGGGGATTACCACAGCAAGAAAAGAAGACCCGTGGGACAGAGTCTCAAACAGGGTACTCGGCTGTGTAACTAGCTTCCCTCCCTCCCTCCCTGTGTGTACTTACATTGTATGTGATGTCACAGCATCAGTTGTATTCTGAGAATTCAAGTAGTGTGGGTAGAGAGTCCACTATTTGGGAACACATTTGCTGCCCACAGTTAATGATAACGTTGCAGCAGGTAAGTGCAGTGTGTTGTAAGGACTGGGGTTCTGATGTGTGGGTGAGTGTGCTGGGTATCCCGTGGCTTGTGGTGGAAGATCCACAATTTGTACCTTACTCTGAGGGAGATAGAAGTTTCCCAGTGATCCACCTGTAGGCAGAGCAGATTTAGGCCAGAGTAGCTCCCAAGTGGCCTTTGGTGTCGTAACCAGTGAGAGGTTTTGTTTGTTTGTTTTTAAAGTAGGTATGAGAAGGCCCCGTCATAGCCATGGTGGGTAGCCCCCAGTCACTTATCCTAAGGGAGTCTGGAGACCACAGCCCTTGGGTTCAGACTTTGAATGAACCCATGATTTATGCCCTTGATCTTGATTAATCCAAGGAGGGTGGATGGGGGGGGCACTGGGAGGAGAGAAGAAAAGAAACTTGAGTTCCCTTTTAGAGACCCTCCTCCCCACCCCCCGCCCCTCCTGCTCCCTTGTTTTTGATGGAGATGCCTGTAAGACACTTGTGTCTTAGAAAACGCAAAGCCTTAAGCTTGGATCTTAACCAGGAAGCAAAGAGGAACTGCATTCTAACTATTAAGTGTGTATCATTTTGTTCGGATCAGTGCGGTGTGCTGGCCGCAGTGGCCATTGGCGGGTGAAGCAATGGAAAAGGAAGACCTTTCTCTCTGTCTCTCTCTCTCTCTCACTGTCCACTCTGCCTGTCAAAAAAAGAAAAGAAAAAAAAAATTACTGTAAACTGAGAGCAGTTTGACAACTACCAAATTGATAAATAAAGTCAAATAAACTCACCCCAGTAGTTTTCTTGTAATGCTAAGTTCTGTCTAATTCTAGAACTCTAGAAATGAAGAAGACCTGCTTATCTTTCTAGAAGTGCATGTGTTGAATAAGGTTATTTTTCTCTGGCTTTGGGAATTAATTTTAGTCCTTTAAGACCAGACTTTAGGGACCACATACTTGGACCAGCTCATGGCCCTTTCTTCTATGTTCAAAGCTAGCAGTGGAACATCCTCATACATCTCTAACTCTGACAGTGCTGCTACCTTCTTTCACTTACAAGGCTCCATGTGCTTACAATAGGCCCTTCCAGGCAATCCAAACTAACCACTGCATTTTCAGATCCTAATCACTTCTGCAAAGTCTCTTCCGCAATGCAAAGTAACATATTTATAGGTTCTGGAACTAAGTTCAAATGAACACTCAGCTTTGTACCTCAGATATCCTTTTCCTTGTCTCTTGCTATGTATCAAATAGATGAAGATGTTTATAAAACAGAGATTGAATATAAAATAGAGGCTCTTCCCCCAGAGCCTCCAGAAGGAATTCAGCCCTTAGGGCATATTTAGTGAAACTTGTCTGGACTTCTGATCCCCAGAACTTAGAATAGTTTGTGTTACTTAAAAAAAAAAAGAAAAAGATTATTAGGGCTGATGCTGTGGGACAGTAGTTAAGCCGCCACCTTTAGTGTCAGCATCCCATGTGGGTGCTGGTTCAAGTCCAAGCTGATCCTCTTCTGGTCCAGCTTTCTGTTTATGATCTGGGAGGGTAGTGGAAGATGGCCCAAGCCCTTGGGCCCCTGTACCTATGTGAGACCTGGAAGAAGCTCCTGGCTCCTAGCTTCATATCTGCCCAGCTCTAGCCATTGCAGCCATTTGGGGAGTGAACCCATGGATGAAAGACCTCTTTCTGTCTGTACCTCTCTGTAACTCTGCCTCTTAAACATATAAATAAATAAAATCTTTAAAAAATATTTATTTTCATTTTGTTTGAAAGCTAGAATGGCAGAGACAGAGAAACAGAGAGGTTTTCATCTGCTGGTTCACTCCTCACATGGCTGACACTGCCAGGCCGAAGCCTGAAACCCCAGAACTCCCATGTGAATGGCAGGGGCTGAAGTATTTGAGCCATCATTTGCTACCTTCCCAGGGTGTGCGTTAGTAGGAAACTGGATCAGAAGTGGAGCTGGAACTCAACACAGGCACTCTGATATGGTAGGCAAGCATCCCAAGTGGCATTTTAACTGCTGTGCCAAACACCTGCCCCAGTTTCTAATTTCAAGCCACTAAGAAGTTTGTGGTGATTTGTTACAGCAGCAATAGTGAAACTGATGTTGTTGAAGATCACATAATTAGAAAAGAAAGTAGTCTATAAAACCTAGCCTTGAGCTCAACTAATATGACTCTAGAGAATAACTGGCAGGCCAGCTGAACTTGACCCTAGCATGGTAGAATGTATTACATCTCATTAAGAAATGGGACTGTTGGGAAGGGAGTTGGTTAGTTACATAATTTGAAGCAGAGTAGCCTGTCTAGTACTTTGTCGTACTTAGAATATAACCTAGTTGTAGAGAATGATACATGAGACTAATTTACACTGATGTTGTTAAATATATATTTGATAACTTATTTGATTTCATTGCTCACCATAAAACACACATTTGACTATAATTTAGCTTCCTGTGTGGCACATCTATATGGAGAGAATGCTTTGAGCAAACATTGGATCACCTATGCATCACTGCTCTCTTCCCCTGCCTTCCTGCCTCATGATGGAGCCTTGATTTTGTAATCTATCCTCTCTGGAGAACAAATCATGATTGACCTCAGCCAATCAGGATGGACTCAATTTCTTTGTCAGTGATTGGCCAGATGTAGCTGTGGCAGTAAGACATGTGCTAGGAGTCTGAAGACACAGATATTCCTCCCTGATAAAAATATTGAAAGGGGGAGAAATAATCTTCCACTGAATGTTGTCATGTCTGCATGTGACACCTATAATAAAGGAGCCATCTTGAAAATCGTTAATCCTATGTGCTGATGACAGAACAGAAGAACTTGGGCCCTTGAACTTGTTGAACAACTGAAATAATAAACCTTGGAGATGGCTATTGAGACTTCTTATTGAGTGATTAAAAAAATGAGTTGGTCTATACGTGGAGTAATTAATGTGTTGTGAAATCATTGATTTGTCCTAAATTATATAGTGCCAGGATTATTTCCAGCAGAGTTGCTCTGAAATGGAAAATATTATCTCCCAAGGACACAGTCTTTTTGTCCTTAGAAATACTAAGCAAAAGTTGAATAACCACTTGATGATTTGGGATTCCTGCATGAGGGGAAGTTTGGACTACATGACCTTAGATCTTTCTAACTGGAAGATTCCAGCTTCATGATTCTAAAATCAGAATAATGTAGCAATCCCTTGCTGAGGCTGAGAAAGGGCTGAATGCACTTAGCTTCTCCATTTTGGGCCTCTGCAGCTCACCAAGGATCTCTGCTTTCTTTGAGGGGTAGGTGTGGAACAGTTTCTCATTTTTCTAAGTAGACGGTTTTCTTTTTTCTGACTTTGTTGTCTATTGGATTGGGTCTTTATTTCCAGAAAGCAGGAAGAAATAATTGTGTCATGATGTTAAAGTCTTCTTTTATTGATAAGATGCACCGATCTAGGGAAAGAAGAAAGTATATTTGAGTAGATGCCAGGAATGTGTGTCTTATTGTAGTAGTCTTTTGAGCATAGTTCTTCCTTTTGGAATATAGACCAGTTATTCCAGTCTTAGGTTTTAGGGACAGAATGAAATAATAATACGTTGGAAAAATAGTAATGTAAATGTTTTTGTGCTATTTGAGTTTGTAAGTTGATAATGATTCTTTATTGAGTTAATAAGTAGTTCAAGTTGATTTCTCTTTTGAATTTTAAGGTGATAGAAGCTAAATATTTTATTTTGTTTGGGTTCAATCTTTTATTTTTTTTCCCAGAAGCCTTTTGCTTAAGGAATACAAACATGCTTTCATAAATACAACTCTAGGAATACAGTAATTCTTCCCCCCCCAACCTCTTCCTCCTCCCTCTCCTATTCCTATTCTCATTTTTATTTTTTTTACTAAGATCTATTTTCCATTAACTTTTTTTTTTTTTTTGACAGGCAAGTTAGACAGTGAGCGAGAGAGAGACAGAGAGAAAGGTCTTCCTTTTTCCGTTGGTTCACCCCCCCAAGTGGCCACTACAGCCGGTGTGCTGCGGCCAGCGCGCTGTGCCGATCCGAAGCCAGGAGCAGGTGCTTCCTCCTGGTCTCCCATGCGGGTGCAGGGGCCCAAGCACTTGGGCCATTCTCCACTGCCTTCCCGGGCCACAGCAGAGAGCTGGACTGGAAGAGGAGCAACCGGGACAGAATCGGTGCCCCAACTGGGACTAGAACCCGGGGTGCTGACGCTGCAGGCAGAGGATTAGCCTAGTGAGCCGCAGTGCTGGCTATTTTCCATTAACTTTATACACATACGATTAATTCTATACTAAGTAAAGAGGTCAACAAATTGTATAAAAAAAAACCTGTTCCTCAATGGGTGAGACAAGGGGTATTCAAAGTCATCGCATCTTGAAGTATTGCTATCACTTCTATAGATTACCTTTTAGGTGCTCTATTAGTTATCTCAGGTTGGGGAGAACATAAGGTATTTGTCCTTTTGGGACAGGCTTATTTCACTAAATATGATGTTTTCCAGTTTCATCCATTTTATTGCAGACAATGGGATTTCTTTTTTTTTTTAACCACTATGTGGTATTCCATGGTGTGTATAACTCATAATTTCTTTATCCTATCTTCAGTTGATGGCACTTGGTTGATTCCATGTCTTAGCTATTGTGAATTGAGCTATAATAAACTTGGGGTACAGATAAAGTTCTGTAGATATCTGTTAGGTCCATTTGGTGTATAGAGGCGATTAACTCTGTTGTTTCCTTGCTGATTTTCTGTCCTGTTGATAGAAGCTAAATAATTTAAAAACAAAATGCAAATGATTAGTCTATTGTGAACAGTAAAGAACACCAGAATTACATTATTCACAGTGTTTAATTTTGAGTTGTCTTATATTAAAAGTAAGGCACAAAGGTTTAAGTTCAGGTTTTAATTTCTTTTTTTTTCCCTCTTTTTTTTTTTTTTAAAGATTTATTCATTTATTTGAAAGAGTTACACAGAGAGAGGAGAGGCAAATAGAGAGAGAGAGGTCTTCCATTCACTGGTTCACTCCCCAATTGGCCACAATTGCCAGACCTGCACCGATCGGAAGCCAGGAGCCACATGGGTGCAGGGGCCCAATTACTTGGACCATCTTCTACTGCTTTCCCAGGCCATAGCAGCGAGCTGGATTGGAAGTGGAGCAGTTGGGTCTCGAACTGGCGCCCATATGGGATGCTGGCGCTTCAGGCCAGGGTGCTGGCTCCAGATTTTAATTTCTTTAAAAATTTTTTAAAGATTTATTTATTTATTTGAAAGGCAGAATTAGAGAGAGAGAGAGAGAAGTCTTTCATCTGCTGGTCCACTCCCTAAATGGCCACAATGGCTGGAGCCACACGGATCCGAAGCCAGGAGCCAGGAGCTTCTTCCAGGTCTCTCATGTGTGTGCAAGGGCCCAAAGACTTTGGCCGTCTTTCACTGTTTTCCCATGCCATAGCAGAGAGCTGGATCAGAAGTAGACCTGGGGGCCGGCGCTGTGGCGTAGCAGTTAAAGCCATTGCCTGCAGTGCCAGCATCCCATATGGGCACCAGTTAGAGACCTGGCTGCTCCACGTCCGATCCACCTCCGCCACGGCCTGGGAAAGCAGTAGAAGATGGCCCAAGTCCTTGGGTCCCTGCACCCACGTGGGAAACCCAGAAGAAACTCCTGGCTCCTGGTTTTGGATCAGCACAGCTGCGGCCATTGCGGCCAGTTGGGGAGTGAACCAGCAGATGGAAGACCTCTCTTTCTCTGCTTCTCCTTTTCCCTCTTTGTAACTCTTTCAAATAAATCAATAAATCTTAAAAAAAAAAAAAAAAAAAAAAAAGAGAAGTGGAGCAGCCAGGACTTGAATTGACACCCACACAGGGATGCCAGCATTGCAGACAGCAGCTTTACCTACTATGCCACAGTGCTGGCCCCAGGTTTTAATTTCCAACATGACCTAAATATGCATGGCGTAGACGAGGGGAGGACTAGCCACATAGTGTTTAAGGATCCTTCTCCATCCCCCCAAGAAACCATTTATTTAAGGAGTACAAATTTTGAAGTACAGCTTGAGGAATATAGTGATTCTTCCCCTCATACCTGCCCTCCCACCTCCACCCCCCCCCACCCCCGCGCTTTCCCATTCCCATTCTCCATTAAGAGAAAAAGAAGTTCCTCAGTCAAGATAAGGGCTGTTCAAGTCATTTTAAACATTCTTTCGAACTTGATTGAAGCTTCCTGGGTCTTTGTTTTCTCATAACGTTAATTTGGCTTAAACTATAAGGAAAATAAATTAACATTGGTAGTTTAAAGATGATAGTCTTCTCTTGAAGGCTACCACACATTTCAGAAGCTGGAAGATGGACTCAGAGTAGACCTATTTGTCTTCTGGAATGGTGACCTGGCTGGTAGTTTTGTGAGGTTCCTTCCGGTTTTAGGCTTCTCTTTCTTTAACTTTCCCAAAACCTGCTCGCTCGCTCGCTCGCTCGCTCTCTCTCTCTCTCTCCCCTCTCTCTTTTTTTTAATTTGAATTGCAGAATTAGAAAGGGAGAGATAGAGAGAGGTCTTCCATTTGCTGATTCACTCCACAAATGGCTGCAAGAGCCAGGGCCAGGCAGGCCGAAGTCAGGAGCCAGGAGCTTCTTCCAGGTCTCCCATGTGGGGGCAGGGGCCCAAGGACCTGAGCCATCTTCCACTGCTTTCCCAGGCACATTAGTAGAGAGCTAGGTGGGAAGTGGAGCAGCCCTGACTCAAACTGGCGCTTGTATGGAATAGCAGTGCTGCAAGTCATAGCTTTACCTGCTAAGCCACAGTGCCAGCACCGCCCTCCCCCTCCCCCTATCCTGACCGGGATCCCTTCTGTTAGTGAAACTTTTTGTAGTCCAGCTTCAACTTTTGCCATCTCCTTAACCTGACGATCTTTATAAAACCATGGCTAACCCTGAGCGTTTAGTTAATAGAGGCACATTTGTATTTGGCATTTCCCTGTCCCTCTTGATGTTAGCTGTTTCAGACGTGATGTATAGTTCTTGTCATCTTGCTCTCAGGAAGCCATATTGATCTTCCCTGGGTAGTGATAGATTCCAGATCATCTTCATTATTACCCTGCAACAGAATTTGTCACTTCTGCCTGTTTCCTGCCTAGTAAGCCTCCATTTGTTCTATGGTAATTGATGTTATACTCAACCATAGAGTTGAGTATGTCTGTACATTTTATTATGTTGTCCTCCCTCCCCTTTACTTAAACAACAACCCGCGAATGTCTGAAGGCCTAGTTTGGCCTCCTGTAATTTGTAGCTTGGGTGCCTGTGACGTCTGTGAGGTCTCCTGTACCTAGGAGGTGGGTGATTGCCGCTGCCTTACCCCTCCTCCTGCTACTTGCCGCAGTAGCTCATAGGGCCACTTGGTTTAGTGTTCTCATTGCCTTGTTGAATTGCATGTAATAATTTTTTTAAAGCACCCTGTATTTTCATTATACACCTGGTCCAGGAAATTATGTAGCCATTTTGTCAATGAGCTTTTATTCATCGCCTGCTTTTTCTCTTGTGTTTGTTTCCAGCTTCTCCTTGTGAGCTTCCAGTGCTGCCCCGTCCCCTGCCATATTTTAAACTTCATCTTCTTCCTTTTAGTCTTTGTTCACAACCTGAAGTGTTCTCATAGTCACAGCATTTGTTTTTTTCAGTAGCTTGATCAGTTTGCCAATCAATTGCAGTTCTTTCTTGAGCTTCACAGACTTTTTTTCCCATTCTGTTGAGGAGCCTCTGTAATAAGTTTCTTCAGTTTCTGCCAATGAGTTCTATTCTTCAGAAATTACACACACCTATTTTGGGTCAGTAACATTCTGCATTTAATTGAAGTGTAACTGTTCACACAGAGTTGGCCCTGGAGCTGACTGAGTTACTGATGGACTCAAGTCTGTCCCAGTGCGGGCTAGAAAGTCCCTGTATCATGTCCTGCTTTGCTGTTGTGCAATGAGGGAGTTTCAGCTAGATCACGGAGTAGCACTGAGGGTTTTTGGTTTCTTGAATGATTAGTCTCTAGAATATGGTTTCATATATAAAGGCGGTTAGAATTGTTCGAGTGGGAGGGAGAAAAAAATGAGCAGAAGTGGAGTATGTTACTAGCACATTGTGCTAGGGAGAAAGCCCCAGCAGGATTCTGACGGGGCTGGCTGGGGTGGGGTGAGTAGATAGTGTGTGAAGAGCTAGCATTTTAGCTGACGCCTTTCCGAGCTGGGCAGCGGGCTGCATGACTGGTGAAGGGAGAGCAGTCCCGGAAGAGACAACACAAGTTCAGACGCTCTTAGGAAGGGGCAGTTGGAACATAGTGAAGGCGCTGCGGATGTGTGGACGTGTGTTCACGCTGGTAAACAGGTGTGGGGAGAGCTTTTCTGGTTTTGTAAGGGGAGGATAATAGTTGCTACATTTAAGAATGCTGGAGCCCAGTGGGTTTTTTTTTTTTTTTAATATGTATTTATTTATTTGAAAGAGTTACAGAGAGGAGAGGCAGAGAAAGAGAGGGATCTTCATCCGCTGGTTCACTCCCCAGTTGGCCACAATGGCCGGAGCTGCGCCGATCTGAAGCCAGGGGCCAAGAGCTTCTTCCAGGTCTTCCCACATGGGTGCAGGGGCCCAAGGACATGGGCCATCTTCTACTGCTTTCCCAGGCCATAGCAGAGAGCTGGATCAAAAGTGGAGCAGCCAGGACTTGAACCCACACCCATATAGGATGCTGGCGCTTCAGGTGGCTGCTTTATCCGTTATGCCACAGCACTGGCCCCCGGAGCCCAGTTTTTTAAAAATGGCAAACCAGAACACTGCTAGAAGGAAGTTTTCCCCTTGTGCTCAGATAGTTGCTTGAGATAATCAGTAACTCTGTCAGCTCTGGGGCCAACTCATTGTGAACAGTTATGTATTAGACAGTATTAGGGAATAATGACTGGAAAAAAGTCTATAAGCTCAGTATACAGTTTTCTATCTGCAGATGGTTGAATCCAGCAGTGTGGATCCAGTGGATACGGAAGGCCAATTGTATAGTCAAGTGTCTGAAGTGTTTGCATGTTTCTAACATAAACAAATCTCACATTTCTTTCTAAATGTGCAGCAGCAGTTCTAATGGATTGTAGACAGATCACATACTTGTTGGAACTAACAAACTTGACATTTTGCCCCACCTACCAGCATAGTTTAAATACTTGGTTCTTATTTTCATTTGATAGAACATAACTCTGGTAATTGCCTGCTAAAATCTGTAAATGGTAGTAGCCATCAACTTTTAGCATCAATGGAAGGAATAGCATAGTCCATGAAAATCAAAATAGCCTGTGTATGGAGGCAGATGTTTGTATGGTAACTTGCAGAACATAATGGCTAGTTACTGCAGGGGTGTCACTGGCTTGTATTCTTTGCAATAGAATAGTAATTTTTCAGTTAAGTGGATATTTGACTTGAGTGTGAATTGTCTAATTTTATGATCATATCGTGGGAGAACTGCAGTACTACCATATACCCAGCTATGACGTACTCCTGATGCTGTGCTCATAGGCTAGTGAAGTCTGTATAGGGCATTTGTTTCAAAAAGTTTCTTGAGTTCCTAAACATTTCATCATTGCTTGAGAAAATAAGGAAACTAGCATTCTTGCATTGTTGTTTTCATTAATCTGTTTGTTTTGAGACTGACTTGTCCATTGTGCAAGTTTTAAACACCTACTTTATACAAAATGTAAAACTAAAATACCTAGAGAAGTGGCGGACAGGAGCCGGCGCTGTGGTGTAGTAGGCTACACCTCTGCCTGTGGCGCCAGCATCCCAAATGGGTGCCAGTTGGTGTTCCGGCTGCTCTTCTTCCCATCCAGCTCTCTGCTAGTGGCCTGGGGAAGCAGTGGAGGATGGCCCAAGTGCTTGGGTTCCTACACTCATATGGGAGACCCTGAAGAGGCTCCTGACTTTGGATCAGCCCAGCCCCAGCCGTTGTGGTCATTTGTGGAGAGAACCAGTGGATAGAAGACCTTTCTCTGTCTGCTCTCTCTCTCTCTGTAACTCTATTTCTCAAATAAATAAATTTAAAAAAAGATGGGGGATATGAAAACGACGGCTCATTCTTTCAAGTTAGGGATAGACATCATTTAGGAGGCTGGATAGTCAGGTGAGAAGTGCGTATGTGGAATGCTCAGCTGGCCTTTCAGAGGCTGGTAGGAGTAGAAGCCACGCTCAAAGAACAAGGAGGGGCAGTCTGTAACTGCAGTCCCCACCACACTTAGGGTATGGCTCCAAACCTGTGTTGTGCTGAGACCACTTGTCTGGTTTGTGCCTGGCTGAGGACTTTCTCTGTCCAGCTCCCTCTACCTGGAATGCTGCTGCTCCGGTTCCTTTCCTGGCTAATTCCTGGTCTGCTGTTACCTCTCTGCTTAGATGTCACATCCTGCAAGGGAGCTCACTGGGGCTGCTGTGCAAGCACACATGAGCTACACCCTGCAGAAGGGCTGCCTGGTGAAAATCAAGAGTTCTGGCTCCTACTCTCATTGCCCCAGGTATTTTTTTCCTTCACAGCCAGGAACATTGTGAACCCCCAAGTGTGCCCGCTTGTTTATGCAGTGGAACCAGAGGCTTGCTGAGGGTGGGCCTCTAGGCCTCTACCCCAGGTCCCAGCACCTAGTTAGTTTGCAGTAAACAGTTTTTGGATGTGTGAACAAATGTGGTCCGCAAATGGGAGCAGTAAAGAGAAACAGGAAGAAAGGCATTAGCTCAAGGCAGTGTTGTGTTGAGGGAAATGGATCATGGATTGATTGGTCTCAGGGTCAAGAAACCTGAATGTGTTTGGAGACAAAAGCCAAGGAGCTGTTGAAGGAGAAGCTGAAGCTAAAAGTGAGGGAGGTAAAATGAGGTTGTACAGGAGATGGGGACAGAGAAAGAGTGCAAGAAGGAGAGAAGGGAGAAGAGGAGGCACAAGGGGAGACAGGGGTTTGGAAATCACAGTCAGCCACCAGCAGAGTGTAGTGAGGGCTGAAGTAAAATCACACGGTGTCCAGCAGTCTGCTGCTGATACCGCAGCACTTTGAGTTGTGGTGGCATGATAGCCAGAGAAACTGCTGAGGGACATGTCTGGAGCCTTACCCAGTTGGCGGCCCTGGTTTCACTCCCTGGCACAGAGTCAGGAATGATGCATTGCGACTGTTAGACTGGCCTGTCGCGTTTGGGGGTCGGGGAGATGTGTGCGTGCGAGTCGGGCTGGGCCAGGGTGCTGAGACCTGCCGTCGTCCTGCGCAGAGGGTTAGCTGTGCCACTGTTTGCTGTAGATGTGGAACGAATATGAAAACTGTAAAGTAAATGGACAGATAATTATTTCCTAGCATGTTTGTTGCTTTGCTTCCTACCTGAAAGACTGATTTTCTTTAGTGATGCTTTTGGAAGCCTATACAGTGCATCTACTCTGTCTGTAATGCTGGGTGTCACATAAAATGGCAAGATCATACTTTTTTTAAAAAAAGATTTATTTATTTATTTGAAAGGCAGAGTTACAGAAAGGCAGTGGGGGTGGGAGAGAAATAGATATGTCTTGCATCCTCTGATTCACTCCGCACAATAGTCAGAGCTGTGCTGATCTGAAACCAGGAGCCAGCAGCTTCTTCCAGGTCTCCCACGTGGGTGCAGGGGCCCAAGGACTTGGGCCATCTTTTACTGCTTTCCCAGGCCACAGCAGAGAGCCACAGCAGAGGGACTCGACCGGCGGCCCGGCAGCTGTATGGGATGCTGGCACAGCAGGCGGCAGCTTCACCCACTACACCACAGTGCCGGCACCAAGAACATACTTTTGAAGGAGCTGGGTCTGGAGTCTTAAGATCATGGACGAGTTCTGTGGTAACAGCTCAATTTTACTGGATTGGCGGCTTCTCCAGGGCAAAAGATTTGCAAAACAGTTGATACTGACTTCCCTGGCACACACTGTAGCACACACAGGAGTAGCTTCCAGAGCTTGGGACATGCGCCTGGTCGTAGGAGTCAGGAGTGAGAGGAGGAGCAGAGATGGACAAGCGCTGGGAGAAGCAGGCAGTGGCCAGGTGAGAGCAGCACAGGGCCCAGGCCACGTCCCCAGTGGCCGCCACGCGTGATAGCGAGCTCCTCTGTGGCTGTGGCCACATGAATTCCCACGTTCACAAGGTGGCTCCTGGCAGACGGGACTTAGGTTTTTCTGTCTCTTTCTGCTTTGAGGAACGCAACCCACAGAATTTTGAAATGCTGAAATAGTAAAGCATCTTTGAAAAACCTTTTGGTAAAATTTTTCCTGGTAGCAACATTATACTCTAGAAATAGAAGATGTAAGTACAAGGTCCTTGCCCCCATTCTCGTGTTTTAAGTTTCTTGAGCAGCCTTTTTGTTGCCCTGCTGAAATCCCGCCTCCCTTTTGTGTGCGTCTCTGGTGTTCCTCTAGCCATGTTGGAAATGACAGGCAGCACGTGCCAGGGCAGCAGCATCATGTATGCACTTGATAATGGATCGCCAGCACTTTCCACAGCTACGTGAGAGGTAACCGTTGTAACAATTAACATTCTTGACAGATGCTAAGATTGTTTTCTGGATTTCTTCCTTTCCTTTCTGTGTGCTAACAGTACTACTCGAGCGTAGCTGTAAATACCTTCCTGTACGGACTTTCGTATTTACATGTGAAAAGAAATCTGAAGGATGTGGATTTTTGAAACTGTGGTAGATGAGCATTGTGTTTCAGAAAGTACCAGTTCCTACTTCTCCCAGGGGCGCAGTTTGAGCGCCGTCTCCCCCAGACTCTTCAGAACCCTCATCAGACTGCCAGCATCTCATTTTGGTGTGAAATTCTTTTGAATGGATTTGAAGATATTTTCATATGATAACCAGTTTTTTTCCTCAGTGAATTGTAGGCAACTGTTAACCATTTTTCATTGGGTTATATTTTTCATAACAATTTGTAATGACTCTATCCATAATATGTGTGAGTGTGTGTGTGTGTGTGTATCTATACCCATAATATTTGTTACAAATATTTCCCTCAATTTATTGTTTGTAAGTGGTGTTTTATTTTGTTTGGCATTTTTCCTCTTCTTTCTTTTCTTTCTTTTTGTTTTTAAATCAATTGTGTCCTTTTTTGGCTTCTGTATTTATAGTCCTTCCTGTGCTGTAAAATGTGTCTTAGGAGCAGCAGGTAAAGCCTTTGCCTGCTGTGCTGGCATCCTATATGGGCACTGATTCTTGTTCTGGCTGCTCCACTTCCGATCCAGCTCCCTGCTAATGGCCTGGGAAGCAGTAGAAGATGGCCCAGGTTGTTTGGGCCCCTGCACCCACACGGGAGACCTGGATGAAGCTCCTGGCTTCTGGCTTCCTCCTGCCCCTGCCCCTGCCCCTGCCCCTGCCGTTATGGCCATATGGGAAGTGAACCAGTAGATGGAAGACCCCCCCCCCCCCCACTCTGTCTCTCCCTTTCTCTGTGTAACTCTGACTTTCAAATAAATAAATAAACTTTAAAAAATGAATAAATAAAATATATCTTAAACATTTTTACCCATTTTGTCCACAAATATTTTTATGACTCTCAGGCATTCATTTATGATATTTTTTTCTTTTATAGAAAGCTTTTAATTTCATTATTTATTTGTGAGGCAGAGAGCGAGTGAGCCCGAGCCCCCATCTGCTGGTGCACATCCCAAATGCCTGCAAGCGCTGGGGGCACCAAGTTGACTTCTAAGAAATACACTGTTCAGATGACAGGCTCACATCTAGTGTGTTGCCAGGTTTAACTCCTTTCTGTATAGAAGATCCAGTCCAAACCAAAGAGATAATTTATTATGAGAATCTTTTTGACATTGGACATTCGTAAGTAGGAATTGTTCCTATCAGTCTTTGATTCTGTCGTTTGTTGAAATCTATACCTAACTCACTAGAATTCATTGATCCTGTTAAATGGGAGACTTCTATGTAGCATTTCTGAAGTGACAGATGGATTTTTAAGTTTTATGATCAGTATAATTAATGACTGGGAATAAAATTAGTAAACCAGAGCATGTCTTCTGAGTGTTAAAATCTCATTACATTATCCCCAGAGGCCATGATTGGAGTGGGAGTAGTGCAAGCTGTACCCTTGTCACAGTATTTGTGATGGTGGACTGTAGCTCGTATAATGAAACATGGAGCAGTTGAAGCAAAATAGAGGTGCAGGGGTGAGGGCATTGCAGCTGTGAATGTCACATGGATGAGGGTAAAAACTTGAAGGCAAGATCTGAGTTCTGCAGAGGCCAGTGAGTGCGCCTCTTAGCTACTTTTAGTTTTTGCCAATGAGTGGTAGCCAGTAAGAGTTGAGAAGAGGTGTGGGCGAAAGATAGACTCCCTCTGTTGATGCAGGACAGATTTGGGGTCTATAGATAAGTGAATGTTTAAAGCTTATCTATTAATTAGTTATGGTTTTTTCTGAAGTGTATAACATGCTGAAAAGAGCAGGACTCTTGCCTTGGCAGGGAAGGATTGGCTGCTTGCAGATAAGATCAGCATGCAGTTTTCCATAATTCAGACGTGACTCTATCAGAAGATAAGCCTTTGGAATTAGTCTGTGAACATCAGTGGGAAAGAACTTCCAGAGCTTATTGATTTAAACTTAGATGTGACTCCACACAAGTCTTTTTTCCCCTATATTTCTTTGTAAGTTGCAATGTATTATTTGAAAGCATGATACTGAGACCTATGGACTTCAAAGTCAGACCATGTAACTCTTAACTGTGGTCTGGATACTAAATTCGTTGGGCTCCTTGAGAAGTTATAAAAGATAATCTAACTCAGAAATATGTTTACGTTGCTTTCAGATAAACATAGGGCTTTGATTGAATCAGATGCATCTATTTTGATGGTTTAGGGTGATGTATCCTATTTCCCCAAAATTAAAGAATTTCATTGGTATACACAGAACCAGTAGAGAAATGCAAAACATGTCACAGTAATATTAATATGTAGATTCTGCTTGATAATTTATAAAATACCTTTAATTAGTGTGCATGAATGGTATAAAATTATATTTGTCTTCAGTTCACTACAGTTAGGGCCGATTCTTTGAGTGGCAGCAAAATTTCTGAATTTTAAATTATGGTTTCAGTTAAATGGAGGGACTCTTAAGTGAGTTTTGAAGGTGTTCGGCTGATTTAACCTTTCACAACAGTCTGGGGCATTAGGTTTGGGATCAGAACTACCAGCTTTCTCCACATGCAGGAGAACTGCCTTTCAGGATCAGCGCAGGGTTATGGAAACAAGCTTCACACTGAAGAGGCACATGATGACCACGGGTCAGTTACCACGTCAAGATTCAGGATCCTTAGTGCATTTTGCTTTTCATAAGCCCTAGAATCTCATTCTGTTGTCACTTAAAATATACCGACCTCCTATCTCTTGCGGAAACATAGGAATCCTCACTTTCTGTCTCCATAGCATCATAGCCCAGACTGAGGACCCGAATTAGGAAACAGACCCCTGGGCTTGCTGAGGAGGTTGGAACCTGTTGTGCTAAGCATTTGACATCTGGCTCTGGAAGCAATCTTTGTTGAATGAGTCAGCACTTTGCTTTGATTGGAGAAATAGGTTAATTTTGATGTACTACTATCATTGCTGTTGGTGCCGGGAATTCTGAATACCCAAAAATATATTTCTTAGGGCCAGGCCATTGTTTTGTGTGTGTGTGTGTGTGTGTGTGTGTGTGTGTTTAAATTTACTTCGAGAGAGACCCTCAGCCTATCTGCTGGTACAGCCTCCAAAGGCCCAAAGCCATGAGGTGGGAGGGAAATCTTGGACCCCAGGTGGGTGGTAGGGGCCATGACCTCCTGCCTGGGGAGCGGGTGGTGGGGCAGCATGAGCAGGAAGCTGGAACAGAGAACTAAGCAGGGACTTGAACAAGGCACACGAAGCTGTTTAAGCATTGCCTGGAAGGATGCTACCCTTAGCTTGTGGTTCCTCTGCCCACTTTGGCTGCAAATCAGCTCCACTGAAAGATCAACTGACTCCATTAAGGGAGTTCCACTCCCAAGCAGAGTGTCTGGGTTTGAGTCCCACCTCCTCCTTCCACCACCTCAGCACTGGGTCCAAGCTTCTGGATTCTACAGCAGAGCCATCCGTATGGGGTTGGGACTTGGATTGCTGACAGCTCTCTGAATGGGAACCTTAATGTCCAAAGCAGTGTTACTGAACCACCCTCTCAGGACCCCAGAAAACATCTTTTGGGTTATTATGACCCCCACAACAGGACAGAACTACAGGCCTTCCTGCCCAACCCAAACTAGCCCAGACCTTGGTATTCTTCCGTAAGCTCTGGGAAGCTCCCACCCACCACAGGCTGAGCCAAGAAGCTGCCACCACCCTCCCTCAACCCCCACCCCAGTGTCCGCTGCTCAGCTGTGGAGCTGAGGGGGTGCCGTGGGTGGGAGGCCGCGAAGAGGGTCCCAGGAAACCCCTGCGAGCCTTCCTCAGTGGTGAGGGCCAGGTCATCGTCAGTGCTTCAGCGTGCCACGGTCCCTTCTTGCCCTGGTATGTCTATCAAAACCCAAGGTGCTAACTTCATTAATATTGTTATATTAAACTAAAAAGTAAATGTTTTATAATCTCAGGAAGTGAATAACATAGAGCCAGCTTGGAATCGATTGTCGTTATTTGTGTCCTCAGTAGCTAACAGGACAAGAAGGGCACCCTTCCATCCACAGTAGGACTGTGCCTCTCTATGTAGAAATGTGTGCGTTTTCACTTTTCTGTGCTAGAATGCCTTCTAATTGTTTATTTGAGTGTCATGTTAGAGGTTTCATTCCATGCTCGTTTGTTCATTCACATGTATTTTTATTTTTAGCGCTAAGCCAAGGGCAGGAGGCCTCAGCCTGACATGAGGTGGTTTTGAGGTCATCTGATTTCTGACTAGAAGGTGTGTGATCGCCTCCTCCTGAAACCACTTCAGACGCAATGGTAATGGCAGAACCCGAGCGAGAGGGGCCTGCATGCTTTCTCCCTGTCTGTCCTACCCGGATTCTCCCTTTTGAAGATTTTTAAATCTTTACAGTTGTGAACAAAATATTAAAAGACCTGTTAGCTTAACTGGTTCAAGTACTTAACAAAAGGATTAACATCGTGATTAACATCGTGAGTCTACATGTTAATCAACTGTTCAGAGTTGTTTTTTAATTTTTGAAAAGTGAGCTTTAGTGAGCTACTTAACTAGCAACGAAAGATTTATTTTTATGGAAAAAAAAAAAAAAAACAAAAGACAACAGACGGACCCTGAACCATTAGGAGTTTGCAGCTTGAAGCACTGTTTTCTTTGAAAACCAGTGGGGCTTGCTCTTAAAGGGAACTCAGACTTAAGTTTTTCATACTAGAAAATAAGGATTCTAGCCACAACATCTTTTTTCTATGGAAATTCGGATGTTTTATGTATGTGTGTGTGTTGGTGTATTTTACTTTTAAAAATATAAATTGCCCATTGAGAATGCTATTTGTGTTAGTCCCGCTCTAATTATTGTATGTTCAAAATATATTATATAGCTGAAGTAATAGAATTAGCTCTTGTGATTACAGTAAAATTTGAGGGGAGAAGTCTTCTCCTAATTATTGACTTTATTAATGTGGACTGTGTCCTGTTAAATATATTGCTGTAACAGTGCTTATAAGGCCATTTGATTCCCCTAGGAAGAGAATCCTAACAAAGTTTTTTATTCAAATTCAGATTTTCTGCTGAGCCATTATTTCAAATAAGTTCTTTATGCTATTTCATTTCATTCACAGCATGTAACAAATAATAGCAAGAATAGTATCACACATTTACTTATATTTAACCTAAATTGTGCATTTGTTTAATTGATGTGATGCTGAGAAAATTGAAATTCATCCTGGTCTGGAGGGCAATCAAGAGTAGAAATTCCAAAAACCTAATTCCAAAAACCTGAAAACATTGGAATTTCTTTCTAAAAAAAAGGTCCTGTTTTCATGTTTTGGAGGCTTAGTTGTCAGCGTAGTTCTGTTAATTCCATTTCTTCATGGGCAGTATTTTCTTATCCCTCAATCTCAGGTTTCAAGAGTGACTTAAAATTTAGAAACCATGTCTGATTTCTTCATATATGTCACTATATGTAATGATAAAAGCATTGCTCGCACACAGTAAGAACAAGCTACTCACACACCTGCCATGGGTCCCGCCAGGAGGCTGGGAGCGCAGTGACTTCATGTCTGTAGTCTCAGAGTGGGCATCAGCCTAGTTCCACAGTTCTGCGGTGTGCAGAGAGTTCTCTCCTGGTGTGTGCTCTTACCCTTCTGGGAATGTCAACCCTGAACTCTTAGTCTTCTATAGAATAAGTACATAAGCCAGTGGTAGAAGAATTGTTCACATAATTCACTTTCTTTCTATTCATGTTTTGATGAGAAACAATCACTGATATTTTTATTTTTGGAAATTCTGATGGTTTTACTGATTCCTCCTCTGCCTCCAGAAAGCATACCTATCTTAGGTCTTTTGGAGGCTGGAAGAACTTTGAAGAATATCTTACTTTTTGTGCTAAAAGTTAATGTAATAGAAAGACAACAATTTCAGCCACTATCAATTTTTTTCCAGAGAGTAGTTTATAAAGATGTGAATTGTACAACAATGAGATCTATAATTTCTTTTATGCCTCTGAATATCTGTATGATAACTTGAAACAAAAAAGGCAGAAGTAATATTACTTTAAAGCCTCAAATTACAAATGTGAAGAAATTTTGTCCCAGTAAATACTAGTGAATTAAGTGTGTATGAGTGTGGTTTAATATGTATTTTGCTATATGTAAACTGTCTTGTTTTTAAGCTAAACTTTATTAATATTTTTAAGAGTTTATAAGGTGAGAAAATGTTTTGAAAATTATAAAAGTAAATATTGACCTTTTCTAAGAAAGTCTTTTTCTTTGACATTGTTTAATTTTTTTCCTTTTTGTTTTTTAGGTTTGCAATTTTTTTTGGTGATGGCATGTTCAGAATCTTGGATCCCTAAATTGAATATATTGGAATATTTAGGAACCCTGGAAATTATATTTTTGTGTACATAATGACTTACTAGGTGAATCAACAGATTTAATAAAAGTACATAAAAGAGCAGATATTATAATTTTGTACTTCCGAGTTGGCATACATTCTTCAATTGTCAGCTGTCAGTGTCGTACTGTGGAGATCGTTATCTTTTTAGGATTTTCGGGTTCTTGGACCTTATATTTTCCTAGGCAGTTTTGTTGATTCCTCCCATGCCTGTTTGGTCAGCTGCTTTTCTTTCTACCTTGCAGTATAGGTTACTTAGTTCAGAGGTAATTTGCAGGAAGCGGGAGAAAAGAATTAAGTGACAATCATAAAGGTTGTAATTACAAAATTCCAGCCTGGAAAATGGTCTTGGAACAGTCTAAATTAGAATATGCAAATTCTACCCAAATTAAATCCAAATATACTTGTGGCAAAATGCTGCCAATTTCAAAATTAGGCATTATTATGTAGGACAGAAGTGCTAATGAGGAGGAAAAAGAGCTGCTTAGTTTCACCTCCTCCATGTCTCCCTACTATTGGGTGAATGAATTACGGGGAAGTCAAATGGCCAGAAGATAGGCAGGGTGAATGAAGAAGACAAGGGAAACCTTTAATCTCCAGGAGGGGTTATTTTTCCTTTTAAAAAGGAAAACTATGACAGTATACTGTGTAACTGAGCATACTGTTTGAAGCTGTGGGCTGCTTTCATGTAGAAGCAGAATATGGACTGGGTGTTCTTGACTATAGGAATGGTTGGAGAACTTGCATTTGATAGAAGAATCAGATAGTCCTTGAGTGACCGTAGTGCAGTATTGGTTGTCTTTTTCTGTTGCCTGCCCTGCTGGCATTCAGATTTGAGGAACATTCTGGGGCAAATAGTTATTTTGGTGGTCAAGTGTACCTCCCAGCACTTTAACCAGAGCTGTTTACGTAAGATTGATTTTTTTTTTTAATTTATTTGAGAGGTAGAGTTATGAACAGAAGGAAAGACGGGGAAAAAGGTCTTCTATCCACTGGTTCACTCCCCAAATGGCCACACTGACCAGAGCTGGTCTGATCTGAAGCCAGGAACCAGCAGCTACTTCCAGGTCTCCCACTTGGGTGCAGAGGCCCAAGCACTTGGGCCATCTTCCACTGCTTTCCCAGGCCATAGCAGAGAGCTGGATCGGAGGAGGAGGAGCCGGGACTAGAACTGGCACCAATATGGGATGCTGGTGCCACAGGTGGAGATTTAGCCTACTATGCCACAGTGTTGGCCCCCAAGATTTTTTTTTAATTTTTATTTTTTAACTTATTTTCTAAGGAATACAAATTTCATAAGTACAACTTTAAGAATATAGTTATTCTCACCATACCTGCCCTAAGATTGTGTGTGGTCTTTTTTTTTTTTTTTTTTTTGACAGACAGAGTGGACAGTGAGAGAGAGAGACAGAGAAAAAGGTCTTCCTTTTGCCATTGGTTCACTCTCCAATGGCCGCCGCGGCTGGTGCACCGCGCTGATCCAAAGGCAGGAGCCAGGTGCTTATCCTGGTCTCCCATGGGGTGCAGGGCCCAAGCACCTGGGCCATCCTCCACTGCACTCCCTGGCCACAGCAGAGAGCTGGCCTGGAAGAGGGGCAACCGGGACAGAATCCGGCGCCCCGACCGGGACTAGAACCCGGTGTGCTGGCGCTGCAAGGCGGAGGATTAGCCTAGTGAGCCGCAGCGCCAGCCTAAGATTGGTTTTTAAGACCACATTCAGAACAACTTAAAAAGGATCAAAGGGTGCAGATGAGAATGAAAAATTTGTAGAGGTTGCATGGCCTCAGAAGAATGTTTATGTATTAATTTAGTTCACGTTTTAAGTTGAAGGTTTGTGCAGTGTTCCTGAAGTTAGTGAACAGCAATGTTCCTGACATCTGTATTACACTTGTAGAACACGACCAGGCTGCTACATCATCCCCACTCCTCATCCCACCCCCACTTTTGCTTTTCTTTGTTTTTAGAGGAATCAGCTGATAGTTATTTAATAGAAGGTGCAATGAAAGCGTTAGATAGATTTTTAGAAATAAAATAAAATTTTAATCTAAATTTCCATTACAACTGGCTTTTGAAAAACTCCCTTTCTGTGATACTTCTGTCAATAGAGGTGTTTTCTCAGCCGATTCTAGCCACAATATTGCCTGGATGCAGGCATTTGATATACCCAGAAGGAATTAGCCAGACAGGAAAAATCTTGGTTCCTACTGGAATGAATATTTAAAAGACCTTCTTAGATTCTGAAACCTGTGAGTATAAATGAAAGAGACCCAAGAGAGGTGAAAACTTAAGAACCTCAGAGTGAAAAGCAGGGCGGAGGTGGAGGGTGGGCTGTTACAGAGCCAACTCCAGCGCACTAGGGAAGTGGGCTGCCCTCCTGGGCGGTCGGTGTGGGGGCCGCGCACAGCAGGCATGTTGACGGGCTGGTGGCTGCTCTCACTTAGCGGGGGCAGCATTTCAAGGGAAGTCAGTGGTCTTTGGAAATACTGATATGTTTCCTCACAGTGGGTTTTATTTGGTTCTGATACGGTCTAAATGAGTATGTGGCTCAGAGTTCAATGAATTCAAAATAAGTATCTTAAATATCAGGAAAAAATGGTATAAACATCTCTTGTCCCTGTTGTATAACTTAGAAAATAATACAGAATTCTGAACATAGTAGAGATTTGAGGGCCTGCATGTAGTCGGTGCTTGTTGGTTACTTCCTAGAAACTTCTAAATAAAACCTCAAATTTGTTTTTGAATTTTATGTTGGCCTCGATTATACTATAAAAGCATTTTAGTCTGTGAGTCGTAGGAAATATGTGCCTTCCTGAGTCACTAAACCACTGAGAATTCAGAAGTCTGAATCTGTTTACCCAGGATCCTCCTGGGTAGAGGTGCATTAAGTCCACAGGGACACACAGAATGAGCCTGAGCCCAGAATGGCTTTCTGTATTTGGGAAGCTGTAGGCAAACTCCTTTAGAAGATTTGCAGAAAGCTGTGGGTCCTTCCCCTGAGAAGACTGCACACCCCTAGCATCTTCCAGAACTTTCTAGGAGCATCAAGACTGGCCTGGCCATGTGTCAGGGAGTCCTGATCCTAGAAGAGCCTCTTCATTTCACTGGGCCCTTGCTCTGACTTTGTTCTCACTCATGAAAGAGATTGTGTATGGCCCCGGCATGGTGCAGCATGCAGTCTTGAAGGCTGCTTCGTGCTCCTCCATACAAAGAACTAAAGCAACAGTTCGAGAGCTCCATATTGAAATGGACCAAAAATGCCTGCCAAGGAGCCAGACCTGCAGATGGGAAGAGCAGAGTCCCAGGCGTGAGGGCACAGTGGGCCACAGTCCTCAGTGCAGATGCTGCCTGTGGGTGCAGCAGGTTTTTATTCCATAACTTGAATGTTAATGTCTTATTTTAAAAATGAGCATATTTATCTAAAACATATTATGGTGTAGAGTTTCTCTTATATGTGGCTTTTTCTCATGTCTTGGGATGTCAAATTCATGATGTAAAATGTGTACTTAAGATTATGACAGTGACTGGAAATTTGGGATTCTGTTGTCTTGTGATTTTTAAATTTGTAGCATGTTTTTGATATAATTGTCAAGTTTTCCAAATAAATCCATTTTTCTTCCTCACAGTTTTTCTTATGTGTGTTATTTCTGAATTTTATGAATCCATTTATAAATTTAGAGAAAACTCTTCTTCAGTTTATATTTTGACCTAGAATGAATATATTTGATTTATGTCATTAGAAATGTGTTTCAACAAGTAAGTCTATTTGAGTGGCTGTAATCTCCATTTTGAAATCTTGGATCACCAGCCTGTCACTTCATTCATTGAGAGTGTCCTGCAGAATACAGCTTCGCTGAGAAGGTCATCCTTGTAGAATCAGGAATGTGAAGAAACTAACAAGAGGCACCATCAGAGCGACAACACAGCACCTTCTGCAAACATCTTAGAAGGCATTACTGTTCGTTCAAGAGACAGAATTCAACTGTCTGATGAATTGGACCTAAAATAACCTCATAAAATGTATCTTTAATATAAGCAAAGTGTACCTCTCACCTGGAACATTTCTGTCCCTACTACTGCTGATGACCCACCATGGCAGAGGGGAGCCTCCAACAGTCAGCCCGACTCAAAGTTGGAAATTTATTCAGAATTTGAAGGTGCTGTCGTCCTTTGTTTTGGAGTACAATAGTTTGGGCTTTTCCAGTGCCTCACAGTCTGTCCCCAGAGAGCTCTGAGGCGCCTGAGCTGATTCACGTCTTGGACACCTGTCTGTGGCTTTTCCATCCTACAGTCTGAAACGTGGGTAAGCACTGAACACAGTGGGTTCCAGTGTGGTCGGAATCCCGCTAAGCCTGTCTGATCGCCCTGCCAAAGTCCTTTCATTTCCGGTCCAGCTTTTTGCAGTGGTGCCCTAGCTCCGCCCCTTTGTCTTCAGTCTGGTCTTCTTCCCTCCTTTCGGCATGTTTGTGGGCGGAGGAGGAGGAGAGCCGCTCAGCTGCCTGCTGACTGCAAAGGCCGCCCGCTTGCTTCCTCTCATTTCCATCGCCCTTGCTGCTGCCACTCTTGGGAAGACAGAAGCTCTAGACCTAGGCATCTCGGCTGTCCAAGGTTTGGTTATAAAAATGTGCGGCGTTTTCAAAATGTGGTTGTTGAATTGTGCTGTTGGAGTAGTAGCCACTGGGCATTTGCTGCGTGGTGGGCACTCTGCTGAGTGTGCACACCCACTCTTCCCCTCCAGCCACCATGGTCTCCTGAGGCCAGGAGTGGACCTCAGTGTGGCTCAGGTGTGGGAAGACCTATCACGGACTTGAGTGTCCACTTGCTAGTTCTTGGAGGTGTGAATTAAAGAGATCCATTGGAGAATCTGAGATCTCCCTCAAGCTAGAAAAACAGATCATATACAGTGGTCATGTCAGGAAGACTTGGATTTGTAAAAAATAAGCAGTTTTTATAAAACCCGCATAAGCCCACATTGATTGTCCAGGTTTGTCTTATTTTAATAAACAGACTAACATAACCCTTTAAAAATATAACCTTGTTACCATGGCAAACTGAAACTATCCTATTACTCTATAAACTTTTCATGCT